AACACTGTGTTATTGATTTTCACAAAAACCTAGTGCTAAACAATATTATTATATCCATTTTGGCTTCGACGTGGTGCGATGGGGAGAAGCAATATAAATGTGGTGTGCCAATATGCGGCAATAGACTCGAATTTAAATTACACCTATCCCTTCCCCATTGTTTTTTTTCTTTTACTTGGAAATTAGTCAGAAAGCAGGACTGATATATTATATCTATGTCGATATTGTATTGAGTGAGGCCATTGGGATAACAAATGTTTTTAAATTGTCGAGAAACCGTGTTATTTGCAGATTTTTTAAAATTTTAACATAAACACGTTGTAACTTCATGGACACAGGACCTCACTTTGGTACTTTCTTACAGTGCTGGTTTATACTGCGCTTGGTTTAGACTAAGCTACATTCTTACTGTACACAGAATCGGATCGAAGCGTTTATTTGAATAAGTCATTCAGGACAATCTTCAATTCTTTGGCATGCCATGGCCAAGTACGACAATTGTGATTTTTGTACAACCATGACATAATTTATCAGTATACGAACGAAAGATATTGTAGTAGTACAAAAATGTAATCTCAAAAATATTGCAATAAATGTTTTTTGAACGTATAAATAAATAATAATTTCTGAGCTAAACGTAAGTTATTTTTTCGTGTAAGGTGTTCACTCGATTTTTTTTAATTTATTACTATCGCGACTGTAACAGCTGTAGAGGGCAAGTCAGGCAAAACAATATTGTAATATTTGTAAATAAATTGTATGGTTTTCTTTTCTCGAGATTCGGTGCTCGGATACGGAATCGTGTTGCCTTTTTATGTTTACCAACCGTTCCTAAATCCTACCCTCTGGCCTTCGATAAAAAAAATAAAAAATAACTCAATAACAACGATACAGATAACGGAGAACGTCCTGACGTTTCGAACCCATCCGATCGTACACACAGTACACCGGTAATGAAAAATCTATATCGTATACCATTTAACAAAGTGTACGGTATTTTTTAAAATAATAAAAAAACAACACAATTCTCACGGGATCTGTTTTCGAAGATTCCATTGCATACTTTAGAAATATGGTCCGACTAGATTTTAAACGTTACACATGTTTTATTTTTTTTTTATTAAATTAGCGTTTTACAATATTATTTTAATGAATCTAATTTGGTTGGGTTATTCGGTCCGGACTCGTTTATACACAATTAATACAATTTGCAAATACTGCCAGAAATAACGACACTTTGGCTATCAGTTAACCCGAATGGGGTACTCATACAATTAAGTATCTAAAAGCGTGTCATTTCATCTTGTCGATCGATCAATTAGACATAATTAGATATAATATAAAATGACAGAGTTGATAGTTGATTTGACCGATTGACCGGCAAACAAATCAAAAGATAATAATAATGAATAAACGTCATGGAAATATCTAGCGATATTGGCTTAAACTTTATTTGGAATGAGCTGCAGTGCCGGTTTAGACTGTGTTTGATTTGGACTGTACTGGTAAACCCTATGTTTGGTTTTTTTTTCATATATAATACACCATACAATAGTTTAAACAAATACCTTTATGGTACTTGGCTACAAATAATTAATTTTGTATCAATAATGTTTTTCCATTCGCCTATAGCAGTCAATCCAAATGTGGGACACCAATCAATTGATGTGAAATACTATAAAAACTCATAACTATTTCCAGGAGCCCATTTTGCGTTACGATTTAAAAAACTTCAATAAACGTCGCGCTGTTTGTAGTCCTTCTGTGGTTGCTCCACATATATTTTATAACTGGAATACATTTTTATTACAGTGATGTGTTTCATTACAAAAAACGGTCACGTTTATAAATTGTCTACGGTGGACTCGCCCGGCGGCCGACCTAAGTACACACACATACGTGTACAGGTTCTCTGATGGTCCTTCGTGGCACCGTTCTGATAGTCAGGATATTGGAAACCCGACGGGTCAGGGTTTTATTATTATTTTCCCTTTGAAATCCAAACCAACAAGCCGTATTGACTTTTATCCGGACCTCGTGAGTGCAGGGTGATTCACTAATTTCCATTATTTTAATGTTCCATTGTTTCTGCAATTGTTATTTTGAAAATTATATTATATACCTTTATACTTAATTGAGAAAAATGTACTTAATATTTTGCCTATCCGAAAACCAATTTTGAACAATTGGTTGTAGAGTTATCGAAATAGTAATTATTCAAAACTGCTTAACGACCGGTCTACATTTTTAGTGGTCTGAAAAGGTGATAAACCATACTATGCATTGACGTTTAAGTATTAACTATCGATAGAACACTCTACTAAAACAAGTCAAATGGACCATCCTGTATAATGATTTTCCTACTACGCTTGCACAGATGTTAACATACGGTGTAAAAAGTTTTAATATTTTCAGTGTGAAAGAAAAATAACAAGAATTTTTTTTTATGCTCCATTTTATTCTCATCGAAGTTCACGTTTAAAAAAGAACCCAAAGTACGCACTAACGAACGACGTCGAGACAAAAAAAAAAGTTTGGACCAAAGTTTTTCGATAGATTTATACCGTTGTCTGCAGCTGTTCGATTTATGGATTAAAAATAAAAGAAAAAATAAATGGACGTAAGTAACACCGGTGGCGCTTTTAAAATGTTTTCCCTGTAATTTTCGACAAAGTACAACTACTCGGAGCATGTCGTAAAAACCGGGGTTTTATTTTCCAAGAGTTTCTCTTTGCCTCCTTTTTATTGTTTTCACCGAAGAACAAACTATATTGTATAATCAAAATATATCTAAAAGATAAACCACACAGGAAAATACTACGATCAATTTTATATACATTCAAGAATATACAAATTATATAAAAATAAATTTAACATAAAAACTAATAAAAAATATATATTTTTAACACAATCTTATACAGAGTGATCCATTTGATGTAAGACACTCATTGCCTTGGAAAACATGACTATTTTGAAAACTAATTTTGTCGCATTCTATTAGGTACATATTTAAAAATATTTTTCAATACTCAGAACATGTTTATCTTCATCCCTGATACGTAAAAAAGTATGAACTTCGTTTTTCTTTTAAACGGGAGCATATGTTTTTGTTATTCCATAAATATGTAGAACAAAATTTTAAAGAATGTTATGGCTTAAATTTTACAATGAAATGTGTTGAGATTAAATGAGTGTCTTACATAAAATCGGATCACCATGCATTATTAAAATTGGATTTTCCTTAGTTATAAACTTAAAATCACAATTAGATAATTAAATCGAAATTGTATAATTATTATTTTTTTATAAACATGTTTGCAATTATAAAATCAATGGCAATCGGTCAATGGTTTAGTTATTTATCTCTTAATACTATCTAAGTTACTTTATTGAGTTAATAAAAATAGTCTTAAACTTATTAAAGCGAAGTTTATATATTTATAGGTCTTTCGATTATTAATCTTGATGATTGGTAGGAACGGAATAACCTAAAGAGTAAATAATAATTTTGTTTATAACCAAAATATCTTACAATATAATATATAAATAGATAAGTTACTAGGAAACGTTTAGTATCGAAATGGTATGTTTTAGTCGTCGGGTTTCTTCTTTATTCCTTATTCTTTTTAGACATTTTCTCTTGCTTACTTATAACATTCTCAACAGAAGGTACCAATTATTAGAGCAACCGATGACTGCAATATTCAATTTCAATGTTTAACTTGTTTTTAAGAAATTTAGGTGTCAAAACCGACTTTAAATTTTAGAGTTTTTATAATTCGGGTTTTTTTTTAATTCAACTAAAATATGAATGCGTTAAACGGATCGAGTGGGAAGGTCATGTCTGGAGGTCAAACGGAATTTTAAAAGAAGCTCTGGTAGAAAAAAGAAAATGGAAAAGATAATCGAAACAAGTGCAAAACGGGAGTAACAATAGCGGACAGAATGGACAGAGACAGATGGTGGAATTTAATAGAGGCAGCGAAAGTCCTTCAAGGACCGTAAGAGCTTATGAAGAAGAAGAATGAACATTGCCGATAATTAGCTATTCTTTTTTTATTCTTCATACCTAACTCGTTGTCGTCCAGTATGCTACGTAGGTATAGTTTTGCGTTCTAGTATTTTTTATCCAATTTATAAAAATTCAAAAGTCCAGAAGAAAACAATGACATTCAAACTCTTTGAAATCCCACCCCTCATAAGGCCGTACCGAGTATTACAACTGCGTTGATGCCATTATTAGTATTATATTTGAAGAACTTAGCGCAATAACCGGACAACTGTATAATATTTTGAAATTTTCCACGATGGCCGTACAAAATTGTTTATACCATTTTCCACAATGGGTGGTTAAAAGAGCGTTTTGCAATATCATTACAAACAATAGCCCGATTTGACCGTTTGTCGCAATCAAATGTAGATTATTATGCCATGATCGTTTTTCCATGAAAAACGGTTTATAATAATTCAAACGCATTTCAATTGCGTTGGTATTGTTATGATTTTGTTTTTAACCGATATGCGCACGCGATGGGATCATTTGTGTGATACCAAAAGTTAAACGGTGGTAAAACGTCACGAAAGCATCGAGTGCATGAATTTATTACAGTAGAAGCAGCAATTTCAGATACCGGATGAATTAGCTACGACCGAATAGTATTGTCATGTCACGACGCGATGGTCTGATAATAATTAATGGTCGGCATTCGTGCCCTGCTCTCCATTATACGCCAGTCAGAAAATCCAAATGGTCATTCCAGAATATTCCCCATTAGCGCGACACTATCCCGAAATATATTATTGTTTTATAGCGCCACCACAAAAGAGCCGTGTAAACGCAATTTAGCACAATAAGCGCTGAATGCGCGTGGCCGGTGATGATGGTGATAACAATAATAATAATCATTGTGCCGATAGCAGCACTCGAACAATAATGTATTTGTAAAAAAATTTAATAATAATTAAATAAAAAGTTTCATTTTTTTTTTTTTTCGTTGCAGAAACACTATGCGGACCTCACGAAAAGCGATTGCTCAATGATTTGTTGGATCCATATAACACGCTCGAAAGACCAGTAGCCAACGAATCGGAACCACTGCAGCTAAGCCTCGGTCTCATGCTAATGCAAATCATAGACGTGGTAAGACACACGCACAACGAAAATTTTATTTAATTTTTGTCTAAAATAGCTGAAGAACAGCTTTTAACTGTCCAAATTTATTTATATCTTGTTGATTACAACAAAATAACTGAAAAAATCTAAACGACGCTTGTACTGGGAACTGACTCTTATAACGTACCTATTATAATATTGTGATCGAAATGAGTTGAACAATTCAATAGACACATTAGTTACCGTTAGCGGAAATTTGATGAAATCATTCTCAATAATTATAATATTGTCGATCACGTTAACGCAAGCCAAATTTTCAGTTTAATTGTAGTGTTTTTGTAGTTTTAGCTTTAAAACAGAGAGGAGAGGCTATTGGTTTTTTTTTTTTTTTTTTTTTTTTTTTTTTTATTCTTTTTTAAAAAATATTACAAATGTCACAAGTTTACAAAATGCTTGCTGATACTAACTTAAAAAAAAAAAAATTAAACGCTTATCCTCACCATTTCTTTTATCGAGAAAACCTAAATAATATAAACACACATTTAATGTCGAAAAAATTATGCATACTTAAGACCACCGTGCTGGATTTTATTTGTATTTGTCATAGATCTTAGCTATCATATTTGCCATAGTTCAGTCGGTAAACAAAATAATATGTTAGTACTCCACATTATTTACTTCCCCAGTTGCTTAATATTAATAATTAAAAACGCGATAATTTTTTTAAAATAAAAAACTATATGATTATAACCATTTTACTACCGTCGTTCCAAATTAATTATATATTTGTGACTATTTATTTGCATAAAGTAAAATTATTCCATTGGACTATCGTTTTTTTATTACAACGAGAAAAATTTTAAAACATAATTCACAACTTTTAACAGCTATACCAGACGATTTTTTCAACTCCCCGACATGGAGGGCATTATGTAATAATTTATATAATAAAATACACTTATATTTAAGAAATATCTCTGCCATTCTCTCGAATAAATAATATTGTCATAAACTTTTTTTTGGTGGATCCTAAACAAACGTTGAAAGTTTTCTGAATTCAGTCTAGTACCTACTATAAAGTGAAAGAAAAATTCAACATCAGATATCACGAATATTATACATAGCCTGCGACAATACAACTGTGTTCTGTTTCCAATACAAAGATATCTATTATTTACCCTACTCAAAATGTTTTTGACTTGATGTCCGGAAGTTTTGATAATATCGTCGACTTATGTGAATATTCGTCGATAAACTTTGTAAAAGATAGTGTTCAAATGATTTTTTTTTGTTTTCGTTTTTACCATCATTCCCGCTGTTTTTGTATTATATTAATTGTACATGCGATTAAGTCGGAAATTAAGAACAATATAAGTAATAAACAAAAAATGGTACGATTTCAAAATCATAAAATATATTTCACTGCTGGTCTTATTGCACGATGGTTTAATCGAAATGTTTGTACAAAGTTCAAAGCCGACCGAGTTCAATGTAAATCTTACAAGGAAATTTTATTCGGGCTTAGTCAAATAAAGCTCAAGACGCGGGCACGTTTTACGTACGGTTGACTGATGGCAAACATTTTGAATTGCGGTCCCGAATATTTTATCCCGACTTAAAAGGCTGAAAAAATAAATAATATACTATAAGGATATTACGGCTTTACGACCTTTATTTAAAGGCAAACGTGCACGGTGGAGAGTACGGAAAAGCGTGGCCGGTAACCTAAGGACAAGTCGGGCAGGGCACTTCTTTAGTTGATTCAAAAGGCCGAAACGACCTCTGCGACTGCAGTATAAAGTTTAATAAAAAAACATTCCCATCGTTCTATTATAGAAATGTAAGTATGGAAATTTATGTAAGCGTCACTTGTTTTATTTTCTTATAAACGGCTCGGCCACCCCGTTTGTGACTGTGTACTGGTAGGAGACAAGTGCCACTAAAAAATGTATGTACCCGTTCTTAAAGCGCAAATGTCAGTTGCCCGGATACGTCGCGCGTTAAGAATGTAAATTTATGGGCTTCTAATAAAAAAAAACTGGAGTACACAGTGTTTTCCATTTTTATTTGTATAGTAGACAAATAAAATGTAGGTCACACAAATCCGAAACGAAAACGTGTCACAAGATATACATATTTTGTTTCAAAACTAACCACGAGTCAGAATTGTTAATATTTTTTAATTTTCAGGATGAGAAGAACCAGCTGTTGATCACCAACATGTGGTTGAAATTGGTAAGAAATTATGTACATTACATTATTATTATCTAAGAACGTTGTGTCGTTTTTTTTTTACAGTTAAAATTAAATTATGCATTTTTATATAACACTGCCATTTTACGCCATTCAACCATCTAGTATCATTCTTAAGCGTCTTCTGAATAAACAAAATGGTATCTTTTTTTAAAGTTTTTTTATTTTACAAATAACTTCTTAAGACCAAAAAACACTTGAAAATAAATCACAAGGCCCTCGAGAGATCTTACATTTACAAAACCCATTCAATACACACAAGACCACAGTCAAATGTAGCGCGAATGATTTAATTAAGGACTAAAATAACGTTGGACAATTTTATTACAAGCAAATGTAGTCCATCGTAAAGAGTACATTTGTCTCGAGCTTAAATCTCTGGCTGTTTTTATTATAAAGGGAATAAATGAATAAAAAGCGGTTGCATTAAAAATACTTAACCAAAACATTTTCGTACCGTTGAAATGACACGCTCATTACACAGGTTAATATAAGGCTTTCATCTTGGCAAATGCGACACACACCCGGTGGGCGGACAAAGGTACTAGTTTATTACATTTCGGCTTAATTCGCATAAAATTAACTAAAAAAGATGATAATTTAATTGCATACCCGTTATTAAATATAAAAAGAAAAGAGAAATTTCCCACGGTAGACGGGCACTGTTGCCGAAGCACAAGCCATTTCAATGACACGTTAAAAATATACAACCTACAAAACACAACGTAAGTGAAAAATCAATGTAAGCTGCAGATGAGGCCACCAGTGGTTTGGCGAGACTGTAAAATATATTAAGCAAATAATTTTTGTTTTAGGGCAAAAAGACTCGACAATTTAAACTATTAAAAGACTACTGATGGATTGTCTCCCCAGCTCTTGTTATTTTATCTGTTTTTATAATTTTCATAATATAAACTAAAACATATTTAAATAAAAATGTAAACAGTTTAACCACGCTAAAATGTATAGGAAATGTTATTTATTACAATAAAAGCAAGACCTCTCGGGTGGTCGAATGATGATCTTTAAACAGGACAGGCAAACTGGACCAACTAATTTGGTCACCCATAATCGATAACACAATATGTTATGGCGCTCTTGATAATGCCCAAATACCTACTCCATCCGTAATTGTACTTGATCGCATGAAACAAATTTTGATTCCAGGAGTGGAACGACGTGAACCTCAGATGGAACCACACTGAATACGGTGGCGTCAAGGACCTGCGAATACCACCGCACAAGATATGGAAACCCGATTTGCTCATGTACAATAGGTCGGTGCATATTTCATGTTATATTATATTTGTTGTACGTGACATTAGGGCCGTGCGATAAATTCCGGGCGTTTATCTTTTATGCGTTTAGGGATCTGATGGGAGGGTCGTTTTACGTGCGCAAAAAGGCCGAGCTGGGCACGGGCAACCAGACTTGATGGTTTTATTGGATGAGTAGAATATAATATTTAGTAGTAATGTGGGGTAGCCTCGGGGGGGACGGCAAGAGAAGGCGGGGGGTGTACCGGAAATTTTGGACGACTTCCAAAGTAGTTGTTACGATATTCGGGTACGGGCATGACGTACAATGTTGATATGGTTGAAAAATATCACAAGTTGCTGCGTTTAGGCCAAATTCAAAACGGTTTTTATGAGACAAGGCGAGAGAAAAGTTTTAAAAAAACTTGCGCATAATTTGTATTATTATTATGTCGGAGAGGAAAAACTGCAACTTTTCTTATTTTGTGCTGTAAAAACGTGGATCCAGGTTACAGACCTCAAGTGGAGAGTCCACGCTGTCGGCTAATTTATGATTTGTTTTAATCGTAGTGGCTTGCTCGAGTAGATTTAGGAGAAGCACGATAAAGCACAAATTACGATTAAAGCAGTGGTCTTTTCGGCACTCGCCCGGAACGACGGTGAGTAGTTATACCACACGCGAGATAAGGAAATAAATTAATGTGACGGAGTTTGCGAACAAACTGAGTGGAAATAGCTTAGGACAGACGTCGGAGACGGATGAAATATACGAGAGCTTCTAGTGGAGGAAATGAAAGAAGCCGCTGTTCAAATTGCACGAGATAAATTTAAGCTATTCTATAAGCATCAAGTCGTTTTTATAATGTGCCGAAATCAGTCACGGGTGGATGGAAGGGGTAGGATTTTAATAAAATGTTCTAGCAAGTCTCGTTATTTTTAGCTTCGATGCGGAGCAGCGATGCTATTGGTTTTACAATGATGTGAGCTTTTTTTTGTGACTGTGTTCGCTATAACCTTTTTAAATACTGGACTAACTCCTTTGAATAGCCATGAATTCAGAACCAACGACCCCAAAAACATATCATTTGACTACTTTTGAAGTCTTTTACACAAAAATCTAGAAAAGTGTTTTAGCCTCGATGCTGAGTAAGAAAGTATAAAAGTGAGGTTGAATGCGTTTCTTTGAAAGTGATGGTATCCGAGTAAGCCGGTTCAGTGGGATAGAAGCATAATGGGATCAAAGCATAGTGGGAACGGAGTGGTCATAGGTCTACAGTAATTATAACAACTGAAAGTGATAAAACCACTTTCATATAAATGCTTTGATGCTAATTTGTAAACACTGCACCTCACTTACTTACTGTGCTGCTTAACACTGTGCTTGGTTTGGAATTCACTGGTTTGAAAATACTAACTACTGATTCGTATCGAAGCGTTTATTTGAAAGTGATTTTTTCATTTTCAGTTGTAATAAATCCTGTAAACCTGTGACCTCCCCTTTCCACTATGCCCGACCCCACAGTGCCCCAACACCATTATGTTTCGTCCTCACTATGCACCGACTTCACTGTACTGGCTTTTATTAAAAAGAAATGTTTCCTTCGAAGGAAAAATATTGGATCATAAATATGTCTGTTGTCCTGAAATAAACGCTTGGATGCGAATCTGTAGATAGTGGAAATACAAATACCGATACAAGTATTGTATAAAGTGCTTAATATTGTATTTTTACTATAAGGGTGCATGCGATTAGAGTCAATCGTCTGTATTTCTCTGTTCACAACAATGTTATAGCACCACTTTAGATCTATCTCCATTCTAAGTTTCGGACCTTAACCCATAAAACTACACCTGAAAAAACGAAGTTAAAAAAAAGTCTGGCCTCTTCTAGGAGCAATTTTAAGTTGAATAATAAATGTACATTTGTTTTGGGTACTTTTCTCGATTTTGAAGGGGAAACAGGGGGAACGGGGAAATTGTTGGTCCTATAAAAGACTTTTCCGGTACAATTTCTGATGTATACACTTGCTACATGAAGAACGGAAGATATTGTGGGTTCAGACGCAAAAAACCAAAATAAAAACGCAACCTTGTAAAAACAATACCTTCTCAGTAGAAGCCAAAACATTTCATTTTTTAATCGATTCGAGTCACAATATCCCGGATGGTTAGGTTTGTAGAATTTTTTTTCCGCCGTTATATCATCAACATTGAGCAGGAAATTTGGAATTTCCCCTTGTGTAGACAAAGACGGATTTTTACGAATCACGCTTCCTTCGTGGAATAGGGTCAAAAAGCTAGACGAGCGGGTTCCAGGCGCTAACACTTCCAAGATCCAGGGGACAGGGTCACGGCTGATAAACAGTGATTAATACTGCTGTCGGACCTTTTTATATTTTAGTGCTGACGAAGGTTTCGACGGTACGTACGCCACCAACGTCGTAGTGAACAGCAACGGCAGCTGTGTGTTCATACCACCGGGCATATTCAAGAGCACTTGCAAGATCGACATCACGTGGTTCCCGTTCGACGACCAAAAATGTGATATGAAATTCGGCAGTTGGACCTATGACGGGTTTCAGGTAAGCGTAGACGTAGTTAATAGAGTAAAATTGTGTAAAATAAATTGTACTCAAAGAGCAAAGCTTAATATGCTATTAAAAATAATACACAATAGTAAACATTAATCAAGATTCGTTGATATATTACAGCTGGACCTTCAACTCCAAGACGATTCCGGTGGAGACACCAGTGGTTTTATCACTAATGGTGAATGGGACCTGCTTGGTAAGCGAACCAAACAAATTAAAAAAACAAAATCCTAATATTCTGATTTACGATTTGAACCCCGCTTTGATTTTTTTCATTAACATTCATCATTTTGTCATACTTAAGATTTGTCATCGACAAACCAAAATATTTAAATTTTGTTTAGAAAAATGATAAATTTGTAAAATAAAAAAGCTCCATGCTTATTTATTTATTATATTTAATTTGGTACTTAGTTTATTTTGTTTATCGATTTATAATGCAATCAATCGATATGTTAGTAAAATAATAACTAATTAATTAGTAAGTAGGTAATTTCAATATTAATAATTAGTATGTCCTCATTTAGATTAATTTGTAGAAATATCAATTATTTTTCTTCATAAACGGTATTCAAATCATTATTACAGCGGAACGGTTTAGTGAACATTCTCATTAATCCAACTATCAAAAATAGTTTTCTAATCAAAATTTCTCTAAATCTGAATTTAAAAAACTCTAAATAAACTACATCTAAAGCATAACTTTTTTTTCATTTTGTCATTCTAATTTGTACGAAAGCCATCAATCGAACATTTTTCCAGCAATTTAGATTCTTGAATATTAAATTGAATGTTTCTCATGTGTTTAAATTTTTCAAATATTTATTTTGTTGTTTTGAAATAATTAATTTTTCGATAAACATTGTATGTTATAGCATTACCCTTCGGTAAGTTTGATAGCTATTACGTATCTTAAATTTGTTTGCATAACTAAAAATCAAAGACACCATACTTTTTAATCAACTTATATAGAAAACCAAAAGCAATTAATTAAGTTGTGATTCACAATTTTCTAATTTAATATACACACTACAAACATTTAGAAGATAATATTTTTATCCAGGTAATGTTTGCAAGTATTTCTTAATAAAAGCTTCCACACTCCTTTTTATCCAAAATGTCTTTTAATAATATCCATCGTTTTAAAAACATACTTCATTAAAAATTATTGTAAAATAATTATACATTGATAAAGATAAAAAAGAGTTAAAAATAGCAAATACTATATTCAACCGCACTTTTACCGACAAGCACGTTTGGCAAATCTATGTGAATGGCAATTATGTAAAAATAGGTATCTACTTAAACTTCACGAATTATTCATAAAATTCATTGCTGAATTTCAATTTGATATAAAAAAAAATTACTTATTATATTTTGTTTATACTGTTTACTTTAACAAAAATGGTTGAAAACGAATGTAATTAATCAAATTCAACAATGTAATTATAACTTCTTCGATTATATATTGTTGTACACTTATGCCACTCAATAGAAAAAAATCCGCCTTTTATAAACACATTTCTATATTTTATTAATTTTCATTACTGAAATAATGATTGTTTAGAATCTTTCACCGTCAAGTCATTTGTAGCATCGTTCATTTTAGCAAAATAAATGTAGATTTATTTCATGTGAAATTTTATTTGTAACATTTTATTTTTGCTCCTAGAGTCACCAATAACATGCAAATTCGTTAGCAATAAAAAGTAGCTTGTATTGCACGGTGTTTTTGTAAGAGACCGAATAGTTTGCTTAATTAGTTTGTTTTTTTTTTTGTAGATTTAGAGTATGGAAATGCCATATGTACTTGTAAAAACTTTTGATACATTTTTAGATTAGTATATCGTTTCATCTCTTTGCTTTGGATGATACTGCTTTCTATTATGTTATCTCTTGTGTGGAATATTTGTTTAAATAATATCGCCATATTTATAAACGTTATCAATTCGATACTGTCAAAACTGGAGACCGTTCATATCACGCTTGGCACCGGTCTGGCCACTGAATGGCATACTTGATTTTCTGACATTCGATAACATGTTATTCGCCCACTTTGTTCTTGCGGTTATCCCCAATGGCAAATATCTCTGTTTTTAAAAATATACAAAATATCTTATTCCATTCCCATCTGTGTTGCAACCGATGCGAGAAACATGATTTCGGAAGACTTTTGGACCGTGTGTCACGTACCGACAGTCTTAAAAAGTCAGTTGCAAACAGGGCCGGTTGTGGAGCGGTCGGGCCTTTGGTATGCAAGTAAGCGTTCGATAAAACGTCTATTAAAAAATATATATTATCATTCTCCGTGCGTGCGTACTCTGTGCGTGTATGTGAGTGGAACTGACGTAAACGACTGTTATCGAAAAGATTAGCAGAGGGATGACAAGAAGGAGTATATAAAGTACTCTCCAGCTGTTTCGCGATCGAGAATTATTAATTTAAAAATGCATCGATTCCGCAAAGAGATAATATTATCATACACAAGAGACCAGCTATCCCGTTTCCGTTTCCGGTAAGCGCGGCATCGTAACGGCTCTCCAGTTCGACAGCGGCATAAAATATTTTCGTCTTTATTTATATAAAAGAAAAAAAAACCAATGACGTTATAAATTATACGATATTAAATAACATTGTTTGTAATTAATAATGAAAATAAAACCGTGTACTTGTGTAATATTTTGTTTCCTTCAACACTCCGTTCCTTTTGACAGGCGTTCCTGGCAAACGCAACGTGATCTACTACAGTTGCTGCCCCGAACCGTACATAGACATAACGTTTTCCATCTTGATTAGGAGACGAACCTTGTATTACTTTTTCAACCTGATAGTCCCGTGCGTGTTGATTGCGTCCATGGCAGTACTAGGATTTACTCTACCGCCGGACTGCGGCGAAAAACTATCTCTAGGTAAACCAAATTATTGTATTAATATTATAATGTGTTGTTTTTTTAAATAGTATTATTATTAAACGTAGCTATAAATATATATATACATTTAAACGCACGCTGTGTAACGACAGTATAATAAATATGGCGCGATGTCACCGCGAAGTGTTAATCATTATGTTGTTTTAAGAAAAACAAACACTAATGAGTTATTGTAGATCTTGAGAAATCATTGAACCGGAACCGCTAACCGCTGTGATATAGAAACGTGAATGGTACGAATAATATATAATATTGTGTGTGTATAATCTAATATTGTTATTTTCAGGACCTTCGTAACACGTCTTTCTCGCTCAAAGCTCTTCCGGTCGCAAATTAAAAACTTTTATCCCCTTTTCGAGTATTCTGAATGATTATAACTTTTCGTATTCTCTCCGCCGTCGTCGACATTGCGCAGTCGTTATATATTCATCGGTTGTGCAAAAGTGGCGATTCTCGCGGTTTAGTTTTAACAAAAAAAAAAACTTCATATTTCGTTTCTTTTAATCTCTACAATCTTTTAATTAACCGAAAACACCAACGAAACGGCCCGGATGGCGAATATAAAGAAACTTTGTCCGATATTATATACCATTAGGTGATTTATTGACTCGATTTATTTTTTTCAAGAGAAGGTTACTCTTCTATTTACTATAATATTACCACCGCGTTAATCTACCTATTCATCCGACACGGTGATTTATTGCGAAAAACCGAAGTTTCCTAATTTATTATTTTTTTTTTATAAAATACTCTGAGAACCTTTACTCTGTTGTTGGAGACGGTGTGGCATGTCTAACTTATGGGATTATTTCAACCACGTGCCGAACCGTATAACTCATTTCTTCGGATAAGCAAGTCAATAAATAAGTATTGTAAATGTCGCGTTTGTTTTCAAACTACATAAATTTAATACATTTATAAACGCTCAATTCTGCTCGTTTAAGGTATATTATCAAAGACCGACGTTTCGAAGGGGATGTTTACGGTTTTTTTTCTTGAACGACCGAAATGTGCTTGAGAGTTTAAAGGATACCGCCAGACGTTTATACGGTGAAACGTTTTGTTCACTTATAAATAATATATTATGATTGTTTGTCTGCCAAAAGTGTAACGACGGTAAATTCAAAGGACACGTCGCGTCGTGTGTTAGTTAGATTTTTTTTTCTGAAATTACAATATAGATAACCTTGTACGGTAATTCATGTAATGATGTATATGCATTGGAATATTAGTTCGTACTACCGCAAACACCTTGGCCTACGCATTATTGTATTTTTGTGCTGTCCGTATCCGCGTACATGAGTTCAAGAGAAGAGCGAGAAAGACGTGACTGCGCGCTCAACGTATTGAATATTCCATTCCAATATTAAGTTACATTGACATGAATATGACTTATGGCTTGGGGGTCTGCCGATCATTTTCGTCGTGAAGCAAACCTAACGTAACCTAATCTTCCCGATATTAATAAGAGAATAATGATAAGAGAACAGTGATCAGTGTTCAGTAACAAAACGGATGGGAAAGATAGATGTTTCTAGATAGAGGAAGGGGAAGGAAGTAAAATGATTATAAACATGAATCTTCTTATAGGCCCCATAAGACATATTCGTGATCAAATGTTCCTCCTTTATGGAAAAAATTATTATATATGGATATATATATATGTGACTGAAAACGCCATATACGAACGAACTTTTGGAGCACCCGTCGCGGAACATTCTGAAACTTACTCTTCAAGTCTATTACAATAAAAATATATTCTCAAATTTAAAAAAAAGGTGAAAATTCATAGAAAAATTAAAAAAACGGAAAATTATATTAATTCAACTATTTGGTAACTGTAGTCCATTTTTCTGTTTTTTTCAACTTCTATAATTTTTACACTTTTTTTATTTAGTAGTTAGTAATTTTCTAAGTGTTTTTTTGGAGAACCCAATTTTAAATATTATATACAATTTTTTTAGCTTTCTAAAAAAAAATTATTAAACCAATTCTCAAATTTTAGGAAACACGAAAAACCCAATTTTTTAGATTATAATTTCAATGACCTATTGTTACTCGAAAAAAAATTATTACTGTTTTCAGTAAGCTGCAATTATTTTAAATAAGAAAGTAATTTTTAATACATTTTTTTATTAAAGAAGGTACTATAAAAAACAATAAAAAAGAAGAGTAAAGAAAATAATAAAAAAATTGAGCATATTCTTTTTATTGTAATAGACATGTAAGATAAGTTTCAAAAAGTTCCACGCGCGATGTTCAAAATGTCTGTTCATGTTTGGCGTTTGCATCCTTACACCGATTATATATATATTTTTGGTGGTCCTTATTTTGAGTTTCGTAGAATTTAAATTGTGACACCCCCTCAATTTGCTTAAAGTGATTAAAAAAAAAATGGCAAGAACTTTTGATAAAAACATGTGCCTGACAACACATACTTTTACCTAATCATAAGGCATCGAAATAAGATTCAAAAGTAACTAATATCGCACTATATGGGTCATAATTCAAAGAATAATTACAGACATAAAAAATTGTTATGCGTTTTAGAAAATATAAGTGCGAATAAAAAAAACTATTCCCTGATAACATACTATTACCAATTACCTAGGAATTCCTGCAAAATTCTCTTACTAATTGGTTCCCAAAATAGTTTGCATTTTTACATAAGATTTTGAGTGACATAACTATTAAGAAAAGGATTTTGCAGGGAACATTGTGAACAAGTTTATAGTTTTTTAACATAATTTTTTTGTAGAAAAAATTGTAATAACTATTTTTTATAAGATAAATGTTACGAAAATCTCAAATAAGGATCACGCTTGTATAAATATAATATACACAAGGTTTACCAGAAACAAATGTCGCACTCTATGGGATGGTACTATATAGGGTGCCCCTGTGAATTGGATTTCTGTGGGATTAATTATTTTCCGTTTGACGATCATATCAGACGATTGATTTCAAAGTAAATACTGACTATGGGGAATTTCCTACAAGGTCCTTTTTTCATAGGATCATTTTTCGGGAACTTTTTTATGGATATTTCACAAACAAATATGGTAAAACCCGAATAACATTCTCACCAGAGAATTTCAAAATATCTACTCTTAGGGTTCCTTACGTCGTACCACCCGGAGAGCGCGACATTCGTTTCTAGTACACCTCTATATTATACAAATATATATATATATATAGATCGTCTATCTTTTTTTTCCATCCGATTATCCTTTACTCTCGGTTGTCCGAGAAAATATACAAGTTTTTTTACAGCTCAGCGATCAACGAGGAGTCTGGTTAACTATTCTTGTTGTCCGAATCCGTATGTGGATATCACGTTTTCTATTTACATCCGCCGCAGAACTGTTTATTACATTGTCAACCTGATTATGCCGAGCGTGACGCTGGCCATCATGGCTATGCTAGGATTCACGCTGCCCTCGGATTGCGGCGAGAAAATGACCTTAGGTACAATAGTATAATGCACAAACCACTCCGATACCATCACAAACACTACCGATAAATCCCCTCCGACACAATAACGACAGTACCCAACAACCTATTATTAGTTGCATTTTTGTGTTTACAACAATATCAGTACGTGTACCACAGATATAATATATTATATTGACCTAAATAGCCGATTGTGCGTTCAAAAGTAAAGTCTGTCCGCCATATGCTAGTAGGGCAATGTGTTTATACTATGTTCGATCGGCGGCTACAAGAGTTCTTATCTAAACCCAAGAAAGAGTCAGTGACTTCTAGCGCTCCTTGTGGATAAATTGTGGAACTTATTATCTTTCACCGATTATCATTATTATTTTCAATCACGTTTACGATAACAGCTGACTATCAGTTTAAGATAATAAGTTTCACGATTTGTCCACAAGGAGCGCTACCGGTCACTGTCTTTTCCAAATTTTTTTAGATAAGAACTCTTGTAGTCGAGCTCACTAAGCAACCAGTCTATCTACAGTCATGCTGTGTATATCGATAACATAACATAAACATTGCCCTACCTGCATATGGCGGTCAGACTTCATTTGTTATTTAGGTAATAACTGTGACGTGTACCCAATACCAACTCCAAATTGCGCGCGATTGGTCTGATAACTATATCATACGGTTTAGCAAATAATAATGATAACAATTATTAAGGTACATGCGAAACTGACAGTGGTTAATGGTTCGACGAGCGGCGGACCGTGAAGTGATAATTGAAAGCGGATATTGTTATGACGGCCAAAGTGGTTTCGAACACTCGGTCTTCTTTTGTATCGTTTGTTTTTTATTTATTTTTTACATTTTTTGTACATATAAGTTTTATTTTTTTTTTCCGTCGCTAAACAGGAACGTAGGTAATGTGTTTTGATTATGATTTTTTTTTTTAATTAAAGGTGTAACGATACTTCTGTCGTTGACCGTTTTTCTAAACATGGTCGCCGAAACAATGCCGGCTACTTCGGACGCAGTTCCTCTTTTAGGTAAAGCGCGACCGGCGCAAAATGATTTATTTATTTTTTTTGCGAATTGGTTTTATTTTTTGTCAGTGCGCAGATTCGTTTGTACGATGAATTTTGATGTTATACGCTTTTCGTATAACGTTAATTCCGTTGCCCAATGCATTACATATTTTGTTTTTGTCTTTGTTCCGCGGTTGTACAACTTGGCTAAGGAGGGCGGCACACAGAGAGGTTTACCGAAACGCGTCCATATCCACAAAACGATATTAATATTGTTGTTGTAACAATTAATAATAGCCTATATTATTTTGTATATTTTCACAAACATATGGAGGTCGAAAACGTTGAGTAGGTAATTAACTACTCTATGTTTTTTTTTTTTTTAAATTGTTATTATTTATTTTCTTTTGAACTTTTATTGTTTTTTATTTATTATTATACTTTTTTTTTTCTTTTTATTAGACCTAATTTTTATAGGTGATATCAACGGTCAGAAAAATCCCATCCCTCCCCCCCCCCTATCTATAATTTTTGTTTTTAATTAATCCCATACATTAATGTGTTTAACGATATTAACAATAACATAATGTTTTCTAAGGTAACTAACAAGATTCCCCCACCCCCTCGAAAAAAAGTATGTAAATAAGTAGCTGTTAGCAGAGTGACGTAAACGATTTAATAATTACATTGGCTTTATGAAATTTGCTTAAACTTTTTATTCGTTAATACATTCTCCTTTTTCGTGGATAGTCTTTTCGCTTTAAAGGCCAATATTTGAATAGGTATATAACGCTTGAATATTTTCTACTTAACACAATTATAGTTACCAAGCAATAAAATATAATAATTATTATGATTAAAATATTGTTTTTTTTTTGTAATTGGCAAAAGTAACTCAAAACTAACAAACAAATAAACCGTTGAACATAATATATGTAAAATATCGACTAATTTTCACACGACTTGTTGTTATTTTATCTTATTGCTCGAGTGTACAATGTACATTTGGTATTATAGTGTACTTGTATTTCGTTTATATTTATGAAAAAGGGATAATTATTAGGACTGATTGAAAATGTCGTGGAATACACTGGACGTTTTAGCACTTTGAAATATGTACTATTATATTTTGTTCAAATCTAATAAGTCTTCCTTTAACCAAGAGAGATGTATTGGTTTTAGTGAAATTTCGTATTTGGATTTTGTTTGAAAACGATTAATCACTCGGACGCGTATTAAAACGAACACGGTATATATTTTCTTCTTAATTGATTACATAAAAAAAAAAAAAAATCCATTTGTAAACCGAAGCGTTTTTTCCAGACCCCGTAACGAGAATTTAATTAATAATCCATCATCAATATTACCCAAGAGGAACTGGAGACCGGGTTCCCCTGCCGAAAAAAATAATAAACAAAATATCAACAAGAAAAGCGCACTGTTTTAATATGACTCACTGACGTCTTAATGTCATTACTCTATTTTGTGTTTTTTTTTTTGTTTTTTACAGATAATAATTAATATTTAATGATTTATAATTATTAGCGTCGAATGACAGTAACAATATTATTATAATTTATCTCAATGGTGGTAAATTTACATTATTACAAACGTTACGTTGCGTTTAACACGGACGCAATGATACAAAAAAAAAAAAACAAATGATATTATAATATTATTAAGTGTTCCATTGGGTGATTTTGTTCGACTCGTGTTGATTACCTGCCGTTTATGTATTGACATATTTTTTTTCCAATGTTGATGAACAGGAGTCACGGTTTTGCTATCGCTTACATTCTTCCTAAACATGGTGTGCGAAACGATGCCACCTGCCTCCGAGTTGCCACTGATAGGTACATATTATACAAAACAAATACAATAGTGTTATTATGATGAATAAAAAAAAATTATACTTTCTTTGTGTTTTTGCGGGTTTTGTACTTGGACGGCAGTGGTGCTACAGTCGGGGTGCCTACAATCAAACATATTAGAACAATAAAATAAATAAATACAATTATTTACCTTTTGCCATATTGTTTGCTTACACATAACGGTTTATTTAATAACCAAAACTGGATAAATATTATTATTGTTTAATCAGTCATTTTTTAGTTTCGGTTAAAAAAAACTGCTTGAAAGCTTCACATAATAATAACATAGTATTCAAGTAAATTTTGTTTTGTTTTGTTTTCGTTTACATTTTTTTTTATGTTATTATTGTTTATAGCGGTAAAATAACTATAACCGTAGTTAATGCGTATTTTAGATTTTAGAAAAAAAAAACTATAATACAATGCTTGTTTGGAAATGAACAAAAATGAATACAAATTAACTAGCCTTGTAGGGTTTAACATAATTTATGGTTTTGTGAATGCAGTAATTTTTTGCGCCTTCGACATTCGTCAGCAAATCAACCGCTACTTAGACTATTTTGCTTTGTACAGACACGACCGAATGCTGTTGTTTATTTAATTCCATTTCGTTTCTACATTGAACTCGAATGCCCAGAATTATACCTGTTATAATATTTTGATCACGGGTTTTTGTTTTCCCTCGACGTCCAACCGAAAAACGCTTTACTCGATTGCAATTAAACGCTATAAAACTATTAACATTATACTTACTTACGACAGTTATATAATAATAATTATGGTGTTCTGTTTTTTATTTGGTTTTCAATTACATTCAAAGTAAAAAAAATAATGAAAAAAAAAACCACGAATTCGGTTCAATATGTGTAATGTTCGATATAGAGTGCTTATTGACATAATAACATAGTTATCTATATCATAATATTATATTTTATATTGTACATTGTAGGTTAGAATGCTAGCAAAAGGATGCTCTGTTAGAAGCATATTGTAATGCATTTGAATGCGCTTTCAGACGCTCCGGGCAGTCGCTGTTTATGGAATGCAACTTATCAGTTTAAAACATTTTTTTTTTTATTAAAAAAGAAGAAAAAATCCCGTCCCGGTTTCCAAACCAATCAGTGGCGATCAATAACATTATTTCGCGTCGACAAAAATATAAACTTAGAAAAAAACCAACAGAGCAACCGTTTTTTATGCATGTATCAACCCTTCCGTTTTAATATTTAACTACTCTTTGAAGCAATTCAACATCCAAAGAAACTACCGTCCTTTGCACTATATTATAACATGCTGTTAAAATAGTTTATACTCAAGCAAATGGGTCCTATGTTTAGATGGCCGAAACAAAGGCAGCTTGTTTAGTGACTTGAAGTCGAAACAATAATAATATTATTATATTTGTACGGAAAATTAATAATTTTTGGGTTTAATTAGTACTATTAATGGACTTTAATTCGTATTGCAAACATTTATATTAAATTATTGTTTTGTATAAAGGGATATTTAAAAAAAAAAAATACAATAATATTGAGTCGATTACAGTGTAAATCATATTTGTTTAGAGGTTGTGAACATAGTTAAGTATTTCATTATAAACTATACTTACTTAATATTTGTTTCGTCGAACCTGGTCTCCAACAAAGAGTTCCCAACGCGAAAATAAATTTCCAAACCGTCAGCACAGCCAGTATTTAAAATATATTATTGACAATACAAGTTAAAAAATTAGCTCTACCAACAAAAACCCAGTGAGCACATACAAAACAAAAACATTCTATTTGTTGTAGCTTTTGAGTAGTTGATCGAGCACTTTTTTGTTTTTATCTTCAAATTTACCGTTCGACGACTGTTTCTCTGAAACTTTTTTTTGGAACTATTTAGAAAAAATATTGTTCTGAATACATTACACAACAATTATTTAGACGTTTACCTTACTGGGGTACCGATTGTTTACATTTTTTTGTGCACGCCTGTTTGAAACGTTGCGGTCAACTACTTAAAGTTTGGTCCATTAGTTCTCACAGTTTTAGTCACCGGTAGCCTAAGTACCTTAACAAGTGTTTTCATTCATTTGATTTTTGTTGATATTATTATTATTATTATTATAATTTTAATTATTATCGTTGGTACTATCATCATTATTATTATAATTATTATTGTTATTCTTGTTGTTGTTAATATATTTTATTATTTAACGGAATGTCTGGTGTGGCATTTATGTTGTTTCAGGAGTGACAATCCTCCTATCACTGTCCGTATTCTCACTCATGATAGCCGATGCCTTACCACAAACATCTGAAGCTATTCCCTTACTAGGTCAGGCAAAATTAAAAATTAAAAATATAATTTTATAATATATAATATACATATAATTTAAAAAAAAAATTTAATAAAAAAACAAATCAATAATAAAAATAAAATACATAATAGATACATTATTTTTTTTTTTTAGGAACAAAATGATATACATAAAAATATATTTATGTATTATTTTTGTTTGTCGAATTTTGTGGTTTGTGTTTAACTCGGCTTGCTCTTTCTATGTTTTCTCGTACATACAATAAAAACAACACACTCAAATACACTCACAACAATAACTTTTATACTTTTTATTATTACTACGGCTTTTATAAAACCATAACACTATATTATTACGGTCACATCAATGTATAGTACATCATGATTTTTTATCAAACAATTTTCGAAACTAAAACCGTAATAATAAAACGATGATATTATTTTTGTACTCGGGTAATTCGTCCCTTAAAGTAATAAAATAATAATAATAATAGTTAATATTATTATTATTGGTACAATTTTTGTTCTTTTTAAATAAAGATTTTAAAACGCCTGTACATAATATGATCATCATTAATGTTATCAGAGGCCACACAATAAAACACAATACCAACATTATATATCTTTAACATCATTACAAACATCTCTACTAAAGCATGCTGTTCATTTTGTTTATGTTTCGTGTACAACTTTGATCGTCACCGTGTTTCATTGTGCATTTGTATTGTGTTTGACATTGTTATAATAATAATATAATATTATGCAGTTCTTTCTCTTTGTTGTTCGATTGAAACCCCATCACCCGTCCTGACATGATAAACACGATAATAGCAATATGATAAAATAAAATATAAATAAATATACTCAACGGACGATATTTAAATAAGATGCATACTTCATTACCACTAAACGATGTGATGTTAAACTGACTGTCGAGTAAACCCGTCGATCCGCATAAATACAGTTTTTTGTTTGTGTGAACATGAACATGTGTGTCGTTTTTTTAACCGTCACCTGTTGTCACCGTAGTTTTATAATATTGTTACTTTGTCTTATGATTTTGTTTAACATCTTTGATTATGTTCAGTTTAAAACAACACCGTCATTATTCCATACACCAGTGGTACCGACCAGATAGTCTCACAGCAGACTGCACCTGTAAATTATTATGTTGATAAAAATATTACTATTATGTTCCAAACGTTTTTTTACGGCGATAATAGTTTAACACGAAAAGGGCAAACACTAATAAGTGTTCATTTTTACAGTTAATAGTCGAACTTATAATAATTTGTTACCTCATATAAATTGATTTGACGTTTTTACTAAAAAAAAAAAAAAAATACTTAAACTATTATCGTTGGTTGTTTTATTATTTATTTATTTTTTTTTTTTTGTAAAGCAGCAAAAGAAACAATATGTATTACATATTTTCATGTCGACATTATCGTTTAACACTTTTCATTGCCTCTATATTATTGTTTTTGTATTACCCCACCAGTTATCATCGTCATTGTTTTTTTATTTTTTTTTTTTTTTTAGATACATTACGATTATATTTTTATGCATTTTTTTACGTTTTTATTATTATTTATTATTTACTTATGTTTTATGATTACAATTGTTTTTCTCTTGATGTTGTGTGAAAACAATAAAACTGATTAAACCGAAAACGTCGCGTTAAAAAGCAAATGTTAAATAATTATTATTATGTTGTTAAGTAAACAATATTTATTTTTCATAAAAAAAAGTAATTTTTCTTATAAACATAACTATTAATTAACCATGTGTTACCATATGTTATTACATTTGTGGGCCCCTCTGCCTCCAAGTAACAAAGCCGGTAGCTTGTTAAATTATTTGTAGTTATTTCGAATATTAAATACTGACATGTTATCAAAATCGGAGTGCGTTCTTAATTGGCTTGTGCATTGAAAAAAGTAATTTTCGATTAATGTGTACATTATCGAATTTTGTTCGGTTAAAGTCACTAAGAAAACAAAAGTTTACCACTTGTAAACTCATTTACAATACTCCGATTTGTATAATATGTCATAAAAACACGATGCCTCTTAAGACCATTTATGGTTAAATGCATTATTATTTAATTGATTTTTCGAAAAAAGTAAATACTTTACTAAAATAATATTAACATCAAGCGAAGTAGGTACGTTAAGTGGCAAACAATGACTGATTTATTATTGAGCTGCAGGAATATAATGCCAATGTTGTAGTTCAAACATATAGCTAATTGTTGCAAAGAAATTACCTACCTATTTGTATATTTTGTAACTGTAAACAACTTAATACACAATTGCTTTTTTTATATATACATTTTCTTCTACCACGCAAGTTAATTTACTACTTAGGACTGGTGACCCTAGCCCTAGACATGTTAAGGACTAGAAATACAAATGTAAGGCCAGAAGAAGATGTCTGCAGCCAACAGTCACAGTTCTATGAAAGTTACTATATTAATCGTTATACATGCAGCATTTTCATTATATATAATAGCATTAAATGTTTAATCTCCATTAAAATAAGAAAACGTTTTCAACTAGTTGATACATTTTTAACGAAACCGATTGTAAAGTCGGCCAACGGCCTTTGACTAGACACAGTGACTTATCATCTTCCCAAGTTTAAGACTTCATCTATTCAAATAGTTATCACTATAGTACTGCATTATCCAGGTGATATAAAAACTATTTTGTTTTTCTTTAGTAGCCGTTAAAGTTTATTTAAATTTAAAGAGTAATTTTATTAAATCACGTGTAAACTGATAACAGCACCACAAACGCATGTGTCGGTTGGGGTTTAATTCTATTGTTTATTTTTAGAATTTATGAACCGTAACCGTGTAAGCCTCATAATAAATGACAATGATCATATTTTATTTTGTTAAAGAGCCGCAGTCGGCATTGTGTTGAAAAATCTTACTTCGCTAGATGATAATTACCATTAACGCCCATAGAAAATAACTATATTTAAGTTTTATCTAGGTCTTAGGAGGAACTCGTGGTACGATGATGATTTAAACAAGACTTATTATTTAAATACAATTAACTCAAAGCAATCATTTTTATTTTTCAATAATTTTCTCTAAGACTTGACTTGTATTACTTGCACGAGTAGTACATTGTAATTTCCAACAATTTGAAATATAAAAAACCTTGTCTTGTTTATGTCGGATTTTCTTCTTATAAGACTTCTCTATGTAGTTTGTTTAGTGCATTTATATCTTCTTTTTATCATAACATTTCTAATATGAATTTATTTTTAAATAAATAACTTAATTTAGCATACGTACATTTGTAAATGGTGGCTTGGACAACTTTTCATATTAACTTCATGATTCTATTAATTGCCATCAGCAAGTAGTATAGTGTTATATAACTTTTTTTTTTTACCAACGTTTCAAGTCACCAACGAATATTTCTTGCTCTTAAAATCTTTAATGCACGTTGCTTTAACTAAATATTAAAAACAATAAATTACCAATGCCGGTGTACTAATACATTTTGTTTTGAAAAAATTAGGTACTTACTTCAACTGTATCATGTTCATGGTGGCATCGTCCGTAGTTTCTACGATCATGATATTAAACTATCATCATCGCAATGCGGACACTCACGTCATGGCTAAATGGGTAATTTCTCTTAATAATACTACTCTGCTAATAAATCGTGGTCAGATTTAGCAATAGATCTGTCGAAGACAATTAATTAAACACGGGTAATTCTAATCCAAGCAAATCACAGGGTAATTTATTTAATTTTGCATCTAATCAAATGATTTACAGGCCAACTATCAATTAGATCTAGAATTAACTCCAGTACAAATATTTATTTGCTTCATTTAAGTAATGGGTTCGAAATTAGTACAATCATTTCATTCTCAATTTTATATGTTCCAGAACGTATAAAATCTATTTCTTCTCCACTTTGTTCCTTCCTAATGTTATTTGTTCTGGAGCAAATAAAACATACCTAATTTGCTCTGGATCTAATCGATTTATTTTCTTCAAACAAACAGTCAATAAACCACTTAAAGACGAATAAATCTTAGTTCATCCGGAACATAAAGAGGAAGGGGGGAGGAACATAAACATGAATCTTCTTATAGGTGCCGTAGGACGTGTTCAATACTTATTAATCATGATCCAATGTTTTTTAGTGGAACGGAGAAAATTATGAATTTGGACTCGGCTTTATTTAGGCTTTATTCTTAACTTAAAAATGAAAGTAATTATCTCATATTACTTTCACCTTAGGCCTTAAAGTTAAACCTCCATAACACTTAACTATAATATAATTACAATAGAAAACGCCGTTAAATACTTAGGCATCCATCTTGATAAACGACTAACCTGGGCTACTAACTTGGGCGAGGACTTTTTTTTTTAATCAGAAAATATATTTACAATCTATACAACCGTGAGTACAATAAGTAAATGCGGTGAACGTTATATACACGGCATTAAGCAATTATCGTTAAGGGAAGACACTAGGAATTTATTAATTTAATTTGTTTAATTTAATAGGAATTTATTTTAGAAGGTCTCTGGGCCATCTTCTTTTAAGTCTTCTGGGAGCGTTTTCAGGGTAGGAGATCGAGGATAGTTGCTTTATTAGAGGATTAGAGTGGGAACTTAGATTTAAATGGACATTTTAGAATAGAGAATTTGCTAACTGGTTCAGTGTTGGTACGTTTAGGTCTTTATGTAGGTTTTTGTTTGTGATATACCAAGGGGAAGAGGTTATTAGCCGCAAGCAGATCGACTGGAACGCCTGGAGAGTTTTAGTGTTGGAGGGTTTGGCTGTGCACCAGAGTTGTATGCCGTAGGACCAGACTGGACGGATTAAGGATTTGTGTAGGATTAGTTTATTGGACAGAGAAAGCTTAGATTTAAGGAGAAGTCCAAGAAGGTGGAGTCGAGAGTTTAATGACTTACGTTTTTGTTTTAAACGTGGGCCCCAAGTTAGTTTTTTGTCCAACGTAAGGCCGAGGTATTTAACTGTGTTCGCCGTGGGAATAATTTGATTATGACTTAAGTATAACTTATTTGGTTAAGAGTGACTTGTGAGGACTTATTGATTTTGTTTTTGGTGCAGGTGAGGGTATTGTTCCTGGTGTGGATGCCGTGCTTGATGTGCATGAGTCGGCCCAAACGGGAAGACTCGGTCGGCCAGCACAACAACAACTCCGCAAACGCGGCGTCTTCCATCCATCATCTTCCCGACCTGGAGTTCCGGGCCAAGTCGTCCAGAAGTCTGCTGGCCAACGTGCTGGACCTGGACGACGACCTGAGGTCATCCACGCGCAGCTACCCGGGCGCGCGAAGTCAAGTGGCGCCCATGCCGGAGCACGTGGTCGAGCAGCAGCACGCTTCGGTGATCAGCGGAAGTGCCGACGGCGCCGGAGCCCGAGGCGGGGCGCACGCGGCCACCGTTTCCTGTCTGGGCCCGCACCGAGAGCTGTCGCTGATCCTGAAAGAGCTGCGCACCATTACGGACAAGTTGCGCAAAGAGGACGTGGACGAGGACATCACCAACGACTGGAAGTTCGCGGCCATGGTCATCGACCGGATGTGCCTGTACTTGTTCACGTTCTTCACGGTGGCCGCCACCATAGCGGTGCTCATGTCCGCCCCGCACGTGATCGTCACGTGATCCCGAGACAACGCCCGCCACTTCCGCCACGTCGTTCACCGCCGACCCGGAACAAGACCACTTCCGGTTCGGCGCGCCAACGGAACCGCCAGTTTCAACACGACTGTAACACTTTTTCACCTATACATAGTAAGCACCAAGTATGATCCACCCTCGTAGCTGAGTCGTACACATCCACACTACTCGTGTCGAACAAGCAAAAACGGTTAAACAAAACGAATAAGGTTCACATTAGTTTTCTATAAGGTGTAATTTTTAAATGTTAATTTATTTTGGCGTGTCGAGTACGAATCAATCGTTTTTCGAATTCGATACAAAACCTGATTATTTAGACTTGAAGAGTATCGCATCGATATTTCCTAAAGCGTTCCGAGCACAATCAAACACAATTAGCTTAATTATTTATTTTTTATTATAAACGGCAGCGTTTTGTCGTTATTATAACCCTTGCGGCGTGGCAGTGAGGCAAGTGTTTGCGACACAACCGAGCGAAAGCCAAGCTTGATAATGTTTTTCGTTTTTCACACGGTAAAAATTCAACGCAGAATTATTTCACATTTCTAAAACTATCATTAAAAAATGGGTTTCACGAAAAATGTAAAAATCAGTAGTTACTGGTTTGTTGTACAATTTGAATATCCTTCAAACCCAAACCAGCACTGATACCTACCCGACGCAAACACTGCTTCCACTAACTGTAGTTTTTCGGTCTGTCGCCACGTCGTAGCCTTATGGTAGTTGAATTGATTTGTTTAAACACCGATTATTCACGATATCATTATTATTTAGTTATTATTGTTAAAAATTTACTTATGAAAAAATTTAATATATCTTAAACACGTTGAATGACAAAATCTTGAGTCGTCTTCCGGTTCAAATAAATGTCAAAAAATTATTACAAAACTATATAAACTAAAATATATAATATTATATCAATAATAATTATTTAAACCATAGGTTGTATTAGTTCGATATTGTTATTATTTAGATTTTACATCGTAATAGAGTATCTATAGTATAGCATACTATCTTCTTAGATAAGCGATTCGGTAACTATTGTGTCGTCTAAAAATTAATTTTTGATTATTAATAATAGCACCAATTGGTTCGCTAACGACCGTGAATATACAAAGTGTTAAATAATAAATTGAGCTCAATTAAACGCTTATAATATATTTAAAAAAAAGGTAATATTAATGTAACGTGTATGCCAAAAATATACATAATATAAAAATATAAGACTATTATTTCGAGTTTTGCGACACTTAAACGATAATATGTTATATATATATTATAATAAATGTACCGAGTACATTGTACTTATTATAATTATATAAACAAAGGTTGTTTTTGTAAAAGTGAAAATCGTTTTAATCGTAAAATGTAATAATAAAAATAATGATAATTTTTTTTTTTTTTGTTAAATAAAAATTGATTTTAAACAATGATGGAAAAAAAATTACCTAATTGTAAATATCTACTTTGTTATTTGTACGTTGTTATTGAATCTTGTTAACATAATTATAATTTATTTTATATTATTATTATTATTATTAATATGATAATACGTAGGTGGTTTAGTTAACAATATATTGTATTTTATTAATATTAAAATAACAATAATATTATTAAATTATGTGTTAATGTATAGGCACATGTTTTGGGCATTTTGTAATGCTTAAATGTTTAAAAAAAAATTACAAAACTGTAACGAGACGGAAAGACTCGAAAGTAACAGAGTATATAAATAACATAATAATAATTGGCACTTGTAATAGTAATAATATCATTGTAATAATTTATATTCGTCCAATTGCCGACAGTTTTGTAACGATCAATTCGATTAGACGACCCCCTCGTGTAATACGTGCACTGTTTATTGTAAGGAAATCATTAAGTATGTGTTATTATACATTTATTATTACTACAATATCAGAAACTAATTTAAATTATTTTACGTTTCGTTTAACATAGTCATTTTGAATTACATTATTACTATCATACCCATCATCATCGTTGTTGTTGTTTCGTTAGTTTTTATATTAGAAGGCCAAAGACTGTAACCCTTTTTTTTTTTTATAAATAATATTATAACACATTAATAATTATTCAATGGCAAATTTCATTGTCGATTGTTTATTTTGTTGAACATTTTTCCCTAGAGTTGTATCGAAATTAAAATCACATAGAAATAATCACAGTTTACATTATGTTTTATTTAGTGACACGATTCGACAATGGATTGATATTATTGCGAGTCCGCTCATCTAGGCCGGCTGTTCTTTTAATATTCGTTAAGCGTTATTATTCAGTACAATAATTGGATAAAATTGAACTTCCAAAATTCGGTTTTACTTCGTGTTATATTCAACAATTATATTATTATTATTATTATGTACTTATAAAATATATTGATATCGTTTAAGTCGTAATAGTCCTGACAGCTGTTATTTATCTATATTATTATTATTATTGTTGCAAGCCACAATGTGTCGATATAGTTTTAATCATCAAAGACCCTTTTTCGGTTATTTAAATATTTCATAGTTATAATCATCATCGTTGTAATAAATAATTCCCAGTTGTGTCGATTGAGGGCAATAAATACTTTTTATTTTATTTTCCATTTAACTATCGTTTCGTCGACTTCGCTATTGATTAGGTATTTGCGCCGACATTTGTTCTAAATATAATATTATTACTACCAAATTTTTATTTAGATTTATTTCGAATATATACTAATGGTCGAATATTTCATTCTATTATCCGTTCGCTCGTATACAACATTATAATATTATTATATAACCGCTCTGTTTTGTATGGACATTTCTTTTGAAAATTCTAAATAGTACTATTATGACATTAATATCCATATTCGTTTGGTTATTATCGTTTATATTTATTAAGTTTTACGTAAATGTTCTATGTTTTTGTTTTTTTGTTTTTGGAAACGTCTATGACAAATCGTAACGTGCGATTTTGTAGGCCGAACACACACCTTACATACAATATTATTAATAATATTAAAATATTGTAAATTTGTACGACTAACGCAATACGGTGTACACATACATAATATAGATTTGCTCATAGAATTTGTTAACTCTTGTGTAATGTAGATGTTAAATTAAAATAATAAAGATGTATAATTTCAAGCAATTTGTAATAAAAATAATATAAAAAAGTTATAAATGTGTTTATGAAATCGAACCACGTTTATGTTTTTTTTTTTAAACTCATTTTCTTATTATGTTCACAATGAAAGCATTTCTCTTGATGCACCCACCGTCTTATTCGACTTCTTCTGAAGTCATACCTTAAAGCTAGTAGGGTCAAAAAGTAATTTTGAAAATTACATACTGACCAACCAACAGGTATCAGACGGATCTTTGCAATGGCAACAAATTACTATAGATAGACGATCAACCCTAATTGTATTCACCCCTACACTAATAATATAGCATAATAATAAAAGAAAAACTCATAACATTTTTAACCGTAGACATATTTTAGAAAAACCATAATATCACTTTCGGGAAAACCTGGAACATAAAGTATTCATACCATATTATTATTAAAATATAAACTTCAGCATAATATTATCTTTAAATTTATAATAAAAATAAAAATATGGTTACTTCTTTTTTTTAGCTGTAAAATATTTTTTTCAAACTTAAAAATTCGAAATGCATTTAGTCGTAACCATCTGAATTACTTAAAAAAAAATTAGAATTTAAATTTAAATTTCCTAATGAAAACATTAAACGATTGTAAAACCAATAGCTGGCGAGAAATAATTGTCGAATCTACGTCAGTACATTGTAGATATGCAATCATATTGCAAAAATAAACCAGTAAAGAAATGCAGCACATACTGCAAACTATATTACTATTTTACTGTTTATGTCGAAATACAAGCCCATAGACAAGACACGCAAAGTTATTTCAAAACACTTCACTTAACAAGTTATTCGATTCATGTCATAAAAAAATGTAAGTTCGCTTTTAATAAAACCTTAAAATATATTTTTAGTTTTTCTACATTTTTATTAATTTTCCTAATTTTCTATTTTTTTAATTTTTTGTTTTTTACTTGTTATAACTGTAAAAAACTCTTAATTTGCTATTCTAAATTTACCAGTGCTATAGCGAATATAGACCTTATATACCTTACAGTTAAAACGCTATATCTTTTTGAAATGTGGTCGAAATATTTTCAAACCTGTGCAAAATATATTTTTTTTTAAATATTACTTCATAAACTCTTTACCTCAAAGGAGCAAAAACATTAATTTTTGAGAAAAATGTTGACCAGCTCAGTGAAGACGAGATGTGTTTTGGGAAGGAGCTTATTGTAGCAAAGAGGTCCCTGGCCTTCAGGAATAACTATAACTGAAAGAGATAAAACCTTTTCCAAGTTAATGTTTCGATCCGAGTTTGAAGACTGTAGGAATATTTAAGATTGATAAAAGCGTTGTGTAACCAAAAATGTGTTAAAAATAGTGTTCTTTGTATTAGAACATATTAGTGGTAGAAAATATTACAGATCGTCTGTCTGCCTTTTGTACCAATATAAACTAGAAATTTACAACGATCAATGTGTCATTTTCCCTCTTTTAAGTTTTTCCTTTACAAAAAAAAAAAAGTTTACTACAGATTTTTAAGAAAACTGTATATTATGCCAAGCTCTAGAACTTGTACTATACTAATCACATACTTAAACAATATCTCCAACTCTATCTTTATCTTCATTGTAACTTCTATCTCCATCTCAATCTTTAGCATCTCCGACTTCCTCTCTTCAGGTAAAATGGAACTTAAGAGTTAATTTTTTATCCAACATTATTTTATTATAATTTTATTTTTATAACTGGTCTTTGTTATTTATTTAAACTGCATGCTAGAAAACAGATAAGTTACCCTGTTAGTACCATTGCTTTTTAAAAATTGTATATATTTGAATAAATTATTATACACTTGGTAAATTACATAGTATATTACTTAATTTATTTTAACTTCGATGTAAAGCAGAGATGCTATTGGTTTTACCATGATGTAAGCTTTTCTTTGTGTCTGTATATACTGTAACTTTTTCAATAGTGGACCAACTACTTCGATAAATCACAAATTTCATCTAGTTGATACTTTGGGGGGTAAAAGGGGGAAAAGTTTACTTCTTCATAGTTAAAGCTTTTCAAAAAAACGCCTATTTATAATAATTCCTGTGATCTCTCCGTCTCCTCTATGCTTTGATTCCATTATGACTATACCCTACTGTACTAGTCGTGACTAGAAGTGCTAGCACTCACAGCAGGAATACAAATTAGGATTATATGGTAATAGTTTTATCAATAAACCAATACATAAGCAACAAATGTGTCTATAATCGTGAACCAAACTGTTTATTAGTGTAATACATTGATGCAAAAATAATTTGAATATCTTACAAATAGTGCTACATAAGAGTTTTAGCTACGATTTCTTGTCTTAATTACAAAAGCTGCAATACAAGGTAATTTTTTCTTATATCAACGTTACCGGGGTCCACTTCAAAAAATTCGCCATTGAAGGATCTGTATACGGTGTTACTATCATTTTGTTTCGTTAAGGTACAAGTACTTCTATCGCCAGTCTTAGTAGTTGTTGTATGGAATACTGGATACTTCGTACTCATGAACAATCCTATTAGACAACAGGTCCCGTCTAAATTTATACCTGGTTCTTTGCCAACTAAAAAATCAAAAAATTTGTCTTTTTTTTAAATTGTTAAATCTGGCTTGCCATTTACTAATTATTCTTTAGTGCGCAAGATACAACTAATACAGAAAGTATTGAAGTAGAGAATATGTAGGAAAGATTATTTCTGTCAAAAAAAGAGTAAGACAACGAAAAACAAGATAGGAACCATTACGTGCAGTAGGTTCTTTTTGTAAGGTGCAGCATGATAAGGAATTATTTAGATAAATAAATAAAGAAAGCCAAGAAAGAAACTATGACCAAATCTTTGACGGGCAGTATAATTTGTTTTAGTGTCAAATTATGAGAATCTTATAAGATATAATATAAATATCATAAGGTGTATAGTATACTAGAAGGTATACTAAGAAGGTATACTAGCTCTAATGATTCTTACATATATGTATTCAAACATATTATATTACATATTAAGATTATACGTACTTAGTATACGGATGATTATTTTTCTTAAAGCGTTTCTCGTAAAATGCCTTCTTTTATTTCCAAGCTGTACCAAATCCATTGTTACAAAATCTGCAAGAAAATAATAGATAACCAAATAAATTAGCTGCCTATGATGTAGGATTGCATAATATTTAAAAGAACTGTGCTCAGTACATAATATCTTATATACTATACACTAAAAAATACTTCATTTAAAGCACGAGTAATACTATTAATGTGATACTTATTTATACATATATACATTTCAAATAGGAATTCATATTATTGAAGTACAATTTTATTTTCTACTATACAAAAAATTCAAAGTAATTTTCGTCTTTAAAACCAGCCATAATGTCTATATTTTACTACTATCGTATAAACTTGTAATTACCTATATTTGAAGTTTCAGGCAAAATAACAGCTACAATACCGAAAATATAAACATCAAAATATATTTATACAGTTAAAAACAAAGGCTTTTATATTTCAACGATAATAGTCAATCTACAAATGTGACCAAGTTTCAAACAAACTTGACCAATTATTCGATTTGAATTATACTTAGAAAGCTTAAGCAAAAACTATATACTTAGCTCAATAAGTGATGATAATAGTTGACAATTGTTCGCTTTAAAACGTTAAATTTTATATTTACGTATTATTTCATCTATTGCGGATTGTATAGCTTTCTGGATATTTATGAACTCTAAAATTTCAAAACAAATATATTTTAATAATGTACATGTTTTTCAGAGAGAGATAGATAAGTATTGAATATATGTGATTACTTTCTGAGTTAATTTCAAGATCCGCAAGTTCTGAAATTAAACCGAAAACATTCTAAGCTTAATAATTATTGACAACTGTGTGGAAATATTTCCATAAAAATGCAAAAAATATTATTACCGGGTGTAGCGAACATATTATTCAGAATCTCTGAAATCAACATTACATAAATTAATTGATCTCAATATTCTTTCTATAATTCATTAAAAGATCTAGGTAGAAAAAACATGTTCACGGTACTATTATGTTAAATAGAGCGGAGGCTATAATAATATTAGTGCTGCGAGGAGGCAGATGTGGCCATTAAAATCTATAATATAACGAATAATAACGATTATATGATGTTGACAGAGCCAAGACCAAAGTTATTTGTTATAAAAATTATATTTGGTTTTAAGAGTAAAATTTAAGTTGTATAACACTGATAAGTTTGCATGGGAATTAATTTTTGTTTTTCTACTTGCAACCTTTAAATGTATTCATATATAATAAAGAGTACCCATTTCATGACCATATTGAAACACAGTGTCGATAATCACAACTTCCAATGCATCTAGAACAAACAAAGTTTGAGCCGTAATAAAAATGTCCAAATAAATCCATAAAAATCATCAGAATAAATTATACCACACTTTCAGTGATGACCATTGACATTTCAACTACTTTCCCTAATACGTTAAATAGTAGCTCACCGTATCCAAGCAAGTGTGCACTAAGTAAATATTATAGAATCTACTTCTCTGAGTATTTTTGGTTTTTATAAATTAAGTAGTGTTGGGTATGCTGGTGTAGTTCATAGAAAGTATACATTTTTCGCTTATAATTCAGTCATACATAAAAAAATAATATATATATGTTGGTATAATATTTTGTTTGTAATATTTCTTACTTCCTATTATTTTATCAGTATCGTCAGCAGCTTGCTGGATGAATTCATCTATAGTAAATCATAAAAAAAATATGTGCAAAAACAGTAAAATATAAGAACTTAAGTTATTTGTGTTACTGACTTGTAATGAAAAGCTGTTTTGCATATTCCTCTGTAAAAAAAAAACCTAGTTTAGCTTTGCTCCATTGTATAATTCTAAGCAAATTTAATGTAATAAAACGAAATTCAATTTTGAAAAGGTTAAACAGCTCTGGCGCTTTGCTGAAGCTGAAGCTGAAGACGGTGCGCAGAGGGTGGTGTCGGCGGAAATATACACTTGTGACTCTTTTACCCTGGTAATCATATTCGTTAATTAAAAAAAAATCGTGATCTTTATGTCAAAGACGTGAATACTTAACACAAATCTCGGAATGACCCCCAGCCCGATAACATATCCATGTTAAAAGTAAAATATAGATTTTTATATTTTTTTTTTTAAATAAAATAATTACCTTTACTAGAATCCTCCACAGCATACACAAAGACAAATGACATCAAAACACAGAAAAATTCCATTATCTACAAATCAATAATGAACATAAAGGCAATTTGTATTACATAGGTAATCATAGTTCGCCAATAACTAGCACTGGAGCGGGGCCGAAAAGGTTTTACGAAAATGTTTTTTTTTTATTTGATATTCTTAATTTGTTGTTTTTTTAATATTAAAAATGTCTTCAGATATTTTTATATATACAATATTATTAGTATAGCAATTTATATTAGTTATAGTTTACCAATAGCTAGCACCGATGCAGAATCTATAAACCATAAATGTTATTCAAAATGTATGCTTTGATCTCAATAAACCGATAATCTGTTTTAATTTTTAATGTTACAAATATTTTATAAAAGTTTTCAGATCCAAAGTCCAAAAACTAGGCCCAAAAGTGAATAAGGAATGGTTAATGATATTTTTTTACGATACATTTGTTTATACAATTTTATTTCTGAAAAAAATATTCTACACAAGTCTGAAAACAGTTCGACTATATTACAAAAAGTTATAGCGCTTAAAATTGTTAGCCCTATGAAATATCTTCCATACATAACTTATCTAAAACTAGACTTGATAGAAATTAGCCTAACTAACGAAAAGTCATGTCAGATTAATATCCAAAATCACAAAAATAGAAAATTAGAAAGAATTAATCAAAATACTGAAATTAACATATTTTGTAGTTTGATGTATTAGTTAAATAAAATATCATAAACCGGCGTCTGTTAACTATTTAAAATACACTATAATTTCTATAAGATGGTTAGGCTACATTATAAAAGATGCAAAATATAAAACTTTATTACATTTTAAAAATACGAAACACGTAGTTTATTTAACTTAACTTATTTTTATTAGAATTAGCTTTAAAGAAGACGTTGTGCACTCAAATTTTAGAGTTAATAACTAGCAAACTTGATTTTAGCCTTTTAGCAGGGACGTCTTTGAATAGGTATTTAATAATTGGCCTATATTTGTTTAAACGCTTACTAAAAACGTTTAAAGTTTTATAGAATTACTTACTTGAATGACTTAATGAGCTGAACAAAAATCAGTTTGAGCAGTTTGTGATACTCTTTTGAAATGGCTCTCACCAATTTTTAATGTGCTTATATTTCAACCGAAGAAGTAAAATCAAATAGGTTTTCGCATTGTGTCAATGTTGAACTTATTTACATGTGTTCATATTTTTACTTGTTTTTTACAGCCGCTGTCGCCTGCCTTTCACAGTAAATTTGACAAAACGTTACTATGTACACAATACTAAACCTACAAAATAATTCGTGTAAACGATCACCGACAATGAACACGTAATATTGAAATGATCAGATTCGACTGTTTCTTAACCCAAGAGAAAAATATAGAATCAAGTTTATATGGGGATTGCAGTTTTTTTTTTAAAACAAGTTAGTTGAATCACAGATTAGATAAGCTAAAACCCTCCTTAACTTAGTGTGGCCAAATTCTCGAAATTAATTTAATGTGCAAAACACTTTACTGTAATAATTGAAAGTATTGGTTATTTTAAAATATTTGTATTAAAATACTAAACCCTTAATGTCACTTTTATTAGATAAATAAATAGCACTCAAAAGTTAGAACTACAAAAATAATTTTAAAAAAATCAGTTAAGAGTATTCACACTACAAACGGATATATAGGCACGTGTATATGTTTTATTACTGGTAAATGTCAATTTTATTGAAATAGTAATAAACATTTTATATGCTAGGAAGTAGGTCGCAACATAAATTTGTTGTTTTTTTTTCGTAGCCTACATACATAGTATTTGTAGGTATTATCGTTGAGTATATATTATTGTGTACATACTCAATGGTAGTGTGTACGTTTTACCGTTTTGTATAAATTTGTATTTTCGTTTGGTTATTTGTTTGGATAACTGAGAAGACATGAATAATTTCAACTGACATACTTAATTTTTATGGCTTTAATTTTTTGTGTCATACTAAAATAATATTAAGGAAATATAATAGTATACACTACTTAGTATTATTTTCGGCAGTATGAACTATACAAGCAACTTCTAGCCAAAAGCAAAACGATAACGTAAAATATTTTTAACTCCGCCTCAGAATAATGTAAATAATATGTTATTCACAACGAAAAATGACTAATGTTGCTTATGTTAACAAATTCGCATATACAGTTCTGCAAAATACATCTAGGTTTTATTGTTTCGGTCAACAAAATACAATGCCATTCGATAAGTCGTAAGTAAACCATTGAAGCAGTCAGTATAATTATCATTGCAATTGTTTGAGTAAGAACTTCAAAAATTGTAACATTGTATGCTTTCATTGAGTTTTCATTAGTTTCTTCTAGTTTAAAATATTTTTTCCACTAGTTCTAATTTATTTTACACCAAGCTCATATGTAAGTAATACCATAAGACTTCAAAATATACAAGCAGAATTGTGCAAGTTCTTATTCAAATAAATTTTTAGGACACGAAATTATTTTCTTATAATATTTATTGGTTTTATATAATTTATAAAAGTAGAATGTATACGAAATAATATTTTTAAATATAATTACTTAAAAAAATCACCTAAAGTCTATTCAAACGATATTTTTAAAAATTGTTCTAATACATTTTTAAACGATGAATTTTATTTTAATAAGATGTTATCTAGATGTTTATTTAGATATTTTTTATCCGAACGGTTCAAAACTCTGGTTGTATTAACGCATAGCATAATACGCATAATATGTATCAAATTGATATTATCCGAGTAAGCCAGTTGAGTGGGGTCAAGGCATAATGGGATCATATCAGTGGGGACGGAGAGGTCACAGATCTACAGGGGTTATTATTAATAAAAGTGATAAAACCACTTTTAAATAAACGCTTTATTTCTCATTTTTAACGTAGTTATTATTTTTAAAAAAATTGTTTGTACTGTAAATAGATATATATATAAATTATAATATTTTCAATTCTAAATGTTACAGGCCTAATACAAGTGGTGTAAAAAAACGTTATATTTTATTGTATTTTTTAGAATTCGATTGAATTGTTCTTTAGCATTGTAGTGTAGGACTTTTAGCACTTGTTTAGTTGTATACTAAATTATACCTATATAATATTTATTTTAACCATTCCTTCAGACGTAGTAACTCGTATATGTTTACATATTAAACACTTAATAAACATGTATTTTTTAAACAAGTGTTTTGCACTTACTAAATATTATCGCCAAAAATTGTTGGGTACTCATACTATTATTATTATTATTTAAGTACTTCATTATTTAAGATATTTATTTAATATAAATATTACAAAATGCCTATTTTGTTCACACCTATCTCTGACCACATCTTCTCAAAATACTCCTTAATAAATCTAAAAATTATTACCCTCTTGTTCGGAACTAACTCTAATATTTTTCCAAAAAATATGACAGGCCTATTACAAACGAAATATGAACAAGATATACATAAAAAATAGATTTATTATTATTATAGTTATCTCTAGTATACATCTCTATTCAAAAAACATAAAACATATCAAATAAAAACATCAATGTAAAACCAAAACATTTCTCGTCTCCACTCCAGAGTGCCTGCAATTAATATAAATTTTGCAATTTTTTTTCTTATTAGTTTTAGATAAAAATGAAAGTTTCCTATGCTTTAATAGCAATTCTGTTTGTAAATGTTTTGGCGGATTTAAAGGATGACTATCAAAGTAATTATTTTATTTTTATATTTGCCCACACAAGATAGTTAAAAGCTGTATATTTAACTTTTCCTTACAGAGGAATATAAATTGGAGATTTCCTTGTCCAGTAAGTAATGTTATTTAAGCATATAGACTAACTTTATGAGTTTTTTAGTTTTACTGTAATTATACATATTTTTCAAAACATTTACTACAGACATGGAAATCCACAGAGCTTCAAACCATTACGATTCAAACGAAAGTAAGATACAACCACACACGAATATATAATATTTAACATGAAGTACTATGTTTTGTAATATTTGCCTAATTGTCAAATGATTGATAAACTAAAAATTATAGATCCTATTATCTTTTTAGAGAAAACGGGTTATAAATTACAATATAGTACATATTTCATGTGTTATTAATTAATACACAAAAGTATAATTAGATATTTTTTAAATAATTAAAAGTGATTGTAATAAACCACAGTGTAAACAGATTTTAATCGTTATTAAAACACCCAAATAACCAAATAATGTAAATGTTAAAGTTATAAAAATAAATAAAAATACTATTATATTTAAAGTAGTAGTTTTATATTTTCGATTGGGGTAAACGATTTGTGTATATTTTATTTTTATTGAAACTATTTTAAAGCTAAAACCATTATTTGTTTGTTCTAGACGGATTGGAGTATATAATTACAATTTTTGTAAAAATGGTAAACGAAGAGTATCCTACAATAGGTAATAATAATTATATGATAATAAAAAAAAATTAGCCAGTAAAGTTGGGAATCTGTGGATAGTAGGGTTCATCCTGTTGACTGTTGATTCACTCACACATACCAACCTAGAAATTGACTACGGTCAATGTGTTATTTCCCCTTTTGTGGGGTTTTTCTTTTTAAAAAAAAGTTTTAGTAACGACAATTGAGAAAACAGTATATGTTAGAGTTCCATTCTAGTTCTACCTTAGGTCTGTTTACCGAACCCACATCCCTAAACTATAATTGAAAAAGTAAAATAAAAAGATAATATCTATCTCTTCTAGGGGAAAAAGATGTTTTCTTGATTTTAAGGAGGAGTGGGGTAATTTTTTTGATTTTCTGCCTACAAAAATACATCTTAGACACGATTTCTGATCTATAGAGTTGCTACACGAAGAAACCAGTTTTGTGGTTCAAAAACTATCGTAGAGCCTGTGTTTAAAAAAACTTAAAACATATCATAGTAAATACAACAATACCTTCTTAGCTTCACGTGGGAGCTAAAAACCTTGGTACTAGATGACCTTCTTACAAATATAGCTACAAAAATTGATCTTAAGAGAAACGTTCAGTTATATAAATCTTATTTTCACACATTCTACAATCCCATATGTTTCGGACATTGTATTTTCATTAAGTTTCTACCTTATTTAATAGATCCAAGCACTGTCTTTTCAATTGCTAGTACATATATTTTTCTCTTAACTTTTGTATTCTAGCTTATATTAGAATACAAAATTAAATCTTACATCATTAATTTACATAGGTATGATGTCATATGGTTTAACTACCGCGTTCACTATACCGGGTAATACATAAATTTGCATTTTTTTGAAATATTTCCACACAGTTATTTGATAATCGTACAAAGATTTTATTTTACTTACAGAACATATAAACATTAAAGACCTATCATTACTAAAAGGTAATCTATTATGATTTTAGTGTAATTCAAATTTCATATTTATAAAGCTTCTCACAGAATCATAATTAAATTTTATTTTATTTTTAATTTCCTTTTAATTTTAGAAAAAATAGCTGAACAGCGATATTTGCGAAAGAAAATATATGATCTAATAGGTAGATATATTGTTTAAAAATGTATCTTTAAACACAAATGGTCAAAAGAATTCAGGACAATAAACGCCATGAAATTAGAATGTGAACAAATAACAAAAATATTACATTTCAAACAGATTGTCAAATACTTCAAATTGTACAGAGTACAATTATTAATACCGCCAAGGAAAAATAATACACAAGAATTTTGGGAAATACCAGGACAAAATAAATTAATACATCAAAAAAGACTTGCATTGACACACAGTATTTCTAAGATTAAGGATATAAAACATAGTAGACTCTTTTAAACAAAATTAAGAGAACAAACAGAATGCGTTAAATACGCAATGATTTTGAGGAACTCTAGTTGGGTAAAGTAAACTTTAACTTGGGGTGAGAAAGTGAGATTTAAAAACTTAGATTCGCGAAAGGAAACAGTCCACTGAGAGAGCACTCACAGAAACCTACATGGTGAAATAGAGAGAATACTGTACGGCCACGTGATCTCAATGATCGCGTTAACTATATAAAAAGAAGTATTGCTGTATGTCGCAGTCTAATGGTAGCGCTGAAAATTGACACTAAAAAACACGAATAAAATATAAAAACCTGGTTTGATTAACTGGATAGTTATTTAAATTTTTAAAGTTTTGTTTCAGTGGGTCCCGCTTCTGAAGATCCAAACCAAAGTAATTACAAATTGTTGTTTAGTAGTTAACATAACTTATGGCTTGTCTCATAATTATATAATCCTTCATAATTTTTTTACAGGTGGTTCTGTATCTGAACATTCAAACCAAAGTAAATTCAAATTATTTAGTTAGTAGTAAATATAATTAATATAAGTAAGTAATTAGTTGTAAATATAAATAATGACCTGTCCCATAGTTATTTAATTCACCATATTCTTTATACAGGTCGTCCTGATTCTGAAGATTCAAACCAAAGTAATTACAAAGTTATTATTTACTAGTAAATAGAACTTATGGCTTGTTCAATAACTATTTAATTCTTCATATTTTTTTTTACAGGTGATTCTAGTCCAGAAGATCCACCCCAAAGTAATACAAAACTAATTAGATTGTAGTAAATAAAAATGATAGCTTGTCTCAGAAATATTTAAGTAGAAGTATTGCTTGTGTGTCCTTAGTCTGGTATAAGCACTGAAAATAATCTCTGAATTACGTGGATAAATTATAAAAAACCCGATTTGACTAACTTTATAGTTATTTTGATTTTTATATTTTTTTTACAGTTTTTATTGATTTTGATAACGCAAATGGAAGTAATTACAATGTTATTAGTTAGTAGTTAATAGAACTTATGGCTTGTTTCATAACTATTTCATTTTTATATTCTTTTTACAGGTGGTCCTGATTTTGAATATTCAAACCAAAGTAATAAAAAACTTTTAATTTGTAATATAATTTTAGAATTTATGTTTAATTAATTGAATAACAAAAAATATTTTTTATTTTTTCATTTATTTATTACTTACGCCAAAATGGCAATTACAAAAATACAATCATATAATAATAATAATAAAAGGTACAATTAAATAAATGTAAAGTATTAGGCGAATTAATTTTTAAATAAGTTGAATAGAAAATCATTAAATTTGATTAAATTGAATAAATCAAAATCTATTAGATTATTAGAAATTTTCATACCTCTATTAATGAAGGTGTGATGCATAACCATAACTAGTTGAATGCTGGAGAACGAAAAATATTGTTTTTAATCTAGTGTTGTGGCAAGTATTGCTTGTGTGACCTCAGTCTGCTCAGCGTTGAACATAGTCACTAAAATACGTTGATAAAAAAAAAAAACTTGGTTTAATTAACTGTATAGTTATTTTATTTTTGTTACAGGTATTCCTACGCCTGAAATACAAAGTAATTACGAATATATTAATTTTTGTAAAAAATCATCTGATGGCTTGTTTTATAATTAATTAAGAAGAAGCAGTGCTTGTGCGTCCTTCGTCTGCTGATAGCGCTCAACATAGTTATTAAAATACGTGGATAAAATATAAAAACCGATTTGAATATCTGTATAGTTATTTTGATTTTAATATTTTTGTCACAGTTATTGTTGATTATGAAGACACAAATCAAAGTAATTACAAAGTAAATATAACTAATGGCTTTTTCTTAACTATTTGACTCTCCATATTTTTTTGCTACAGATGTTACTGTTTCTGAAAATCCAAATCAAAGTAATTACAAAATTATTAGTCAGTAGTAAATAGAACTTATAGCTTATTTCATAACTATTTAATTATTTATAATCTTGTTACAGGTGTTCCTGTTTCTGAAGATCCAATTCAAAGTAATTACAATGTTATTAGTTAGTAGTAAATATAACTTAGGACTTGTTTCATAGATATTTATTTTTTATATTTTTGTTACAGATATGATTAAAGAGAATGCTAAAATCAGATATGAAAGTCAAAGTAATAACATTGTTATTAATTAGTAGTAAATAGAATTTGGCTTGATTTAAACATGAAATTCGCATTACGTATTATTTTATTCATACAATGATTACAAAAAAGGTAAACTTTAATTTGGGAAGAGAGAGGGGCAGTTTATAATTACATTTAACAATAATTTAATGTCAAGACATTTAAAGTCATCGAATACTCCTGACTCAATAGATAACATCCTATACAAGTTCTTGTTTTATAATATTATACTAGTAGCTAGCAGGCGACCGGGTAGGCTACAGATAATGACTGACAGGTGACGGAGTAGGTCATAGATTGCGAGTGGATTGTGGACATTAGTGTCTAGCGTAGTCTAGCTATCTGTCAGGTCAAAAACGATCTACTTATTATAAAACCAAGTATCTGGTGCTGCTTACTTTACGGGTTTAGTAAGCAATGTTTTATAATAGAAAGAAATATCTAGAGGTCAGTCGGCTAAAGTTCTGGTATGATGTCTCGATGTGAAACAAAACTTTTTCAAGCGTAGTATATTATATTGGTCGAACTAATCTACTAATCTGTTCAGTCATGTCAGTAACCGATAATGACGTACTGTAAGTATGAAATGTATAATTAAGATCTGGTGGTTTAGCAGAAATTCAAAAGTATTAAAAACTTAAGGGTAAAAAACATGAATGGAGTAAGCATGGAAGAAAAACGAATAACCGTTAAAATTAAAACTATCACTTTATATATGTGGGCGATTGGAGAGGCCGTCAAATAATTGCATTAATAATGCTCCAATGGCCTCCGTTAACTATGCGCTCTGGTTATCCACTATCAAATACAAAATACGTATTTATTCGATTAAACCACTTATAATTCATAGTTCTTTAAATTTACCATAATTATGTTTATCGTGCAGCTATTTCATTTGTATTATTTGTTATCAACACGGTAATTTATTGATTTTTTCACAGAAACTAAAAATCTGACCAAACTTTTAGAAAATAGAAGAATTGGACATACAGAAGAATTAAAAAATAGAATTGCCCATGAAAGTATGTGCTAATATAGAGTCATAATTTTCTGTAAACCTTTTGAATACATTTCATATTTAAATTAACAGATCTCACCCAACACATAGTAAACATATGTTAATGTTTTATATTATCATTTGAACTGTTAATATATATTACTATATATTATCGTACATTAATACATATATTTATACATTTATGAAGGTACAGGAATTTTTCTAGAATTACGTCGACTTGCCAACGAAAGAAGACCTATCATTGAACGAGCTTTAAAAAATATACTTGCAAGAAAATTAAGTAAATATAAACAAACAACAAAAATAATTTTCTGAAAATGTTGATAGGTCGATAACTAGTTTTGATTAATTACTTTTAAATTAACTTTACTCTAATTTAAAATTTAGGATAGTAAGTGGACGGTGTTACACACAGATAAAAATAATACTACACTTAACCTTCCCCTCGCCATGATTATAACTTTAAATATAACTATCTACAAATGGTTATCGACCAGTCACGATTTTCAGCAAAACCAAAAGTCTTAAAAGTTGATAGAGCTCTAGAAAATACTAACAACATTTTATAATATTATAAAGTAACATAAATAAAGACGTTTTCAATAATTATAAATACAAAATTGCAATAATTTTTGGAACAAATGAGTGTAATAACCTTATTGAATTACCCTGTATAAATACTAATTTTTTAATTGTTTTACATGTATGTTTTTTAAATATATAAATTTAAAATGTTTGTATTATAGCTCCTACAGTCGATGAAGGTAAGTACACATGCACATGATTTAGTTGTCATGGATTATAAAGGAATATACACTTAGGCTTTTTAAGTGTATTCAAGGGAGCGTTAGTTTTTTACTTGAAGTAAAGACATTGGGCCATGAATATGCCTTTTTATACGTGGAGGCTAAAAGACGAATAAAAGATACATTCATGTTAAAAAACCTATTATTTAATTTATAAACTTAACAGCTATCCATCGACTAAAGCACACTGGCAAGGAGAAGAAAGATAAGAGATATGGCGCTCATACAATTGAATATATTATATATCAATATTATATTGTATAAAATTCCGATTAATGTGTGCACGTATACTGTAGTTTGGTTCGCCAGGTGGTAAGGGAGGGCGGGGGAGTAACCTCAGCAATAAAACATAATCATTTCAATAAAATAATTTACATATAACAATATCTAATATAATATTCGACAATTTTTAAGAAAAAATATTTTCTAATGTTTCAGCTGGAAATGCTGTTCCGATATACATGAGTAGGACGATATGTCTTTTGATAGCATTGTGGATTAGTTCAAACACTGCTTCTAAAACACCTACAAAATTTGATGGTGATATTTGTATCATAGGATATAAAAAATATCATTTTGTAAAATACAGATCCATTGATGGCAAACTTTGGCAAGTCAATCGCCTCGATGTACCAATTAAAGAACTAAACGTACAACTATATGAGGAAAACTTTATTTATAATATTTTAGAAGAGTATTAAATTGTACATTTTTTATAAATTATAAAATATTTAAATAATTTATACACATTGCACTAACATCCGAATTGTCAATTAATATAATGGTTTTCTAATATAAACGGTATTATAACTATTATAAACACATTTGTGGCTTATGAATAATTATTATTATTATTACCTACCTATTGTTTGATTTTGGCTGTAAGATGATTTTATGGTCTAGATCGATCACCTATTGAGAGGATAAATTTTCCTTTTTACTTTTGAGTGTTTTGAGTAGTGGAAATGGGTTTTTTTCAATATCTCAATGTATACTATTTCCGAAAAACTATGTGGATTATGCTAAATTGATCAATGTGTACAACTGACAAAAAGTAACAACAAAATATATCAACAGGTAATACATATTTAATTTTATAAGAATTCAATGGATGCTATCCTTCCTATAATCCGAGCAATCCTAGTCGTTATTTTTGTATAAAAAAAAAATAAATATCATTAATAGATAAAATATGTATATCAGCCCGAAAAATAAACAAATGATTTGTGATTTTATACAGACAGTATTGTGTAATATATTTCGAGTAATGCAAAATTGGCAAAAAATCTCTTATTTCATGCTCTAGTATTTAAAAAAAATTTATTTCGACGCATTCTGTGGTAGACAAAACGTCCACATTTTACAATGATACAGTTGGTTCGATTTTTAATTTATAGTACGATATATTTGAATTTATTTTGTATTTTTTTCGATAATATTATATTGTATTATTGTTAGTTTAGGTAACCTTATTATAGATAATGCGCTTAATAACGATTGATAACTTGCTTAGCAATGGAAAAATCAGAAGCCTGGACGATAAACAAACTATAATAATCCTGACTTTAACGTCGACCCAAACGATTATTTTTTCTTAATAAAGAGTTAAGGATTGCTTTAATAATTTTTCATTTTTTTTTAACGTGACTTTTCAAATGAATACAAGCGGCCGAAATAGAATTATGTTTACTAAGACGACAGAATTTTCGCAAACGGCTGCCATCGAACAATTACAATTTTGCCGACCAATTATTTGAATGTATGTTTATATTATTACTATTGTTATTTTTAATATCTTATATCTCTTAGTTCTGAAACAATAATTTATTAGGTATGCTTCTAACGAAATTTTATAAGTCATTTATTTGATGCGCCTCTTTTGAAGATGCTATGTGTGGATACTGGACGAATTAATTTTGCAACTAAACGTTTCGCAGTTAAACAAACTTTCAAATTGTCTTCTTTCGACACTTGTCTGTGCTTTATAATAAGAATCATAACAACAAATTTTGTTTTTAATTTCTGTACGTAGTGGATAAGGTAAGAATTTATTTTTATTATACTTTGAAAACCTTTTTTTTTTCATAGCATACATACATAGTGTTTGTAGGTATTATCGTTGAGTAGTACATAGATATAGGTAGTGTTTATATTTTACCATGTTGTATAGATTTGTATTCTCGTTTGGTTATTTGTTTGGACAACCAATAATTTCAACTGGCATATTTATTTTTTATGGCTTTAAATTTTTTTGTCATACTAAACAAATATTAAGGAAATATAATAGTGTACTCTACTTGGTATTATTTTGGGTAGTATGAACTGTACAAGCAAATTCTAGCCAAAAGCAAAACGATAATGTAAAATATTTTTAACTCCGCCTCAGAATAATGTAAATATTATGATATTCACAACGAATAATGACTAATGTTGCTTATGTTAACAAATTCGCATATACAGTTCTGCAAAATACACCTAGATTTTATTGTTTGGGTCGAAAAAATACAATGCCGTTCCATAAGTCGTAAGTAAACCATTGGAGCAGTCAGTATAACTATCATTGCAATTGTTTGAGTAAGACCATCAAACTTTCAAAAATTGTAACATTGTATGCTTACATTGTATTTTTAATAGTTTCTTCTAGTTTAAAATATTTTTACCACTAGTTCTAATTTATTTTACACCAAGCTCATATGTAAGTAATACCATAAAACTTCAAAATATATATGCAGAAATTCTAATTTAAAAAAATGTTTAAAAAAAATTGTTTCGAACACGAAATTGTTTTCTTATAATATTTACTGGTTTTATATATTTTATAAATGTAGAATGTATTGAATGTATACGAAATAATATTTTTAAATATAATTACTTAAAAAAATCACCTAAAGTCTATTCAAATGATATTTTTAAAAATTGTTCTAATACATTTTTAAACGAAGAACTTTTATTTTAATAATTTGTTATCTAGATGTTTATTTAGATACATTTTATTCGAACGGTGCAAACCCCTGATTGTAATTACGCATGTAATGCATCAAATTAATTTTATCCGAGTAAGCCAGTAGAGTGGGGCCGAGGCATAATGGGATCAAATCAGTTGGGACGGAGAGGTCACAGGTCTACAGGGATTATTATTAATAAAAGTGATAAAACCACTTTTAAATAAACGCTTTAACGCTAATTTATAACGTAGTTGTTATATAAAAAAAAAATTGTTTGTAGGTTCTTGCTGCTTTGTTTATTTTAAATGTTTTCATCCATATTCACACAAACTGTAAATAGACATATACATATTATAATATTTTCAATTCTAAATGTTGCTGGCCTAATACAAGTGGTGTAAAAAAACGTTATTATATTTTATTGTATTTTTTAGAATTCGATTGAATTGTTCTTTAGCATTGTAGTGTAGGACTTTTAGCACTTGTTTAGTTGTATACTAAATTATACCTATATAATATTTATTATAACTATTCGTCGAAACGTAGTAACTTTTATATGTTTTCATATTAAACACTTAATAACTATGTATTTTTTAAACAAGTGTTTTGCACTTACTGAATATTATCACCAGAAATTGTTGGGTACTCATACTATTATTATTATTATTATTATTTAAGTTATTCATAATTTAAGATATTTATTTTTTATAAATACATCAATCTGCCTATTTCGTTCACACCTACCTCTTACTACAACTTCTCAAAATACTCCTTAATAAATCTAACAATTATTACCCTCATGTTCGGAACTAACTCTAATATTTTTCCAAAAAATATGACAGGCCTATTACAAACGAAATATGAACAAGATATACATAAAAAATAGATTTATTATTATTATAGTTATCTCTAGTATACATCTCTATTCAAAAAACATAAAACATATCAAATAAAAACATCAATGTAAAACCAAAACATTTCTCGTCTCCACTCCAGAGTGCCTGCAATTAATATAAATTTTGCAATTTTTTTTCTTATTAGTTTTAGATAAAAATGAAAGTTTCCTATGCTTTAATAGCAATTCTGTTTGTAAATGTTTTGGCGGATTTAAAGGATGACTATCAAAGTAATTATTTTATTTTTCTATTTGCCCACACAAGATAGTTAAAAGCTGTATATTTAACTTTTCCTTACAGAGGAATATAAATTGGAGATTTCCTTGTCCAGTAAGTAATGTTTTTTAAGCATATAGACTTACTTTATGAGTTTTTTAGTTTTACTGTAATTATACATATTTTTAAAAACATTTACTACAGACATGGAAATCCACAGAGCTTCAAACCATTACGATTCAAATGGAAGTAAGATACAACCACATACGAATATATAATGTTGAATGGGTCAGGGCGACAAATTATATTGTGTCGTTTACCCGACACTCTTTAGCTTAACTAAATGAGTTGATAAAAATTATAAATTAATGGATGGACTGTATGTTAGTGGTGAATGACAACAACAACATGATTAAGTTGACAACTTCATGTCGTTGTGTTATCAGGCCGACCAGTTACAACGTTGAGTTGTCAACTAGGCCGCAACAAATGTTTAACATGACGTACTATGTTTTGTAATAGGTATTTGCCCAATTGTCAAATGATTAATAAACTAAAAACTATAGATTCTATTATCTTTTTAGAGAAAACGGGTTATAAATTACAATATAGTACATGTTTCATGTGTTATTAATTAACACACAAAAGTATACTTAGATATTTTTTAAATAATTAAAAGTGATTGTAACAAACCACAGTGTGCATTAAAACACCCAAATTACCGAATAATGTAAATGTTAAAGTTATAAAAATAAATCAAAATATTTTTATATTTCAATCAACCTAACCTAACTGTCGTTACTATAATTTACTTTAAGCATACTTGACCCTAGGAATTGACTTTTTAGCTCCATTACTGTATGGGGTCGATTAAAGTAAAGTATAGTTTTTTTCAAACGATTTGTATATATTTTATTGAAACTATTCTAAAGCTAAAACCATTATTTGTTTGTTCTAGACGGATTGGAGTATATAATTACAAAAATTGTAGAGACTATGGTAAAAGTAGGATTTCTTACAATAGGTAATAATAATTATATGACAATAAAAAAAAGTAGCCAGTAAAGTTGGGAATCTGTGGCTAGTAGGGTTCATCATGTTGACTGTTGATTCACTCACACACACCAACCAAATTTAACTACAACAATTTATCATAAGAGAAACGTTCAGTTATATAAATCTTATTTTTACTCATCCTACAATTCAATATGTTTCGGATATTGTATTTTCATTAAGTTTCCACCTTATTCAATAGATCCAAGCACTGTTTTTCCAATTGCTAATACATACCTTTTTTCTTAACTTTTGTATTCTAGTTTATATTAGAATACAAAATTAAATCTTACATCATTAATTTATATAGGTATGATGTCATACGGTTTAACTACCGTGCTCACTATACCGGGTAATACATATATTTGCATTTTTTTGAAATATTTCCACACAGTCATTTGATAATCGTTAAGTATAAAGATTTAATTTTACTTACAGAACATATAAACATTAATGACCCATCAATGCTAAAAGGTAATCTATTATCACTTTAATAAAATTCTAATTTCATATTTTTAAAGCTTCACACCAAAACATATGTAAATTATATTATATTTTTAATTTCCTTTTAATTTTAGATCAAATAGTTGAACAGCGATTTTTGCGAAAGAAAATATATAATCTAATAGGTAAATATATTATTTAAAAATGTATCTTCAAACACAAATGGTCAAAAGAATTTAGGACAATAAACACCTTGAAATTAGAATGTGAACAAATAACAAAAAGATTACATTTCAAACAGATTGTCAAACACAATTATACGGAGTACAATTATTAATACCTCCAAGAAAAAATAATACACAAGAATTTTGGGAAATACCAGTACAAAATAAATGAATACATGAAAAAAGACTTGCATTGATAGACATATATGTCTATGATTAAGGATATGGAACATAGTAGACTCTTTTAAACAAGAATAATAGAACGAATAGAATGCAAATACGCAATGAATTTTAGGAACTCTAGTTGGAATATGAGAAAGAATCCACAACGAGATTTCAGATAAAGCCTTAGTAAACTAAAAATAAACTGAATTGAATAAAAAGTACAAACAAATACTAAGTTGGAGAAAGAGAGTTTGACATTCATACTTTAATGACCCTACACAGAAAGACAAAAAATGTAATTATTTTGAATGTAAGATAATGTTGATAAGTTGTTTAAAAATAAAAATTGGACCTTAACTACAGACGAACCAAAAAATAATGGAAAAATTGAAGATATATTTTTGACAACTTCTTAGCTATAAGAATCCTATTAATACATTTACACAGGCACAAATGAAACCAGTGGCGTATTCAGGGGGAGGGCTGAGGGGGCTGTAGTCCCCCCCTCCGAAATTTCAGGAAATGTAATTAATTAAATAATATAAAGTATGTAGGTATAATCTTAATATGTTAATATATAGTATATAGCGTTGCGTTGCATGCATGATTGAATTAAACAAGGTTAATGCGCATATACTCCTTCTTTGTCGAATTTTCGATGAAAATGTCGAATATGTCAGCATAACGAACAGCCAATCAAAATCAAGTATATAAGTACACAGTAAACAGTAAACTATGTATAGTAATGTATTTAATTGTGTATAGAAAAATTGATATCCCGTTACGCTGCCTTTTTTTTCTGAAGATAATGATTCTAGACGATGTTCAATAACCTGTAGGTATATTTAAACAATGGTTGCATGTGTGCTGGTGACGTACACTTTTGTGGCCGTCCTCCTACCCACCCCAGCCAAAAGTGTCCAGTCTTGTGTAGTAGTTCATGTCACAAAGACACAAAACGTCTTTATTCAAACCTTAAACCAGCAGTTACATTTTACCAGGATGATTTAAAAGGGTATGATGACATTATAGAAGCGGAATATCAATTATGGCAGTCAAAATGGAACTTAGTTGAATCTAAATCTCGGCCATTGACGGCTATCGAAGCACTACAGCAATGCGAACCATTAATGTACCCAAATATGTATGAGCTTCTTAAATTACTATCAATACTTCCAGTTTCAACAGCCACGGCCGAGAGAAGTTTTTAACATTAAGGAGGTTGAAAAATTATCTTCGAAATACAACATCCGAGTCACGGCTTGTAGGACTAGCTCTGTTATCTATTCATAGAGATGTAAATATTACTGATGAGATGGTACTAGATAGGTTTTCGAACAGCGGAAAAGCAAAACTAAATAAGAAGAAGTATTGCTGGTATGCCTCAGTTTGCTGGTAGCGCTGAACAAATTCACTGAAATACGTTAATATAATATCAAAACCTGGTTTGCTTATTTGTATAGTGTTGTTTTGATTGTCATATTATTGTTACAGGTGGTCCTGTTTCTGAGGGTCTAAACCAAAGTAATTATAAATGTTTTAGTTAGTAATAAATACAACTTATTTTATGTTTCATAATTATTATAAAGAAGTATTACTAGTGTACCCTCAGTATGACGGAAACGTTTATCATAGTCACAAAAATACGTCGATAAAATAAAACCGGGTTTGATTAACTGTCATTATTTTTTTTTTTCAAATTTTTGTTACAGGTATTCCTGCACGTGTAGTACGAAGTAATTACAAAGATATTCATTTGTAGCAAAAAGATCTTATGGCTTGATTTATAATTAATTAAGAAGAAGTATTGCTTGTGTGACCTTAGTCTGCTGATAGCACTGAACATAATTATTAAAATACCTGGATAAAATATAAAAACCTGATTTGATTATCTGTATAGTTATTTTGATTTTAATATTTCTGTTACAGTTTATCATGATTTTGATGACACAAATCAAAGTAATTACAATGTTATTAGTTAGTAGTAAATAGAACTATTGGATTTTTTTATTTTTTTATTTTTTAAGAAGATATATTGCTAGTGTGTCCTCAGTCTACTGATTGCGCTGATGAAGTCACTGAAATACATTGATAAAATATAAAAACCTGGTTTGATAAACTGGATAGTTAATTTGATTTGCATATTTTTGTTTCAGTGGATCCTGCTTCTGAAGATCCAAACCAAAGTAATTACAAAGATATTTATTTTTAGTTAATAGATCTGATGGCTTATTTCAAAGATGACATATTCTTTTTATACCATTTCATTCACACATAATTAAGTAACCTTTAACTTGGGGTGAGAAAGTGAGACTAAAAAACTTAGAATCGCGAAAGAAAACAGTCCACTGAGAGGGCACTTACAGAAACCTACAGGGTGAAATAGAGAGAATATTGTACGGCCACGTATCTCAATGACCGCGTAAACTATATAAGAAGAAGTATTGCTGTATGCCGCAGTGTGCTGGTGGCACTGAACATTGTCATTAAAATACACGGATAAGATATAAAAACCTAGTTTGATTAATTGTATAGTGTTATTTTGATTGTCATATTATTGTTACAGGTGGTCCTGTTTCTGAGGGTTTAAACCAAAGTAATTATAAATGTTTAAGTTAGTAATAAATACAACTTATTTATTGTTTCATAATATTATTATAAAGAAGTATTACTAGTGTACCCTCAGTATGGTGTTAGCGCTTATCATAGTCACTGAAATCTGTCGATAAAAATTTGATTAACTGGATAATTATTTTAATTTTTAAAGTTTTGTTTCAGTGGGTGCGGCTTCTGAAGGTCTAAACCAAAGTAATTACAAATTGTTGTTTAGTAGTTAACATAACTTATGGCTTGTGCGACTTCAGTCTAGTGTTAGCGCTGAACATAATGACTGAATTACGTGGATAATATATTAAAACTAGATTTGGTTAACTGTATGGTTATTTTGATTTTCGTATTTTTGTTACAGGTATGCTTGATTCTGATGATACAAACCAAAGTAATTACAATGTTATTAATTAGTTGTATATATAAATAATAACCTGTCCCATAATTATTTAATTCACCATATTGTTTATACAGGTGGTCCTGATTCTGAAGATTCAAACCAAAGTAATTACAAAGAACATACTGACTGAATTACGTCGATAATATATTAAAACTAGATTTAATTAACTGTGTGGTTATTTTGATTTTCGTATTTTTGTTACAGATATGCTTGACTCTGATGATACAAACCAAAGTAATTACAGTGTTATTAATTAGTTGTAAATATAAATAATAACCTGTCCCATAGTTATTTAATTCACCATATTGTTTATACAGGTGGTCCTGATTCTGAAGATTTAAACCAAAGTAATTACCAAGTTATTACTTACTAGTAAACAGAACTTATGGATTGTTCAATAATTATTTAATTCTTCATATATTTTTTTACAGGTGATTCTAGTCCAGAAGATCCACCCCAAAGTAATAAAAAATTAATTAGATTGTAGTAAGTAAAAATGATAGCTTGTCTCATAAATACAGGGTCCGGCAAAAAGATCTCACTCATTTAGAAATGGCACTGTATGAGTTGTGGTGGTGGTACAACAGTGGAGGGGGTATCGATCGATAGCTGTATACATGCCATTTTCTTCTGACATTACCTAAACCAGTTTGCTAGGAGCCATGATAAGGGAGAAGTCTGGTTCCAACAAGACGGTGCCACAAGTCACACTTCGCGGCGCTCCCTAGCAATCTTGAGAGAGGTGTTTCTTGGACGTCTTCTCTCTTTGCGAGGAGACATCACCTAACCGGCAAGGTCACTCGATTTATCCCCTTGTGGTTTTTTTCTTTGGGGACTTAAGAAGGCAATCAAACAGGCAGTGGCTGCCATTACACCGGAAATGGCTCGAAGAGCTATGGCCATTCTCGAAAGTTAAAAGTGAACCGCGCAAAGTGTGACTTGTGGCACCGTCTTGTTGGAACCAGACTTCTCCCTTATCATGGCGCCTAGCAAACTGGTTTAGGTAAGGTCAGAAGAAAATGGCATGTATACAGCTATCGATCGATACCCCCTCCACTGTTGTACCACCACCACAACTCATACAGTGCCATTACTAAATGAGGGAGATCTTTTGCCAGACCCTGTATTTAAGTAGAAGTATTGCTTGTGTGTCCTTAGTCTGGTATAAGCACTGAAAATAATCTCTGAATTACGTGGATAAATGATAAAAAAACCGATTTGACTAACTTTATAGTTATTTTGATTTTTATATTTTTGTTACAGTTTTTAGTGATTTTGATAACGCAAATGAAAGTAATTACAATGTTATTAGTTAGCAGTAAATATAACTTATGGCTTGTTTCATAACTATTTAATTTTTATATTCTTGTTACTGGTGGCCCTGATTTTGAATATTCAAACCAAAGTAGTAAACAACTTTTAATTTGTAATATAATTTTAGAATATATGTTTAATTAATTGAATAACAAAAAATATTTTTTATTTTTTTATTTATTTATTACTTACGTCAAAATGGCAATTACAAAAATACAATCATATAATAATAATAATAATAATAAAAGGTACAACTAAATAAATGTAAAGTATTAAGCGAATTAATTTTTAAATAAATTGAATAGAAAATCATTAAATAAATCAATATCTATTAGACTATTAGAAATTTTCATACTTCTATTAATAAAAGTGTGGTGCATAACCATAATTAGGTGAATGCTGGGGAACGAAAAATATTGTTTTTAATCTAGTATTGTGACAAGTATTGCTTGTGTGTCCTCAGTCTGCTGACAGCGCTGAACATAGTCATTAAAATACGTTGATAACATAAAAAACTGGGTTTCATTAACTGTACAATTATTTTTTTTTTGTTACAGGTATTCCTACGCTTGATATACAAGGTAATTATGAATATATTAATGTTTGTAGAAATAAATCTGATGGCTTGTTTTATAATTAATTAAGAAGAAGCATTGCTTGTGTGCCCTTAGTCTGCTGATAGCACTCAACATAGTTATTAAAATACGTAAATTATCTGTATAGTTATTTTTATTTTAATATTTTTCTAACAGTTGTTGTTGATAATGAAGACACAAATCAAAGTAAATAGAACTAATTGCTTTTTCTTAACTATTTGACTCTCCATATTTTTTTGCTACAGATGTTACTGTTTCTGAAAATCCAAATCAAAGTAATTACAAAATTATTAGCCAGTAGTAAATAGAACTTATAGCTTATTTCATAACTATTAAATTATTTATAATCTTGTTACAGGTGTTCCTGTTTCTGAAGATCCAATTCAAAGTAATTAAAATGTTATTAGTTAGTAGTAAATATAACTTAGGACTTGTTTCATAACTATTTATTTTTTATATTTTTGTTACAGATATGATTGAAGAGAATGCTAAAATCAGATATGAAAGTCAAAGTAATAACATTGTTATTAATTAGTAGTAAATAGAATTTGGCTTGATTTAAACATGAAATTCGCATTACGTATTATTTTATTCATACAATGATTACAAAAAAGGTAAACTTTAATTTGGGAAGAGAGAGGGGCACTTTATAATTATCTAACAATAATTTAATGTCAAGACATTTAAAGTCATCGGATACTCCTGACTCAATAGATAAGATCCTATACAAGTTCTTGTTTTATAATATTATACTAGTAGCTAGCAGGCGATAGGTTACAGATAATGGCTGACAGGTGACGGAGTAGGTCACAAATTGCAAAAGGACAATGGACATTAGTGTCTAGCCGTTAGTCTAGCTATCTGTCAGGCCAAAAACGATCTACTTATTATAAAATCAAGCATCTGGTGCTGCTTACTTTACGGGTTTAGTAAGCAATGTTTTATAATAGAAAGAAATATCTAGAGGTCAATCGGCTAAAGTTCTGGTATGAAGTTCCGACGTGAAACAAAACTTTTTCAAGCGTAGTATATTATATTGGTCGAACTAATCTACTAATCTGTTCAGTCATGTCAGTAACCGATAATGACGTACTGTAAGTATGAAATGTATAATTAAGATCTGGTGGTTTAGCAGAAATTCAAAAGTGTTAAAAACTTAAGGATAAAAAACATGAATGGAGTAAGCATGGAAGAAAAACGAATAACCGTCAAAATTAAAACTATCACTTTATTAATGTGGGCGATTGGAGAGGCCGTCAAATAATTGCATTAATAATGCTCTATTGACCTCCGTTAACCCTGCGCTCTGGTTATCCACTGTCAAATACAAAATACGAATTTAATCGCTTAAACCACTTATAATAAAATTAAAATAAATTGAGAATACTTTTTTTTTAAGATACATTACTATTGGCAGGATTTACAAAAAAATACTATTACCACAGTTCTGTAAATTTACCATAATTATGTTTATCGTGCAGCTATTTCATTTGTATTATTTGTTATCAACACGGTAATTTATTGATTTTTTCGCAGAAACTAAAAATCTGACCAAACTTTTAGAAAATAGAAGAATTGGACATACAGAAGAATTAAAAAATAGAATTGCCCATGAAAGTATGTGCTAATATAGAGTCATAATTTTCTGTAAATCTTTTGAACATATATTCATATTTAAATTAATTAACAGATCTCATCCAACACATATTAAACATATGTTAATGTTTTATATTAACATTTAAACTGTTAATATAAATATACTCTATATTATATCATACATTAATACATATATTTATACATTTATGAAGGTACAGGATTTTTCCTAGAATTACGTCGACTTGCCAACGATAGAAGACCTACTATTGAACGAGCTGTAAAAAAGATAATTGCAGAAAAATTAGGTAAATATAAACTAACAACAAAAATAATTTTCTGAAAATGTTGATAGGTCGATAACTAGTTTTGTTAATTACTTTTGAATTAATTTTACTCTAATTTAAAATTTAGGATAGTAAGTGGAGAGTATAACACGTAGATAAAAATAATACTACACTTTACCCTTCCCCTCGCCATGCTTATAACTTTAAATATAACTATCAACAAATGGTTATCGACCAGTCACGATTTTCAGCAAAACCAAAAGTCTTAAAAGTTGATAGAGCTCTAGAAAATACTAACAACATTTTATAATATTATAAAGTAACATAAATAAAGACGTTTTCAATAATTATAAATACAAAATTGCAATAATTTTTGGAACAAATGAGTGTAATAACCTTATTGAATTACCCTGTATAAATACTAATTTTTGAATTGTTTTACATGTATGTTTTTTAAATATATAAATTAAAAATGTTTGTATTATAGCTCCTACAGTCGATGAAGGTAAGTACACATGCACATGATTTAGTTGGATTATAAAGGAATTTACACTTAGGCTTTTTAAGTGTATTCAAGGGAGCGTTAGTTTTTTACTTGGAGTAAAGACATTGGGCCATGAATATGCCTTTTTATCCGTGGAGGCTCAATGACGAATATAAGATACATTCATGTTAAAAAACCTATTATTTAATTTTTAAACTTAACAGCTATCCATCGACTAAAGCACACTGGCAAGGAGAGGAAAGATAAGAGATATGGTGCTCATACAATTAAATATATTATATATCAATATAATATTATGTGTGCACGTTTACTGTAGTTTGGTTCGCCAGGTGGTAAGGGAGGGCGGGGGCGTAACCTCAGCAATAAAACATAATCATTTCAATAAAATAGTTTACATATAATAATATCTAATGTAATATTCGACAATTTTTAAGAAAAAATATTTTCTAATGTTTCAGCTGGAAATGTTGCTCCGATATACATGAGTAGTCCGATATGTCTTTTGATAGCATTGTGGATTAGTTCAAACACTGCTTCTAAAACACCTACAAAATTTGATGGTGATAATTGTATCATAGGATATAAAAAATATCATTTTGTAAAATACAGATCCATTGATGGCAAACTTTGGCAAGTCAATCGCCTCGATGTACCAATTAAAGAACTAAACGTACAACTATATGAGGAAAACTTTATTTATAATATTTTAGAAGAGTATTAAATTGTACATTTTTTATAAATTATAAAATATTTAAATAATTTATACACATTGCACTAACATCCGAATTGTCTAATAATATAATGTTTTTTCTAAAGTAAACGGACTTACTATTATAAACACATATGTGGCGTATGAATTATTGTTATTATTACCTGCCTATGGTTTGATTTTGGCTGTAAGTTGATTGTATGGCTCAGATCGATCACCTATGAAGAGGATGGTAGTCTGTCTTTCAGACTGTTCTTTGCCCAAAAAGAGATACGTAGTATTAACACATATCGATTTTCAATATTATAAGATTTATTGTATTGGTTGTCGAATGTTTTTCGAGTTATTCTTAAAAAAAAAAAGTTAATACATATTTTCAAAAATATATTGATATTATAGTTTTATTCAATATTCCTTGCGACTTAAATATAAACATTATTCATAAAACTACATTTAAAATGCCCTAACAATTTTCTTATCATTTATTATGATTTGATTTATTGTTATAATCAGATTGTAATCGACATTATTTATCTTCCGTTTTTATAACTTATTTATTTCTTCTTAAGATATTTTGCTGCCACCACCAATACTCTGCTTCCATTCCCTCTCAGGCCATTTTTTTGACCATACTGCACTATCTATCGTTTTTGTCTGGGGTGTCATACCCAAGAAACATGTAAATTCCCCTTGTTACTTGTGAGTGTTCTGAGGAGTGGAATTGGTGTTTTTTAAATATCTCAATATATCCTGTTTTCGAAAAACTATGTGGATTATGCTAAATTGATCAATGTGTACAGCTGACAAAAAGTAACAACCAAATACATCAACAGGTAATAAAATTACATTTTATGAGAACTCAACGAATGCTATCCTTCCTATATTCCGAGCAGTCCGAGTCGTTTTTTATGTAAAAAAAATTAATAAATATCATCTATAGATAATATATGTAATCAGCCTGAAAAATAAACAAATGATTCGTGATTTTTAACAGTCAGTATTATGTAATATATTTCGAGTAATGCAAAACAGGCAAAACATCTTTTATTTTCAAAACATGCTCTAGTATGTAAAAACAATTTTTTCGTACGCATTCTGTAGTCGACAAAACGTCCACATTTTTTTACCATCATCGATGTACATAAAGCCAATAAATATGAGAAAAAATCGAAAAAATCTGCTAAATTTAACACTACCACACGCTGCGTTAATCGAAAAAATAAAAATAAAACAAGGTAATAAATCATTGTGAGATGTTCATTAAATTCCTAAGCTGCGTGACTAAGTAAAACTAAGAAATACAAATTATTTTATATGATTTATAGTAATAATTTACAGTTGGGCCTGATATTTAGTCAATCTAACACGGTGCATTGGCTAAATAACGGTGTAAAAGCTTCAAAAGCGACAACAAGCTAGTATGGCTGAGTTTAAATGTGCGTAAACAATAATAAATAAAGTTAGTTGTTTTATTTTATACTTTCCCAAAAGAATATAAAATAACTCGGTCTAATCACCGATGCAACACTTTCCACGGGGCTTGCTTAAAATCCTGTACCTTTTTTTTAATATGTAATTTAACTAAACAACATAACAATATACATACCATAATTGCAGAAAAAATCTCCAAATAATTTTAAAAAAATAAAATAAAAGTTTTAATACTTACGAGTATCACATTAGTCAAAAATGTGGATTTTATGTCAAAAATGATATCCCGGATTAAACAAATAAATTCTTTACACTGGCAACGTTTTACATCTAATCCCTTTTATGAAGTATGAAATACAAATTAATAGATTAATTTATAGTTCACAATATTTATACACAATATAATATGGTAAAAACTTTTAATGTATAGAATAGTTCTACAATTGATTTTAAAACCAATAACCGAGGAGACAACAGTCTCATTTCCTAGTCATAACAATGTTAATATGTAATATACTGAAAAAACATAACCAGCTATATAAATAAATTACCAAAGGCACCTTGCGAAAAATATTAAACTTTTGCTAATTCGCCGACATATAGCCCATCGACAAGTAGCAAAAAAAACCTCTTTAAAACAGTTAGCTTATCGAGCTGGTTGAATCTGTCTAAAGAGTTTTATTATTTCAATAAATTAAACAATTAATACTGCCAGACTTTTAGGATTGTAAGTATGATTATTTTATGAACTTTTCAAGAGTGTATCTAACTTGCTATTTATATAGTTCTGTATTTAGCGTGCGATAATTAATAACCATTTTGTCATTTTTATTATTTAGCAAATTATTTATTGTAAAATAATTAAATAATCAAATGATTCGAAACACAATAGTTTGTAAAAATTTTGTTGATATTTGATTTATTTGTGTATATATATATAGGGTGAATCAGTTAAACGTATGTATGGTTTTTTGGAAACAATAATACTGTAAAAGTTTATCTTTGAATTTTTTTTTTATTTTTCCAAACGCCTAGTCAAAATGTTCAACACATATGTACACTTTAAACAAATGTAAAGAAATTAGTATTTGTCGTATAAAAATTGAAAAAAATAGTAGCCAAACTATCTAATTTCAATTAAGAAAATCCATCAAATTCATTTAATTGATGTATTTTAAACATTTTTTATAGGCTACTCTAATTTTATATTTGTTCATGTAGTGTGTTTTTCTCGATTATCTATAGGAAAGAGTAAGTTGTTTATTATTATAATAAGTAATTTTCGGATACTCATTTCGATTTATTGACTTGCTACACGGAGAAGTCTTTTTAGCAGTTTAGGAGGTATTGTGGTAAGGTAAAAAACTAAATAGATAAAAAGAAACACATAGTTGCAATAATAATGCGTTATCAGATTTGCATCGTAGCGACCTATAAACTAGCATCTCTGTTTTATGAAAGAAATCATTAACGTTTGCGATTATTTGCAGATAACAATGATTTTTCACATTTGTTTCATATTATTTGCCTATGTAAATGTTTTGGCAGATGACGAGAGTAATTATTTTATTTATACGTACCTATAGAAAAAACATAGAAAAAAATCTAAAAAAAATGATTTCTTAATTTTTTTTTACAGATGATTATATTCAAGAGGTTGACATTACAAGTAGGTAACCTAACTTTTCTTAAAATATAATTGAATTCTTAAAACTGAATTGTAAATAATTTATTACAGACCAATACATCATGGGTGCTGTTAAAGATTTTGTTATACATGAAAGAATGAGTAAAATATCCTTAAAATGTTATATAATAATTTTATCGTGCTTGCCTGATCATTAAATTGTTCAATAATTATAAAATATTATAGTTTCTATAGCCTGTTCAGACTAGTAGTGCACGAGGTTCATAGTAAAAGTTTTTTCAAACGTCGTGTAAATACTTAATTTACGAAAACTAAACTCTACTTTACACAATAAATATTTGTATTGTAGCCTTTTTTGTAATCTTTTAACATTTACCTTGGCTATGGGCTTTGACCTATTATACCTAACCATCTAAGAAGCGATAAGTAAAATAGTCACCGCTGAATGCACAGTGTACATGTTGGTTATGATTTGTTTGTTCTAGATGGATTGGAGTTTACAGTTAAAAGAATTGTCCGAGGAAATAAATATTCGTTCGGTAGTCATAATTCCACAATAAAAATTAAGATAATTTTTGCTAGAAAAAAACATATTTGAAAATGATATACAAAATCCAACAATTCAGCATTACCCTAGTAGCACTTTGGAGTTTAGTAGAAATCCACTAAACTTCTACAATATAGAACCGTTCATCATTAGAGTTAAAATTATAAGAGTAAAAAAACTAAATTAAATTTCTTGATCGTTTCCTAAAACCCAGTAGGAATTTTCCAAATTTAAAAAAATTAATAACATTGGAGTTTTATATCTATTTAATGAAATAGACCCAAGCATGTTTACATTAAAATAAATGTACGAAATTTTAATTTCAGAGAAAATGAATTTTATGTTGGCAGTGCCGGGTAATACATTTATTAACTTATTTCCACATAGACCGGATTTTTGTTTAACACCTATTAAACGTTTTTAAATTTCAGATCAATTATTATTTCAAACCCTCGATAGTAATCACCTTTATATTATCATTATTATATATATTTTATAATTTACTTTACAAAGTCTCAAATGTACATAAATAATAAATATTAAGAATAATTATATACTCACAAATTGATTTCCATCAAATGGAAATAATATTATGTAAGTTAAAATGTAATTTTTTCTAAAACTTTTAGAATGCATATCATCCGAGAAAAGTTTGCAAAAAGAAATAATTACTGCCTTGCGTAAGTCTCAAACTTGATATATTTATGCGAACCAATTTTGAATTTGGTTAATATTTTACGTTCTAAATGTAAACAACAAACATTCGATACGACTTCAAAGTTATCTAAGCAATATGTTTCTTAAAATTTTTATGATCGTTAGAAATATTATTCATATCGTTAATTCAAACGGGACTACTAGAAATAGTAACTTGTACGTTGATTACAATTGTTTTATGTTATCTCAATTATTTAAGTGTGACTGTTGTAAATGATTTATTCCTGTCTAATCATATTTTATATTTTTGATACAGGTCACGACAGGCCTTCGGCCACTGGAGGTATTCACGCATCATCAGTCGAGTCTATATTAAGTTAATAATGTTAAAATTCGATCGATTTATTATTTTTTTGCAGTTGATGACATTTTTGTTCTTGGAGATGAAAGAAGAAAATTAGTTAGAAGAGCTATAAAAAATCTGTTCTTTTACGATATGTTTCGTAAGTATTCGCACAAAAATAAATTTGTTTTTCGCTTCTACTCAAATATTTAATTAAAATATTGTATTTTTAAGAACATCTATTTGTTTTATAATAATCAAATTGCAGACATAACTGTCACACATTAATTCCTATCACAGCAAAACGCAAATTGTGTTTTTGTATAATATAAAATATTACAAACTTTTAAACTCACATAGTACATAGATATTTGACTCTTATCCTAACAAACACGTATGGGTAGTACAATGGATAACACTGCAAGCTAAAAAATTTACTGTTATACAATTTGTTGTACTTATCAAGATGATTTATGTACAAAAATTGGATAGAACCATTTGTTTTACAACTTGAGCGATTTTAAGGGAAAAAGTTATGTTGCTCAAATAAATGTATCCTACTAAAAGTAAATGCATTAACCACAGGGGGGCGTTGCCTAACTGGAATGGTTTTTCTTATTGTCTGGAATTAGCTCATTGAGTGTGCAAATTGTGGCATGAAACGTCTATAAAAATGAATCATACCGAGAAACCGCTGCTGGCCCTCATTTTGGTTAGGCTCTTTTTTGGAGAGTTTTAACGTCAAACCTTTTAAATGTCTTAATAGAAAATTATTCACCAGAATAAAAGTAATTTTACCGAATTTATAGTTCGGAAGGGACAGATAAAGTTTAAACATATTTTATAATATATGGTCATCACTGACATGCAATTTTTTTTTAATAATCCACTTCAGAGTTATTGAAGTCATAAGTTCAGTTCGCATTGAAATTGTTGAAAATATTTAATTATGAAACAAAAACTGCTATTTCCTTTTTTCTAATGTGTTTTATACAATTTGGCTGCATAAATGATTCCAGGTAAAATAAATTATTATACAGGAAACCATGTATATTAATTTTTTTTTATAAAACGTATATTGGTTGGTTCTTGAACAATAAAAAAAAATAGTGATTTGACGTTTTTTTTTAAAGTGAAATACGACGTAAACTATAGTTTGACGCAGAAATGTCATTTAATTGGATTGGCCACGAGTACAAAAAATCCACTAAGTTACACAGAAAACGCTGTAGTGGATAATGATGGTGTTTGTGTCATGAATAGTATATTTGGCACCGTCACCAAGTACAAAGAGTTTGAAAATCAATTTTGGGAAGTAGAACCGGATCAAGTGGATGAAAAAAAGGAAAGACTTCTATGTCAGTTAGAATAATTTAAATCATGAAGCTAATGAATTCATTTACAATCAATTTTGGCTTTAGTAATTAATACATTAGTTACATAAGAGGCACTGTTGTTATTTTATTTAAATAATTGTTTGTTTAGGTACCGCACTAATATACATATTGTCAAATAATATAAAGTATTTTATAATAAACAGTTTTGTCTATATCCTGTTTAATTTATTTTTCTGCTTCTTATTATTGCAACTATAATATCCCTTAGATTAGTCGCAGCAGTTTCTGTAATGTTTAACTAAATAAATTTTAAATAGTGGAGTCGGTCATAATGAGAACAGACCACATTGGCGAAGAGGAGATCAGATGTCTACAGAAATTTGACTATAAATTGTAATATGATATTGTATGTAATTGAATAAAAAAAATATAGTTTAAAAAAACTAAAAAACACGCTTAAATAGTAAAATAAACTGTAAAGTAGAAAATAATTTTCAATATAGAAATCAATTAATAAAAAATAAATAGTATTATTGTGAAAAAAGTGTGGGGCGCTTTTCAAGAACTGATATATGTAGCACCCCACGCTTTTTTCACAATAATACTATTTATTTTTTATTAATTGATTGCTATATTGAAAATTATTTTCTACTTTTTAGTTTATTTTACTAGTTAAGCGTGTTTTTTAGTTTTCTTAAACTATATTTTTTTTATTTTCCACTTTTTAGTTCGATGTTTATTAATTGATTTCTATATTGAAAATTATTTTCTACTTTTTAGTTTATTTTACTATTTAAGCGTGTTTTTTAGTTTTTTTAAACTATATTTATTTTCCACTTTTTAGTTCAATGTGATTTAAAATCGTGTTTTTTTTAATTCTAGTACATACGTGTCTCTATTACTTGAAAACTTCAGGTAAACAACAATGAATACACGCATGTACGTTCGGTTGCCTATCTCTTTTAGTTACATAGTTACATACAAACATACATCCATACATACATACAAGTGAAGCTAATATAAGCGTGTTAAAAATATGTTGAGTTTTTTTAAATGTAGCCACCTACTTTTTTTCACTATATTTTTAGGAAAAACATTTAAAGAAAAGATACGTCGAATTTCTTCCTTAAGTTCTAACAAATTTCTGGTTTGTCCTGGTAAACTTTTGACATGGTGTACATCATAAGGAAAAATCACATGGCGTCAAGTTACAAGACCGAGGTAGGTAGGGTTGGTTTCCTCCCACACACTCTCAGGAGAAACAATCACTCTGATGCGTGGGAAGTTTCCGGACCGAATTATCTCGTTGTGATGAGACCAAGTAGACTGTCTACTTTTACTGTATGAGTGTATCATTTTATCGAATACATTATTGCCATTACCATGATTTTCTTGATATTAGTATTTCTACCATTTATAAATTACTAACCAAGCGATTATTTGAAGTCATCTCATAATTTTCAGCTGTAATAATACCTTTCATGCTTCGATTACCTATCCAAATTAAACCGTCCCGACACGCTTGAATAGTTAACACATCGATAATATGAAAAGGAGTGCTAGCACTCACAGCATTAATAAAAATTAGAATTATATAGTTAAAGTTACATTGTTTTAAATCAATAAATAAACAACAAATGTGTCTATAACCGTGAATTAAACTGTTTATTATGTAATACATTGATGCAAAAATGATTTAAATATCATACAAATAGTACTACATAACTTCAGAAGAGTTTTAGCTATGATTTTTGGTCTAAATGATCATAGCTGTGATATAAGTGGTTCTCCTGGAACTGTAATACTATCGGCCTTCACTTTATAAAACATACCACCAAAGGATCTGTACATGGTAACTATACCGGCTGTATTCGTTAAGCTACAAGTATGTTCCTTTTCGTCATTAGTAATTGTTGTTGGCGAATTTGGAAATTTCGTGCTGATTACCAATCCTATAAGACAACACGCCTCGCCATGAGTGATATCTGGTTCTTTTCCAACTAAAAAATTTAAAAAAAAGGGTTTTTTTTTTAAATTGTCAAATCTAGCTTGTCAGTTACTAATTAGTCTTTAGTGCGCAAGACACAACTAATACAGATGTATGAATAAACGTTATGAGTAATACACATAGTAGAGAAAATGTTGAAAAGATTATTTCTGTTAAAAAGAGAGTAGAACAATGAAAAAAGTATGGTAAGGAATTATTAAGATAAATAAATAAAGACAAGCAAGAAGGAAACTATGACCAAATCTTCGACGGTCGAAAAAAGTAATTTCTTTTCGTATCAAATAATTAGAATCTTATAAGATATAATATTAATTAAGAAGACAATTAATAACCATAATTATAATAATATTTGTACATTTAGAAGATATATATATATGAATTATGCGTTGTGTGAATTATAAAGATTTATCACAGATTAAATAAAACCAGATGGTGCACTCCCTATTAAATAAATATAATTGCTGATAATGTAAGCAAACCAAAACCCTCATCAATCCAGAGTAATGACTGGTGGAAATAATAAATTATTTATGAGCAATGGTTGTTACAAATCTGGACATCATTGAATTTATTGATTGTTATCACCGATTAATTATACAAATTATTTAATAACATATTATAGTAAAATGTATTGTACAGTAATTTAATTTCTAGGATGTGGTCACACTATGTTAAGCAGTGTTTTAGTTATCAGTAAAATATGACAAAGTGCACCATCTGGTTTTATCTGATCTATTGTTTTATTATAGTAAAAAGATTTTATTATAAAAAACCCTAAATGTATGTTTTACTGTATTATGTGTGCCCATAAAATATGCATTTTTATTATTATTATTATTTTTTTTTTTAAATGATTACTAAAAATTAAATGTTATAAATCAATTATTTCCAGTGTTTTCATCATAGCTTAAAAATGGGATGAGTACAATGAGGCGTGAAACATGCTTTAGCCTTGGCACCCAGACCGAAAACGACACTAAATAGCGACATTAAATCACGATACTAAAGCATGTTCCATGTTTTATAATTTTAACCAGTTTGCTTTAAATAGACTGTAACTTTTTTTTTCAAAATTTTTACTTTAAAACCAAAAGTTTTTCCAATCAAAGTACGTTTTTATCGTTTTAAGATAAAGAAAATCAAATTTTACCAAGACAGAGTTTTTTTTTTCCTTATTATTACTTAAAAAACTGAATCCTGTTCAAGATGTTTTTTTTAGTAAAAAAAAAAATATTTTTTTTATTTATCCCATATAATTGATACATTTTTCAAAGAATGATAAAAACGTATAATTTGAGCGTTCATCCATTTCTATGAAAAGTAATTTATCAATTTTAAAAATCTCATGTTCACGTTCCAACTAGATTCAAAATATTTAAGATGGCGATTACGTTAAAGAGTATGGAAAAAGTTGATTCCATTGACCCTGATGAATTCCTCACATATATATATATATATATATATATATATATATATATATATAATTATAATGGATGTTATACTCTATATTAATCATATTTACTCTGTAAACGGATGATTATGTTTGTTAAAGCTTTTCTAGTATAACCCCTTCTATTTTTCCTAAGCGTTTTTAAATCCATGTTTTCAAAATCTGCAAAAAATAATAAAATATAGCCAAATAAATTAGTTGTTTGTATTATAGGATTGCATAATATTTCAAAGAACAGTAATATTGGCTACTCATTTTGTCAACCTACGGCTAGTATTGAAACTTGAAGACAGTATCTTTACTAAACTTAAAACTTGAGAAAATAATTAATGTGGATAAAAAAAAAGACTTTCTGCATTTAAACAACGTTTAGAAGAAGAGGGTGGGGGTGGGAGGGGTAAAGGGTATTTCTTGTATCCAGCCCAATTACATATCCACGTTAATATGATTGTTCAGAATCAAGTAACCGTAAGAGTAACACAAAATATTACCGTTAAAGTAACGGACTTGGTACATTGTTTGTAGTTTAAGGCACACAATTTAAGTAGTTATACTGAATAAAATATACATTAAAATATTATGGACATAAAAGGTACGTACAATAAGTTGAAAAAATAATTAATTGAAACTTTACAGATTATATTATTAAACAAACAGTAAATATATTAGTTGGTAAACGGCTATTCAGTCTCACACTTTCTTCTCGAATAAAAGTTTATTTTATGATAACTATTGTGTGACAACAAAAAAAAACAAAGACTATTTTCATCTTTAAAACGAGCCTTAATGTCTATATATGTCTATATGTCTTAATGTCTATTCCTACTATCGTAGAAACTCGTAATTACCTCCATTTGAAGTTTCAGGTAGAAGAACAGATAATTCACCTAAAATATAATATCAAATATTAATACAGTTCAAAAACCTGGTTGTTATAATTCTAACATACTAGTCACTCTACAAATGAGATTGATTGGACCAAATATTAACCAATGCAAAATATGCGATTGACATTGATATATATACAAGGTGTAATATAAAGCTTACCAAGCTTCAAATGAGACATTTAGGATGTCCTATGGGTACAATAAATGGTATTAATATTTTTTTAATTTTAAAATTATTTAAAATAAAACTCGTATCTCATTAAAAAATTGTCTTCCAAAAAAAAACAATTTCTGATTTGAAATCGGGAGAAAAAATCTTGTTGAATTGATATGTAACATTTTTTGGTATCTGACCACATTTGCGTCCACTGAGTGGCCGAAACCAACATATGGCAAATGACACATCATTATCAGTTAGAATTTTATTCTCAATTCAGAGGCGTCCACAGAATTATTTTATATTAATTTATGTGTCGCATGCCATATGTTTGTTTAAGTCACATGCTGGCCACTCAGTGGCCACCCCGTGGACGTATATGTGGCCAGATACCAAAAAATGTTACACATCAATTCAACAAGATTTTTTCTCCCGATTTCAAATCTGAAATTATTTTTTTCGTAAGATAATTTTTTAATGATACGAGTTATATTTTAAATAATTTTAAAATTTTAAAAAAATTAATACCATTTATTGTACCCAAAGGGCATCCTAAATGTCTCATTTGAAGCTCGGCAGAACTTTACATCACACCCTGTATATTGTACTGAGGGCTACACTGATTGTATATTATCTTAACCTTGTTTTGTGTGTACCGATAACCAACGGGTACTCGGGTTTTGTGAACTATTAGTTTTAAATAAAATTTGTGGTTAAGTTGTGAATGTGCCATGCAGCCTGTATAGTGTATAGCAACAACAAAGTGTTAATTAATACTATAAACTATATTAACGTAAATATATTACAGACATTTTATTATTTCTAATAGCATCGGTTCAATGTGTATTTGATCGTTTTAAATTATATTTCGAACGATCGTCGAAATCTTGAGAAAAAAAAATTTGGCTTTATAAGTGATTATAATAGTAGACAATTGTCCAAAATGTTAAATTGTATACTTACGTAATAAATTAGCTAATACGGTATGTATAGCTATCTGGTCATTTATGAATTCTAAAATTAAAAACAAAATAAATATGAATGTACAAGTTTTTCAGAGAGAGAGAGAGAGAGAGAGAAGTATAAAAATCTGGTTACTCTGTGTATAACTCTCAAAGTGCTCAAGTTCTGAAATTAAAACGAAAACATTGTAAATTTAATGAATATTAACAACAGTTTAGAAATATGTTCATAGAATGCAAGCAATATTATTACCCGGTAAAGTGAACATATTATTCAGAGTCTCTGAAATTAAAATTTCACAAGTTTATTGATTAACGATATTGGATTTAACATTCTTTCTAAAATAAATTACAAGGTCAAGGTAGAAAAAACATGTACACGACGTTGTTATATTAAATATAGCGGAGTCTATGATAATAAAATGGCTGAGAGGAAACAGATGTGGCGAGTAGAATGAAGTATAATGATTATACGATGTTGACAGAGCTATCAATGATCAGTGATATTTGTTATAAACATTATATTGCGACTGTCGAGTAAAGTTTTTTATCACCGATGAATTCGCATAGGAATACATTTTTGTTGCAATTTTTTTTTTATATAAATTTAAAAATATATACTCATTTTTTCTACTTGCAAGCTTTATATTTATTCTTATACAACAACAGTACCTATGTTAAGATTTGTTGAACGCACAGCTACTAAAATCACATACTCCAATACATCTAGAATAAACAAATAAAGGTTTGAGCGTAATAACAATTTTCAAATATAATCTATTTAATAAACTATTTATAGAAAGTATACAATTTTCGTTTAAAAATAATTGGCTTAACTACCCGGCGTTGCCTGGTAAAAAATTGTGACTGTTCAACTCTTTTTAGGTGTAACTCGCTCTGGAAGCAATGTTTTTTTAAGTGTAAATCACCCAAAATAACGTTTAAAATAAAGCGTTATCTAACATATAAAACCCTTGCAAGACGGCGACTAGAGAAAATAAAAGTTAAAAAAGTTTTTGGCCCATTTCAACCCCTTAAAATCAAAATTATTCAAAATCCTTTCTTACTACACGCCAAGATTATAATACAAACATATCCTGCAAAATTCAAGTCGCTAGCTATCATAGTTTAGGCTGTACGATGATTACGAATCAGTCAGTCAGGACGTTTTCTTTTATATATACAGACAGATTTTACATTCAGTCAAACGTACAAAAAAAAAAAAATTGAATATTACTTTATTATTTTCAATATATCTTACTTCCTCTTACTACATTAGTAACACTAGAAGCTTTTTGGATGATATTATCTATAGCAAATAATAAAAATTAATAAAAGTTCAAAAAGTATTATGTTTGAAAAATAAATTTTACTGACTTGTGTTGACAACCACTTCTGCATAATACGCTGTAAAAAAAAGGAAATATTGGTTTTTCACTTTTTTTGTTAACTATCTCGAGTGTCTCGATACGTGTGTCAAAATATAATTATTACCTTTACTAATATCTGCCATAACATGCATAAAGGCCAATGACATCAAAACACAGAAAAGTTTCATTATGATCTACAAATCAATAATTAACATAAAAGCAATTTATATTAGTCATAGTTTGCCATCAACTAGTACCGATGCGGAATCTATAAATCATAAATGGTATTCGAAATGTATACTTTGTTCTCAATAAACCGAAATCCACTAATCTGGTTTTTTTTAATGTTATAAATATTTTATAAAATTTTTCAGATCAATAGTCCAAAAACTAGGCCCAAAAGTTAATGTTTTCACTCCTCATAGGGAAATGGTTTATGATATTTTGCTGGATTTTACGGTACGACTATAAAAGATATTTCTAAAAAAATATTCTAGAAGAGTTTAAAAATTGTTCGACTATATTACAAAAAGTTAAAGCGCTTAAAATTGTTAGCCTTATAAAATATCTTTCAAAAATAACTTATCTAAAATTACACTTGCTAGAAATTAGCCTAACTAACAAAAAGTCTTGACAGATTTATATTCAAAATTACAAAAATAGAAAATTAGAAAGAAACAATAAAAATACTGAAATTAACATATTTTGTAGTTTGATGTATTATTTAAATGAAAAATCATAAACAGGCGTCTGGTAACTATTAAAATACATTTTAATTAATTTCTATAAAATGGTTAGGCTACTTTATTAAAAATTCGAAATATAAAACTCTGTTATAATTAAAAAATACAATATACTTAAAGAAATTATTTATTTTTATTAGATTAACTTGTAAAAAGAAACGTTGTGCACTCAAATTTTAAGGTTAAAAACTAGAAAAATTGCTTTTAACAGGCATCTTGAATACGTATTTCAAAATGTTCCTATATTTTATTAAATGCGCATTATAATCGTTTAATATTTTATAGAACTACTTACTTGAATGATTTGATAGGTTTAACAAAAATCAGTTTGAGTAGCTTGCGAAACTCTTTTGAAGTGACTTACAGGCCACTCTTCAACAGGAATGAATTTCAAACAATGGACTATAACTTGAACATATTTTGCAGCGTGGCTGTGTTACTTTATTTACTTAGTATTTTTTTTTTTTTTATTTTATATTTACATATCAACTGTACTCTGACATAGTGTATTTTATCGATAAAAAGTCGTACATGTCATATTATAATAAAAAACCCTATTTCTTGACAGTGGCGTGAGGGCATTGCGAGGGCGGGAAAATTGAATACAAAGCACTTTATTGACAATAGAGTTTAGGGAATTTTAATGAATATTTTTTTTAACAGTTGGCAAAATCACAATACATGTGAAATTTGTTATCGTCATGCTGAGCTAAAAATGTATTGTTTTAACAATACAGTGTTTCTATTTTTTTTTTATTTACTTCAATGTTAAGAATGCGTTATAATAATAATTAAGGAACTATGTATAAAATTGTAGAAATATATAAAACTACCAGCTAGTTGCTACCTTTTTTACTAACTTTAATAATCTGCTTCATTTGGTTTATTTCCAATTTTCGTTTATCATAATTCTGAAATGCACACAACGGTATTAACACTTTTTTTTGCTGTCATAACGTGATAGGGAACTAATCTAGTTTAGCGCCCACGCGTGTTTTTTACGTTGATGGCAGTGGTGGGGTTAGATTTGGTCGGTCGGACTTACTTTTGAAGTTATAAGCAAAAAGAAGAATTAAACTTTTTCAACTTTACCCCCCCCCCCCCCAAGTACCAATTAGGTGAAATTTGTAATTTATAGCGTGGCTACTCGAAGGAATTGGTCCAGTATTAAAAAAAGTTACAATGTATACAGATAAAAAAAAAGCCCACATCAGAGTAAAACTAATAACTAATACCTTCGCCGCTCTGCATCGAAGCTAAAAGTATATCATTTTTTATAATATTAATTGGGGCATAATTAACCAGTCACCCTGTATATATAGGTACACTATTTTATCAGCATAATGGGAGAACGGCTTATTTAATTAATAAATCACCTATACTATTGCTATGAAAAAAAATAGTTTTAATAAATTGTTATAACGGTTAATGTGCATTTTATTTTTCCTGAAAACGTTGTTAATACTTTAAATGGGAGTAAGATGAAATAGGTTGAGCATCATGGATGTTTTGCAAATATTATAATATTAGAAGTATTTTTCTGTAAAACATTTTTTTGCATAGGTTTACTATCTACTATATTTTTTTTTACCGTAGGTGTTAACGCCTTTTGTCGTCTAACGTTAGCCTAATCAAATATACGCAAAACACATATGATACGCTACCGTAGTTTGACTTTTGCGTCTCGATGTAACCAAAAAAAAATGCTCATTGCTTTGTATTCTACTCAATAATAACATATTTATTATTGTTGTGACATTTTGGTTTCCTAATTTTTGGGTTTGTGGTAAATTTTCAACAAATCAGTGGTTTCATTTTAGGCCAATGCGATTTATAAATTATTTCAATTTATTGTTAGAAAAGTTTTTGTATATTTTCGCAAATCGGCGCACGTGATTTAAAAGTGTCACCGAGTTCAAAAGTAAAGGAATATTTGAAAATATGATTTGAAGTGTTGTTTATCAAATTTTTTTAGCACAACATACCTGTTTGATATGCAAAAAATATTAAATGAGAAAAAAAAACGTTATAAACATTACTACTACGTACTAGATGGTATAATAACAAAAACGAGTAAATTGTTTCAAAATTTTACCCAAAAACATATGGGTGCTGTTTTTCATATATTTTTCGATAAATATTATTTTGACACCATACGACAGACAATACTCTTTATCATCAACACGATGACTATGATTGGACTCCTCTTACTTAAGATGGATATTATGTGATTTAATAAAATATATAACCAAAATTTGTATTATTCGTTGTCCTACTTTGATCTACAAAAAAAAAAACTTTAAACCGAATTACAGAAATAAAAAACCAAAAATTAAACGACCTATTTATAAAATATACACTACACTGATGTTTCATGTTGTTTGTCAGACCTATCTTCAGACTAATTATCAGTTCTTAAATCTTAAAAATGCGCCAAAAATATGTCGACCTTACTTGCAGGAGGGGGGTTGTCAAAATTTCTTTATAATAAATCGAAAATATTTTCAAAAAAACATAAAATTTCGGCACTTGTGCACACATGAGAATGTCTGAGTAAAATTTTTTTTTCCATCGATAAATATTCATACACTTTAGGCAGAAAAAAGCGTCGACCTAACGACAAAAACAATGTACAAAATTGTCAATGTTTGAATTTCAAATTTTTTTTTTTTTTTGCTTTCTTTTGCACATCTTAGTGTTACTTTTTACACGTCGAAAATCCAAAGGTCATAGCAAATCGTCGAAACTTGAAAATGTTATCGAATCGGATACACTATTTACATACCATTTGCGCACATAGATATTGTATTATTGCACGACTACTGCCTGTAATAGCTAGTAAAACAAATAGTAACCTAACCTTATGTATGGCTATTGACGGATATTCACGAAGGAAAAAGCCATTAAAATTGGGGTCGGGACTTAAGTTGGACCGAACTGACTGAATGTGATCAAATCACTTTTAAAAAATGCCATTAAAACTTAAAACTTATGCTTGGGCACTCAAAACTTACCGGGACCTCTCTAAATAGTATCCGTTAAAATATTGGCGTGATTTGATAATTTTTTTTTAAACATTTAACAACTGCGAAAAACAGTTTTCCGGCAATTAAAAAAAAAATGTACTCCCGAATTTTTTTATTCGTCTTATATGTTATGGATACATAATATTATGAGTTCTGACTGCTGAAAAATATTTGCAACTAATAGGTCGTATAATAACAGCTAAAAACACAAAAAACTTTGCACCCCTAAAAAAGTAGCAGTCTATACAGACAAAAAAAAACCTACAATATAATGCAAATATATTTCAGATACCAGCTGTTGACTTATGGCTCACCCTTACTCATTGCAACCTACAAACCTACTACCGTAACACCGTAATTCCCCCTTTTAGGTTGGGGTTTCTCTAATAAAACAAAGCTTCACTACAGATTTTTAAGTAAATTTTATGTGCCCCATTCTAGAAAAAACTTATGGTATACTAAGTAAACACAACTTTTTTTTTTTAATAAGTAAAAACTTTACTATTGTTATAATCGATCTCGAAAGTCTTTTCATATTCTTCTAAACGCCAGTAGTTAGAACCGTGTGTCTTAAAAATGTACTGAGTTATACTAATTAAAAAAAAAACAGTACATATTGGAAAAACAATTTATAAAAACTATCACTGTGTCTTGAATCAGAATATGTGATGAAGTTTTTGCGGTTTGACAATCAAACGAAGAAAATACTGTTAATTTTAAAATGTCGATAGTGCTTTAAAAAAGTATTTAATCAGCGAAAATTGTAATAAAATTAATTAGGATTAAAGGAAAGATAAACGGAAGAAGTTAAGACGAAAATAATTGCTGATTGATAATATAATTTTCATTGAAAAGGCATAAAATTGTTCATGTGACATTGCCGCCTATAGTATATTTTATTTAGTAGCAATATGAAATAGGTATTGCATAAAAGCACTGCGAAGGTAATAATGTACTTAAAATTAGCCTATAATTATTGCATACAATTAGAACGAATCATGTTTTTTAGGAAATTCAATTTAAAGATTAAATCTGCTCCCAAATGATTAATTTTAATACTTTGCAATTATTTTTGCTACCAGATGCTTGTTATCTTTTAAACGAGGAAAAATAACAAAAACCACAGTGAACGTGTGTCGCTCGGGTCGTGCAAAAATAGGCGGTGGCAGCTAGGTGCGTTCGCGTTGACGACGGGGAGCGGAGAGGACGACAACCGGGAAGCTTAGTAGCGGCCGGCCGCGGCCGTTTTCCCCGGTGTGGACTTTGCACTCTCCAACTGGAAGGGTGGGAGAGTAAGTTCACAACCGAGTGTCGCACAATGTGTCGACGGGTGACAGAAGAGGTACAGCGCGGGCCCAACCTGTGTGATAGGTTGAGGGGGCCGCGTCACATATGTGTTAATTGTTCAAATATTTTTACATTGCAAGAATAGGTTTACCCAAGGTATGTCCAACAGAAATATTACACTAATACCTACTTAAATTCTAAATTTTGGCACTAAATCCGCTCAAACCTAGATCAAATTCAAGAGAATTTTGTCTGCCATCAGAATATCCGGTAAAATTGCCCATTAGTGAGATTTAAATTGTCAAAATTTACAAAAAAAACCAAAATTTCGACCTAGCTCAAAAATTTCAAAAAGCTGAATTTTTTTTCCAAAAATACCACACCAATAGGGCTGTATTGTGAAGAACCATGATTGTGGTAACCTCGGTTAACATGGTTGTGGTTACTAAGGTTACCACGGTAGTGGTTACTGAAGTAACCATGGTTGTAGTGACTAAGGTTACCACGGTTTTGGTTACTTAGGTTACCTGAAGTTTAGTTACCTAGGTTACCACGGTAATGGTTGCTTAGGTTACCACAGTTGTGCTTACCAAGGATACAGAGAATTTTGTTTGCAATCAGATAATCCGGTAAAATTGCCCATTAGTGTGATTTAATTTGTCAAAATTTAAAAAAAAACCAAAATTTTGACCTAGCTCAAAAATTTCAAAAAAACTGTACTGTGGCTTAAAAGATTCACAAATGTCTCAGTTTGCCTTTTAACCCATACATATGTGTTAATTGTACAAGTATTTTTACATAGCAAGAATAAACTAGGTTTACCCAAGGTATGTCCAACACAAATAACACACTAACACCTACTTGAATTCTAAATTTTGGCACTAAATCCGCTCAAACCTAGATCAAACTCAAGAGAATTTTGTCAGCAATTAGAACATCCGGTAAAATTGCCCATTAGTAAGATTTAAATTGTCAAAAATTTCAAAAAACTGAATTTTTTTTCCAAAAATACCACACCAATAGGGCTGTATTGTGAAGAACCATGATTGTGGTAACCTCAGTTAACATGGTTGTGTTAACTAAGGTAACCATGGTTGTGGTTGCTAAGGTTACCATAGTTTTGGTTACTAAGGTTACCATAGTTTTGGTTACTCAGGTTACCACGATTGTGGTTACTAAGGTTACCTAGTTATTGTTACATAGGTTACCACGGTTATGGTTACTTAGGTTACCACAGTTGTGGTTACCAAGGATACAGAGAATTTTGTTTGCAATCAGATAATCCGGTAAAAAATTGCCCATTTGTGTGATTTAAATTGTCAAAATTTACAAAAAACCAAATTTTGACCTAGCTAAAAAATTTCAGAAAACTGAATTTTTTTTCCAAAAATACCACACCAATAGGGCTGTACTGTGGCTTAAAAGATTCACAAATGTCTCAGGTTGCTTTTTAACCCATACATATTTGTTATTGTACAAATGTTTTTACATAGCAAGAATATCCGGTCTGCAATCAGAATATTCGTTAAAATTCTCTCTCTAATGGCTAACTTCACACACGTCAATATTTTTGGTTTGAAGCTAAATCAAGAAAATATAGACAGATACTATTATGTAAACCGTTTAACCATGAAATATATTATATTACATAGCATTTATTTATCAGTATTATATTAATTTAAAATACATTTTGTTTTGAAAATCTGTTGTTAAATTTATTCTTTTTATGATTTAATGAATTTATAATTTATATTATTAATAAGATACTGAAGTAAATTAATAACTTAACAACGTAGATTTCAATTAATATTTTTGTAAGGGCTTACAAAATTTTCATAATATATTATGTAAACATTTTAATAAAATTATACATAAAATAATAAAAAAACGATTATATACTATTTATCTGTTAATATATTATAGTAATTAATATTGACAAATAAGTGTACAAACTAGATTAGTACATTTTAAATTATAACACATTACATATATTACTTTAAGTTATTAACAATGACTAGAATACAAAAATGTTTAACAGATAGTACCTTATGTAGTGTTTAAAGTATTTTTGGGGGAATATGTGTTCAATACACAAAACTTTTGAATTAAAATTATCTCTTATATAAACAGTTTTTTTAAGTCCAGATCATAATGAATAAGGATTGGACATTTATGTACAATTACATACATTTAGGTACACTGTCTATTATTAATATTTTAATTATGATAAAATAATTTGATATTTTTATGCCTTATTGCTTTTTGAAAGTTAATAAAACTGTTGTATAAGGGGTAACACTGTACTATAACCTACAATCTTATTTTGTTCAATATACTTTTACTTTTCCTCTGTAACAGTTAACACATGGCTGCTTTTAAACTTTTTACTAATTATTAATCAAATATGTTGTAATAATTACTTTTGTTTAATAAACAACATAAATACAACAAAAACTATCATGGAATTTTAAATTATTATACCTACTGATAAGTTATAACGGCCATTCTTAAGAAAACTAGCATTTTTATATCTCAATATTATAGTCGATTATTTAAGTTTAACTAATTGTATATTACAATATCAAAATTAAAATTGAATATAGTATATATTATATGCAAGTATTGAATATTTCCAGTAAATATAATATAAATTAACCATATGTTACATATACACAATAATAAATATTTCCTTAGATAATTTAGGTTAGTAACATATGTGGATAGAAATTCTTGTGGAGAAAAGCAATTAAGTCCAGTAGTGAAATGTAGGGTAGTTAATGTTAAAACAATAAATGTCGAAGAGATTACAAATATATATTAGAGAACTGAGGCACACATAAGGTTAATTTTTTAATATTAAAACATTAAAATTAAATTTAAATAGTAATAGAAAACAAAAACTATATTTAACATAAATTTTATATGTGTCAAGAACGTTTCAATTAAATTTATGTGACTAGAATACTTGATATAATAAACTTTTAATTGCACAAATAAATCTCATATCATATTATTTTAAATATTTTTGTAATATAAGTATTAGAGATTAAAATAAAACTAATAATCAAATCTTTTGTAGGTAAATAAAAAATAATTAAGCATCTCTTGTAATACTTAATATATGTACTTAAGAAAAATGTAATAAAAAAAGTTGGTTTTTCTACTTAAACTTTTTCATATATTAAAGCTATTATTATTTATGTGATTTTTGATGTCAATACAAATGAAATTATTTATTAATACATGAAGAGTGGAATCAAAAAAGGATTTAAGTGCCATTTTTCAGCCAAAAGGGATGTATGTTCCAACGCCAATGAAACGCAATAAGGCAGAAATTTCCTCGTCGATTGCACTTACAGCCTTTTTTGATTCCTCTTTACATATTTATACTATTATATACTTCTATTTTTATATAGAGAGCAGTACTTAAATTGAAAAGAATAGCAATAAAAGTGTAAAAATAAGGTTAGTGTTGTAGGGTTAATGAGCTTAAGATGTCCATTTAGGGGTTTTGCAGCTTCTCCCAAAGAGGAGAATGATTAAAGGACTAGTTTTTAGTCTGTTGAACTATTTTTACAAATGCAATAGTTAAATAAACAATCTTATTAAAATGAAGTTTAATATAATTATTGTTTTAAGCGTTAATGGCAAATATATCCTTTAATGAGTACATTGATGTTTTTTAAGAAGAGCATATGCCACTAAAATTGTTAAATGTGTTGTGAACGTGGATGTGTTTCTCTTAATCCATTTGGCACGACTACACCTACCAGTCCTTGGGCCAAATGTTCTGTTTCAATGTACGTATTTATAGAATCATTGTCAGAAGACAATACCTAAAACATTTAAATTAAATACTAATGAAAATTAAAAATAGTTCTGTCCTTTTGTATTTCTCTCCAATTTAAGTACTGCTGATAAATATTCAATCTAAGCAATCAAAAATAATTTGGTTTTATGTTTTTACTTAAAAATTATGACTCCTGGGAAATTAGACTGTCTGATCTTTACTTGACAACCACACTTCTGGTCCAGAATGCATATCAATAACGTTTTTTACTTTTTCAAAAATATCTTCATATGTATCTCCTTTGACTATAGCTGTTAAAAAATTATAGTAGAAAAACAAAAAATTTTTAAATAAGAATAATATTTGATAATAAATATAAAAAGTATTAAGTTATTAAAAGAAGCTGGAGAGAATGAATCGGAATGACGAAAATTGTGTTTTATGAAAGCAACAGATCCTATTACTAAAGAAAATAAACATGTCACTCAGAAAATGCATAATGAAGATAAAAGAATGGCATATAGCACTATACTTAGTGGAAATATAAAGAAAAAAAGGAAACAATAGAAACATTTTAGATGTGATGTTATGCACAAATGCAAAAGATATGCTGGATAGACGACAGATACTATAAGAGTAAGAAAATTACAATGGTTTGGTCATACTTAGAGGCCAAAAACCAATTTTACCTTACAGACTCGTTGTAATTAAGTATATTTGTATTAAAAGGAAAATAAAAGACTGAGAAGAGTTGTAGGAAAGCAATATCGTCATAAGACTAAAAATCTAAAGAAGAAGAAAGATTAATTAAATACAAATATTTGTTCCAAAAAATGTAACAAATTATATTCTTTAACCTGTTAAATATTCACTATAATCTTGCTCAACTTTCATTTCTTGATCATATATTTTTTTTGCTCGGTCTTCTGTCATTTTATCACTGATTTTCCTAAAAAATACAACAATTAATAAATAGAAAACTAAAAAAAAATTAACAAACATTTCAGTAAAGTCAAAAACAAACAAATTGTTTTATAATACAAATGTAGATATATTATAAATGTTCTGTAATAGCATTAATTTTAGTTTAAGAGTATATTTATTTTTATCATTGCCAATACAATCTAATTATATAAATAGAATATTACATGATGAAGTCCAATGATGATGCTTTAATAAAAACAGTTATTGGTTGAAGATTAGCAGCCTGTAATCGTTTAATTGCGTTGGAACTCACATCAAGAATGCAATGTTTACCCTAAAAAAAAAAAAAAATTAAGAAGGTAAATGAAATTGAAGATTAAGGAAAAATGTATTTTTAAACAAAATTTGACTCTAAAATAGATTTTAAATGACTGTAACTTTTCAAAAAATGAATTATTCTTTATAGATATTATACCAGAAAACAATATTTATGACGGTGACTACCATTGACATAATAGAATTTATATCTATTATGTCAATGGTGACTACCGAGACGATGCGATAAAAATCAGTTTGTAAAACTTTAGAACCATCACTATTATTAATAGGTATCATTGATTATAAATAATATAATTTAAGGCCTATTTATTAAAATGCAATATTTGATATCATTTTTTTTCAGTTTAAAGAAAAAAGTGATTTTTGTAGTAGTGAAATGTGAACCGTTGCCAAATCATTGGTACTAACTTCCTCAAAAATGAACTTATACTAGAAATAAAATTGAGAGAAAACCTAAAACATATAGGTTGACATAGTTAAATAAAAAAAATGTTACATCAAGGTAAAAATGTATAAGATAAGTTCGACAGATAACAAACAAATTGTCTGAACTTCTACAATTTTTGAAAAATAGAGCAGACATTTTTTAATATCATTATATATATATAGTTTATCCAACCACATAAACAATGCAAATTTCAGATATCTAGGTTTAACAAATCACAAGAAAAATTATAAAATAATAGAACCTCCACGTACTTGTTCTGCAACTTCTTGAACTGAAGCAAGAGATGTTCCATATAAATTATCGTTGAATTGGCCTGCTTCAATGAACAAGTTATCTTTTATATCACGCTCCATCTGTTCTCTTGATTTCACAAAATGATAATGAACACCGTTGACTTCACCAGGTCGAATTTCTCGTGAGGTATCTAAATAATTTTTAAAAATAGATTATTTATTAAATTAAACAGTTTATAAATCAATTATCATTTTTACGTGGAACACATGATCCAAACTCTTCTGGATATTCTGATATTAGATTATCATTAATTTTGTCCTTGTAAATACCAATTACAATAACTGGACGGCTGTAATTTATGGTTTTCTTGATTACAGTCTCATAAGGTAAAGATGGTTCCTCTAAAATAAAATACAAATACGTTTTATTCATTTTTTTTTAAAGAAACTAGTTTTTATAAAATATTAATCGTAAATAATTAGAAATGCATCTAAATTGAATCGAAGTTTTGGTGGTTCAAAGCGTCTACCTCGATACGTTAGAAGTAATGGGTTTAATACCTACAGTACTGCAAAACAAACATTGGCTTCCTCTTACCAAACTGTACTCTAGTTTGAACAGGTTATTTACAATTTATATTTTATTTTGATGTTTGATGAATTATCTTACTATTAAATGTCAACAATAACTTTTCCCGTGTTTATCATTATTCTTAAAGATTATTTTGCTTGAACAGTGAAAAAATACCTCAAAACAAGTTATTGTCTGTTAATTAAATATGGAAAGAATAAGTGTTTTGAGGAATGGGTTAAAGATAAAATTTTACTGGAAACTATGGCCAGAATGGTTTTTTCATATGCAGCCTATTGAAATACTGAGACCTTTAAAATGGGCGTGAGGTACAAGTGTACTCAAACACACGAATAATATGTAAATATTTAAAGCAAAAAATAAAAATTGTATATAATTATGTTATAAAAGTCTTAGATGCATGAAAATTTAGAGCATTGAATAATATTCAGGATAATCACAGGGATACATTTAAATATTTTGCTAATTATTGAGCTATAAAATACCTTATTTGGTAAAAGATAATAAGACAAATGTTGTTAGCTGTATTAAATGAAACAATGTTAACAATAGTAGAGAATACAGGAGCTATGTTTTCCCATGGGTCCATCAAATACATATTTTTAATACTATTTTTTTGAAAAATATTTGTAATTAGAAATTATATCACGGACAAACAAAGAATCACCACAATGAAGATGATAAATGTGGCTACCATCATATTGTGGGAAAAGGCAAAATAGATATTATATACAACACACTCAAGAACACCCAAATCTAACAAAAGCACTAGTAATTTTAAAAAGTAATAACAAATATCTGTATCAAACTGTATAAAAAAGAATCTAGTACGTCTCGGACCACATGGCTATACAGTCCTATTAGTGCTACATGAATGTTATTAATAGAAAAATCTAGCAAGTAGTAAAATGTATAAATATATTGCACATTAGGTAAAAATGAAAAAGCAATGAAATAATCAATGTGGAGAGAAAGAAATATGTCATTATTATTTATTAAAAATATTTCTTACCAACAAGTAGTTCAATTACACTTATACTGCTTAAATTAATACCTTCTGATGTTGGATCTTCGTGAGTGTAACAAAGCATATAATCTGTAAACCCAATATTAATTGTACATAAAGAAAGAAAAAATAAGACTCGTGAACCAAATTCAACAGAGCAATTTTAAACCAAATTACAATATGGAACAATTAATAATGCTTACGGTCTTGGTCAGAACCTGTACATTCTAAGCGATCTGCTTTGCTTCGCATAAATGGAAACATGCGACTTAAAGTGAAATTCTTTTTTTTTTTTTCTAAAGTAGAAGCCTACAAAAAAAGTCTAAGTAGTAATTTTTTTAAGTGAGATAAGTATTATATTTGATCATATACTTTGTCAATAAGAACTGGAACATGTCCTTGGAATTTAACTGTACGGTCTCTAGACTTTTGCTTCCTTTCCCATCGCTTTTTAGAAGGTATAATGCCAATCCATTCTTCTTCGCCTGATGGTACCAACTTTCTGGCTTGCCACCATTCTTCATCATTAGCATTAAGTACATGCAGAATGCTTCCGTAAATGAATGATATTCCACGGCTTGGTAAACCATCATCTCGGTTTGGATCATAATCATATAAAGCTCTAAATTCAGTTTTTTTAAACATACTTTTATTAATATACATACATTTTTTTGGATAATTCAATATACTAGAACAAATAGCACGTTCCAAACTAAACTGCCCAGTGTTTAATTAATTAGGCTTATCCTAGTTATTAAGAACTATCTTAGACCCCTATCACTCTACCTGAGCAAGGTAGAGTGATATTTAATACAACTTAATATTTGATACAGACTATAGTGCTATAAACCAGATAAACCTAACTCTTGTAGGTGCTTAATATAATACAAAATAATTTCTTATAATTTAACCCATTTACGTCCAGCGTTATATGTAGGACACCAGTTTTAGTGTCTATATTACCTAATGACAAATTGCTGTTTTTTGGATGGTTTAGGTAAAGTGCTAGAAGTTAAAATGGCTTTTTTCAAAAGTTGTTCTTTCAATTGCATCAATTTTTTTTGAAGCCGATAATATTCTTGAGGCCTTTGTTGTGCAATAATAGTAACAATTGGCCCATCTTCCTGTAATAAAATAAAATAATTGCTAATAATAATACATTTTTTTTACAAATTTCTGCTCACTTTTAATGCAATGGCCGCTTCATCATGAGTAGCATTTATCATATCAATAGCATTGACACTTAAGATCCGATCACCTGGTTCCAATACTCCATTCTGATCTGCTGGACTACCAGGAGCAATGTATGATATAAAAATACCTTCTTTGTCTTCTCCTCCAATAATATTAAATCCTAAGCCTTCCTCAGATCTACGTATAGTCACTACTTTTTCTCGTCTATAAATTAAATAATTTAAACAATTTTATGATATTTTAAGTGGTTTTTTTTTAAACTTACAATAATGATATATTTTCACTGCTTGACTTTGTAGACACATCTATTTTAGTTGGCGTTTTTGGTTTTATATAGCGGGTGTCAATTGACTCTTTGACTATACCAAAAATATTTTTTAAAAATTAATGTAATTAAATATAGTTATTTAATTTTATAGGATTTTAAGTTTTAATACATAGTTGAAGTTTAAGAAGGTATTATAATTCAAATATTTAAATTATTATTAATTTATGAATATTTAAAAGATTACTGCCATTTTTTAAAATTTACTCACCAATTACTAAAGTAACAGTTTGTTCAGTTTCTTTGAGAGCCGCAACTGCTTCTTCATGTGTAACATTTTCTAAGTTAACATCTCCTTTCTAAAATAAAGTTGATTAATTACACTAATAACTAATGGTGTTAAATAAGTAACTTGTTTAATTTACCAAAGTATTTTTGACAACAATTAACTTATCTCCAACTTGCATTTGGCCATTACTAAAAGCGGCTCCGCCTTCTTGAATCTTTGTGACATATACACCATTATCTCCAGGTAAATGAACATTACCTATTCCACCAGCAATCGTGAATCCCAATCCTCCATCTACTTTTTCTAGTTCAATTTCTTTTACAGAGTACGATTTTTCGGGTTTATCAAAAATTTCTTTTTTGCGTCTTTTCAAATTCTAAACATATATATATATATATACCGAATAAAAAAACTATCCATAATAAATTGATAAACAAAAATGATAATTATAATTTACCAGTGTCACTGTGTTGCCTGCGTTTTTAAGTGTGGATACTGCATAATTATGTGGTACTTGTTCAAGTGATATACCATTCACTTTTAAAATAATATCATTAGCACGAAGACCAGTAGAACCAATATCAGGGCTGACTCGAGTTACTAAAACCATAGACTCAGAATCTACTCCACCAGCAATACTGAATCCCAAACCTCCCGAACGACGTTCGACTATTACTGTATCATACTCCCAACATTCAGCTTCATCATCCTAATTTAAAATTAAAATAATCATAAAATATGGCATTAAACGTATAATTAAAAAAAAAAAATGTAGGAAAATCTTATTAGGTAGTGTTAAGTTTTAAAAATAAATTACTTTAAATTTTTTTTTGCAAAATATAGTTAATATTATTTGATAAACTAAAAACTGGCCAAGTCTTATATTTAAAATTTAAATTATTAACATACTGTTTCAAGGTTGGATTCTGGTTCTGTGGCATCACCAAATGAATGGTTGTCATTATGTCCACTCAAGCCATTAATCTATTAAAATAATAATAGTGATTATTACTACATTATAAACTTATAAACACTTTATATTATACTTGGCAACTAATGTCTACTACGTCCTTCTTTTTATAGTCTCGTTGACATTCAGTTTCCAATGGTTCTAAATCAAGTTCATTCTAAAAAAAAATTGAGCTATATAGACAAAAAAAAACTAAAACTTGAGTTAAATGCAAAATAGTATCTAAATCTTGTATTTATTTTTCGAGTTATTGTATTATATTATAAAATATGATATATACTCGTATATATATATATTAATTTGTGACATGTAATACTAATTTTTACATTAGTAATTTTGTATTAAATTAAAAATAAAAATTATAAATCTGATTAAAAATATTAGCTTTGATTGATTACCAATTTAATTTTACTATCAAATTGGTCCATTATGAACTTTTGGGCAATGGATAATTCTTCATCAGTCACCGAATGACTTTCATCTTGCAGAGCTAATTCGTAGAACTCTTGAATGTCTAAAATAAAATTAAAATTAATTTTTGATTAGTTAATGATCAGTTTGTATTGGTGTAAAAACTGTATTCGAATAATAACTACATGGATATTTGTGAAAATTTACATAAAATTCACAACTTATGAAACTTAAAAATTGCATAAATAATTCAGGAACTTAAATACGGACTATTCAGACATTCTCTACTTACATCTCTTGTTAAGAATAAGAATATAAAAAGTGCAGTGACCGAAAACATAAGCAAAAAAACATAATTGGTTTATGAAAAATAACGACACTACTTATTTGAGTAACTTGTTTGAGTTATTCAGTTATAGATTTTTAAATACAATTTGAATAATACTTAAATCTACCAAATATTAATTGAATTAAAAAACAATAATTATTAAGTTTAAAAGTAAAAGTTAAATAAATCATTTCTAAAACAATTATACAACCATATCCTATGATTATAATTAAAAATATCTTATGTTACATTTCTTTTTAAAATATTGTTTAAAACTTTATCTTTATTTGAAAGTGTCGTAGCCAGCATTTCATTTTGGGAAGGGATAACCTTTGATTTTATAAACTTAAAAAAGTGACTAACTGCACTGTAATTAATAATTTATAGTTACTAAAATTTCTGGAAGAACTGCAGACGCTCAGAACTCAACCCCTTCCCTAGATATGCCTCTGATATTTTATTGTTGTACGTATTATTAAATGATTACAAGGGCGTATTTGAGGAGGCGATGGTAGCATCAGTACCCCCCTCATTCCTTAATTTTAATATTGAACAAATGCACTTTACGGGACACCCTTTTTTTGTGATTATTTTTTTGTTTACCACCTTTTAGTGTTTTTTACGGTAATTACGAATCTGAAGTCAGAAATGGGCACTCATCTAGTTCAAAAGTTATAGCCAATTGGATTTTTAAATTGTCCGTGTATAATACAACAGTAGGCGGCAGGTGGCTACGAATGATGTCTACGGTGGCCGCCACATCATGAAACATTGTGGGTTTCTCGAATTGTGCTTGAAAATATAGCAGTTTGTTTCCTAACCAAACCTAACCAACCAAGATTTCCGACCCACACTTCAAAATAGGCCCGAGGCTGTTTTGTAACTAGCCGCCGGCAGCCTTCTGTCGCACGCTTTGGTCGTCCGTGCCTGCCACCTACTATTATTTACATGGAAAAGTTCAAAATTCAAGAAGCTATAACGTTTGAACTAGAAGAGTCCACCGATTTCTGACTTCAGATTTGTAATCAGTGTGAAAAAAACATTACAAGATAAAGGCTGTCCGGTAAAGTGCATTAATAATGCTTTAAATATGATTAATATATGAAAAAAAAAAATTTTTAATGTATTGTATTACAGAATAATGAGCTTTAGGTAATAAACTGTAAAATATTAATATTAATTCTGCATAGAAAAAAATATAATTTGTATTCAATACATATAAAAATATTACGCTACCCCCTCCCCAAGACTAGACAAATATACACTTGAAAGATTATTACTATTACTTTTATTACATTACGGGGAACTTATGACTATTAGAGAAACTTACAATATTTAAAAGTTAATCTCTACAATGAGGTACATAAGATAAAAACCTCAAACACAGGTCTTATTAGAATTATGGTTGAACATATATATATATTATTTATATTTTACAGATCATTTAGCCTTATAATAATTACCAATAAGTGCTTGAAACAGCCTCGACTTAAAGATTCCTATTACAAGCTGCATAACTACTTGAAGATCATTATTAGGGACACTTGACAATTTGGCTTGGTAGTCTTCAAGTAGGGCAAGAGCCCTTAAAGTTTCTGAGAACAAAAATGTCTAAATATTATTTTTTATTGCATGATAAATATTTGTCAATTGACTTACCGTCTTGCTTACAAACTGGCATTTTGGTTATTGCAATTAATAATATTAATGTAAAGAATATACAAGGTAGATGTAATCGTTTTTAACAATGCATACTGAAAATTATATTGTTGTGAAAAAATCAATTGTATCAGCTGTAAAATGTTTATAGGTCATGTTAACAGTTAGTATTGGTACAGTTAAGGGTTGTAATCTAAACATGTATATAATGTGTAATCATGAATAATAGGCGTACTTTTAAGCGGTAGATACAAAAAAGTTAATATAAAAACCTCAATAAAACGAAGTTCGAATTGCCAATTGGCACGATTTTAAATTTTGGTAAAATACTGCGACTTTTTAATTTTTAAATTACATAGATAGCTAATGGTTATCTATGGACTATGTCCTATAATTAGAGTATAAGACATTTAAAAATAAAATTGACATATTGTCAATAATTGTATGGCCTGAATGTAGATGTAAGATAAATGTTCCGAGGAATAGTTTTGGAAACGGAAATTCAATGGAAATGAACTATGAACATAGAAACAACTTTACAAATGAAAGCGAATAATCAAGTGGTTAGTGGTCAACGAATGATAATAATACACAGTATCAGCATTGATTTTTAATCAATGGTATCAGGTATCTGCATCAGGGAGTGGCTATAGAAGTTTTAATGTGTTGCAAAATTTAGGACTAAAATCAGTCTGCTAAGATAGAAGAAAATAATTATCGTTCAATATATATTGTGGTGATAAGATATCAATGATAACAGTATTTTGAAAAAATATTGTTTTTAAATTCGATAAAATATATTTTTAGTATTGTTATTAATTTGTATATACGTTTTAGCTATTTATTTGTATTAATTAACAACAATGCCTAGTTGTTTTATTTGTTCAACAATAGAGACTTTTTTTTTCCAATATCTGGTCATACTAGTTTTAGTCCTACCTTTTACTTCGCACTTGCATACAAGCTAGTACATGTTAGTTCATCTCTTTATATTATTACTCTATGGTCTGCAGCATAGACCTTATACTACTAGACAGAGCATGCATGTAGACTGTAGTTCCAGCGAGCCGACGCACTGCGCTGACGTCTTGAGGCAATCTGCTCATGCGCATTTGAGTTTCCAGTTTAAGAAATATGGTGCACGGCTTAAAAAGTATTGTGTGATAAATGATAATTGATATGTACTCTTCAGAATCAATAAATATTTGTATTAAGTAATAAGTATGTTCTAATATAGTAATAACTGTTTATAATAATATAGTAACCTGTTATAAACAAAACAAAACAATGTTGAACAGTTCATTAAACAATAATTTATACTTCTCTCAGTGATATCACTGCTACGACAATAGTCGTGCTCGCACCACCCGCCCGCATCCTACACGAATGCTCCATCTAGTAGTATAAGGTCTATGGGTATCTACTATCTACTATCTGTAGTGAAATGGAATAGATAAATTTAATTAGCCATGCGGCATGCTGCAGCCCGCAAGCTTTTTTAATCACTTCTTCAAAAGTTTAAAGAAGGCGACTCGCGATAGCTAGAATCTAAATTCTAGAACTTGCCACTTGGTAGTTTTATACGGCTGACGGTATAACACCTTATTAAATGAATTCTTAGTTATTGTAGTATAATATTAGTAATAATAATAAATTTTAATGAAAAAAATGAAAGTTTAGCTTATGACTCCATAATATAATATACGTTAATACACCTATACTCAGTAAATCGTATACAATTGTATTAATTAAATTAAATGAAATTACTATTGTTTATTTTAGGTTAACTATTACAAGATTAAAGCAACGATAGTTTTGTAGTTACCAAGATTCTTAAGTGAGTTTGAATGATTTTATAAAATATCATGTATTAATAAATTATTCTAATATATAATACAGGGTGATCATTTTATCGTGAACCACTCAATATCTCATTGGGTTTAATAAGTCATTTTTTTTTATAGTGATTTTATACAGCCAAATGTGTACTCACCTTGTCACATTTATTTTTTATTTTTACCCCCCTCCCTTTATTCTTTTATTAACTTTTGAAACTTAAATAGTAACGTACATGTTTTATTAACTTTAGCTTAAGTTTTCTAATGTAAATTTAAGATACACTTTACTTCGAACTGTACTTTAGTTCTCTTAATCTTTGAGTATTTATATTATTTAGGAATAATAAGAATAGGTAAAAAAAATTGAAATTGTGTTTTAATTAGATACTTATTTTTGTTATCCAGCTATGTACATTGAAAAAGGAAACGTCAATGAAATACCTCCAGATGCGATTCGCCTTACTAATGATGAAGTCGTGAAATACATGAAAGATTTAGTACACAAATGGCCAAAGTTGTCTGATGTGTTAGTATACATTTTTAATAATTGCCCAATGCTATTTTTAAAAAGAATAATTATATATTTTTAGATGGGCGTTAAAATATGGAAATCCTATTTTGTCGTCTGCAGCTGTCATTTCAAATACTCTTATTTTGAATTTTTACCGAAAAAAATTAAAATTAAGAAACTATGGTCGTTTTACATTGTTTATTCCTATAGTTTTTTTATCTTCAATTGTTGATCAAGTTTTTCAAAATTCAGTAAGTATTTATATTGTCTGAGCAGTGAGGTAATTGTATTCAAATAGGCAATTGTGAATACAATAAAATATAACAATTTTAAGCTTATTTAATTTTCAATGCAATTTAGATCTGATTACTCATTTTAAAAATTATTAATTATTTGAATTAACAATTTGCATTCATATTTGATCCGTTAGTTTAGAAATACTTCACTTTCCTGTTAACCCATTAGGTATAACTACAATATATTTATAGCAGCTATAGTATTGAAAAAAGTTATTTTTTTTTAATTAAAAATATGGTGATTATATTTACAAAAATACAACTAAACTTTTTTTAAGAAAAACTGATGATTTCTTATATTTTTAGTTAGTAACAAGATCTATAATATTACAAGATGAATGTCCTACTTGTACTACTAGTCGATCTGTAACCATACAACTAGGTACAGGAATCATTTATCCTGTATTGGCTACAATTGCTGGGACTTATGTGGTAAAAAAAACATTCATTACTCATTTTAATTGTGACTGTTTCTGTTTCAAATATATTTTAATTAAATTGAATGTTGACCATGTTAACAGTTTCTATTATCTTTATTTTGTATTAGGAAAAAAATTATCACAATAACTTATTAATTCTTAAAAAAAATTTCAGTTTGGGTCCAAAATGGGCACAGTCAACTTGAAGTCTGCCGACCGTATAATGAAAATACAGGAATTTCTCAATCATGTAGCACATACTTCTCGTCCATTTTACAACCGGCTTGCTCTTTTCTCAATTAGCCATGTTATATTAAGTTATGCTATTTGCTATTTTCAAATGAAATCTTATGAATACCTAAGATTTAAAATGTTGGAACAATCAAAAGAAGAAACAAAAATTGTACATACAAATTCCAAAAATAAAGCCTAGTGTAATTTAGTATTTTTATTTTAGTAAAATTAGTAAGCTGTATTAGTAAATAGTAATATTGTTAACTTACAAAATTACATGTGATTAATGAGTTTCAATTATAATATTGTTTTTAAATCTACTGTTACAATTATAAATGACTATAGAAATGTTGAATTTTATTGTTCCAATACTAATTTGATTTGTTAATTAAAAAAAAAAAAAGATCATGTGTTTAATTCTTGTTTATTATTAAACAAGTTATCACAACAATTTACATGTCAATTATACTAATACTAAAATTAAATTCTTGGTCATACTGAATTGAAACTATTATAAAATATGTAAGTAACTTGCAAGCATATTATTTTGAAAAAGAAATTGAACAAGAATCAGTACCCCTTAAAGTTGTTGAACACATAATGGCTAACCACAGTATCTTATTATTCATACATTTAATATATTTCTTAATATGTATTGACACCAGAAATGAAGTATTGAAATTGTATTTAATATTATTATATTTTATTTCCCCCCCTTTTTAGCTGAATATTTATAAAAAAAAATATAAAAATTTATATTTTTACTAAAAACAAATTGTACTGTTTAATACAATTTGTTTTTACATTTACTTTTTTAAGTAAATGACAAAATTAATAAGTTAAATGGCATATATGTTTCTTACTTAGAATTTATAAATAATGTATTTTTATTGTATTGAGAACAACTGAGTTGTCTTTTTTAAGAACTAAAAATAAATAATTTAATAACAAAGGTAAAAACTTATGCTATAAAATTTAAGTTTATTAAAAGCTTTAATCAAGCAAATAATGATTTTTTATAGTAGGTAATTAAAAAAAAAACATTTAAATAATAACTGTTTAATTTAGCCATAAACATATTTGTGAGTGTGTGTATGTTTATGACTTAAGTTATCATACAATAATTAAAATAAAAACCTATTTTTCGAAGAGTTCCGTCTTATAATAAATAAATATTAATCACGAACCTAACTTAGTAATAATAATATACTGGCAATTTAGGTTGGAAATAAAATCAATGCGATGCACAATAAGATAGTTTCAAGGATGTTTTTGAATATTGAATGGCAGTGATGGTTCGAAAATTCGGGGGACCATGAAATGCCGTTGGTCCCAAAGTTGTTGCTAGCAACGCACAGTTTGTAAATGGCTCATATAGTCTTGATAGCTGACTGACACAGTTTCGCTTTGGTATCTTGTTAGCTTAAGGGAACGTCGAGTTTCTGCTGTTACTGGACCACGATAACCACCTTTGCGTAGAAGAGAATCAATGGTTTGAATTTTGTCCCAACCTTAAGATAAAAGTTAAATATAATTAAAAAGTTATTATTCCTTAAATAATTTATACTCCGCCACGTACAGGACCACTAGGTATTAGCAAAACTACAGTATTCCATATTACTATTGAAAGATATGGACAGTTTAGAAGCGAAGATTAACAACAAAGGGAATTTGTTACTTAATTTCTCAATATGTTAAGTAAATCCAGTACGTGCCTAAATACGCTCAATAAATGTTTGAAGTATCTTTGATCTTCATACCTTGCTCTTCAGGCACTTCTGGTAAATAAGTAGCAGTGCGTCGCATTCCACGTTCATTATGAAATTCAATTCGTATTCCATGCACGCCTATTTCCCAATCGTTGAAATCTTTGCCTTCCTCGAAGTGTAACAATATCGATACGGTTACATGCAACCTGTTTATTTCGTCGTTTGAAATTGGTCTGAACCGAGAATCTTTCATTGCGCTAAAACAGTAATACAAATTTCAAATAAATATGTAATAAATGAGGGCAACCAGTTATAATTTCAAACTATCAAATAAAAAATCTCATCTAAGCTCAATAGGCAAAAAAAAAAACCAATTATCATAATACCTTGTTATGGCATATTCGCGTAAACCACTGTGTAAAGCAATAGAATTGAATGTTCCGATACAACCTCTTAGCTTTTTGTCCTTGCCGATCTCCCATGTTACAAACAGTGGACTAAAACACACAACAAATATACTAAAAATAAGATTAAATAAAAAAACACTGCTTAATATAGAGAATACCTAACGAGGAAAACTAGTAATTACCAGCAATAACTAGTATGGGATTGGGGAAAAATTACAACAAAAATGAACAATTGGTATTATTGATAAACATGTTTAAAAATATTACTCAATGTTTCCTCTTATACCATAATAGATTTTAATTAAATATTACCTTATTGCAATAACTTACAATGGGTCGTTTGTGAAATCAGGATTTTTGGGAGGTTCCAAACTGTTTAGATATGAATAGAGTGTATCGAAACAAAAGTACCCCATTTCAGGACTGGTAATCTTCTCTACAGGACCATCTAAAGGAGCTGTAGACGCACTTCCACTACCACCATTAACATCTAAGGAAACTTGATGATGATGATTGAGCTTTTGTTTCTTTGTGTTTGTTCCACAACAACCCGAAGACATATTGATATTGGAGAAGTATAATGAATCTGTATTTTATAAAAAAATCTTTTACAATTACAAATAATTAACTCGAGTATCTTTTTGGTTAAACACGACAAACGAAATTTTATTTTAAATCGTGTCACAAAAAATATACAGACATTTTGAAATGCATATAATAGATTTTAGAACAAAGTAATGACTAATGATTACGTGAACTGGGAAAATTGGAAATACTCACTTATCGTGAAATGAACAGCTGCAGACTTGACCTGTGGGCTGTGCAGTGTGCGGTGACTATAGTGTTCACTATTCTGTGTTGTAGTGAATATCTATGGATACTTGTTTTTGTTTGAAAATAATAAGTTTTTGTAAAGAAATTGTGAACAACTTACTCCGGTCACACTGTATATTATCATTGACTTTAAATTAGGTCATTTGTTATCTATTTTGTTTACGTTATGTTTATTAAATCAGGATCTCATAACAACTAAATTACTCAATACTCAAAAGGTATTAATAACCACTAACCAGCAATTACTGTCCTTGTGGCTCTCTCAGAACAACCTGTGTATGTTGTTGTTAGGTTCTGTAATTATTGTAAAGTAACTTGCCTTTAGTCGTAGACACTACTTCCTGAATTCAGCTTCCATTCAGTTTTGTTAATCTATCGCCCAATATTTCAAAGAAAATGTTTAAAGTCAATTTTTGTAAGTTAAATCGCAGCCATCTTAAAGTCATTGAAGAGTACAGATCAGTCAAAAAATCAAAAAGGTATGAAATAATCTAAAATTATAAACTATCCAGAAAATATAATAATAATAAATAAATATAATATGATATTTCCTTGAAGTACACATTGGACAAAATCGTATAAGATTAGTGTAGTCACATTATTAGAAGAAAAATTAAAATAGTTTGCGCATGATGGTGCAAGAGTGTTATAAAGTGCAATTTTTGTTTATTATAAATTATCTTATAAATACCTATGACCATAATAATATATTGTGTCCACATTCTAATAAACTGGTGACAATATACACATATTGTGTGTATTTGCTTAATTACATTTAAAAGACAAATTTCAGTTGAACTAAGTAATAATTGTACAAGAGGTAATAATATTTGAATTAATATTGTTTTTAATAAATTACAGTTTAGAATTATACTGTAGTTAATGACCATTATCATGTTATTATTTTTCTATTTATAAAAATTTTTAATAATTAAAATATAATTTGAGGCCAATTATATTCTGCAATATCCTTTGTTACTTTTGTGTTGCACTGTTTTTGGTTGGTCAACTATCAACACTAACAATAGAGAGGTATCAGTTGCAGCAAATCTATTATTGGTATGCACTATCTAGTACACCATAGGGCATCTAAAGTATATTTTTGGTATTTTCCAAGCAGCAATCAATGTCTAGCAATGACAAATAATTACCCAACCTTTATAGATGCAAATGGAGTGCAGTGAAGTATTATTTTTATCTGTGTGTTTTATTCAATTGCACTATTCTGATCATCTAAATTTTTAAACATTTATTTATGTCACTATTTAAGTTTCAAAAGTTTATAGTGCTCTGAAAAATACTGAAAATTATTGGCTGTTATTTAATAACATCCAAGTTTCATTCGTTCATTAATTTTAGCCGTTTTGTTTTGATCACTATACAACAAATAGTTGCCTCTGATAATATTTGCAATATTATTATATTGCAATAATTGCATCATATATATTTTTTTAATGTTATGAAATATATGCTTCTATAATATTTTAAACATGTGTATTGTTTAAAAAAATTCTAAAAGTGGATTTAAGTATGAATTTAAAAAAAAAAATGTTCTACTGAATTAATAATTGATCATAGAATTATTATATAATGGTTAGTTTTCTTTTAGTATACAAGAAAATATATTAATTCTGAAACTGTGTAAAAACTGATACAGATAGATATCAAGCATACTGATAGATCCTGATAGTATCTTGATAAACCTTCCAAAAAATTTGTTCGTGTTATTCGGGTATCTGCAAAATTGAAATTTTAGTACCATCTAGTGTATTTCTATTAAAGTAATTAAAAGTAAAAATGAAGAAATTGTGGCTTTTACCAAATGTTTCTTAACTAAATATTTTCTTCTTACAAATAGATGGCTTTCTACAACCTCAACACTTTTAGCATCCAAGGATTCCAAAGAAACTAAACAATCAAAATCATTCACAATGAACTTGTTCCGTGGTCAATTGCAAGCTGAACAAGTATTTCCTTACCCAGACGTATTAAATGATGAACAGACTGATACATTAACTAGTTTAGTTGATCCTGTTACCAAATTTTTTAAGGTTGTTACTTAATATTTTGTTTTATCGTTATTGTTAATTTTTCTTATACGTTTTGTTTAAACAAAGGAAGTAAATGATCCACTTAAAAATGATGAAATAGAAACGGTAGAACCAAATACTCTTGAAGGTCTTTGGGACCTGGGGGCATTTTCGTTACAAGTACCTCAAGATTTGGGTGGCTTAGGACTTACCAACACACAATATGCAAGAATGGTAGAAATTGTCGGTGCTCATGATTTGGCGGTCGGTATTGTTTTAGGCGCTCATCAATCTATTGGTTTCAAAGTGAGTTTATTTTTTCTACGAACTAACATAATTTATATTATATTATTATAATTTTAAGGGAATACTATTGTTTGGGACTCCTGAGCAGAAAGCTAAATATTTACCACGAGTATCAAATAAGGAGTTTGCAGCATTTTGCTTAACAGAACCATCTTCTGGCAGTGATGCTGGTTCTATTAAGTAAGACAAATCTATGATATATTAATTCACAATAACAAATTAGTATGAATAGAAATAATACAACTTAAGCAACTAAATGATAATATTAGAAGAAAACATGTATTGAATATAAACATTTTTTTTAGATCTCTTAATGTAATTAGCATATTATCGTTGTATTATAGTTAGTCATAAATTTTAACGAGTAACGTGGATATCAATAGTATAATACTCTTGGAGAATGAGTAGCCAAGTGGGAAAGGCAGTGATTTTGTGCTCCCTGTAATTGGTTCGGCAAATGGTCGGTTCTGTTTGCTGGGTAGGAACCTTCTAATGAAAAAGAGCCGTCTGGCGATTGATGAACCCGTACCAAATAGCAATTTTCAAGAACAGAAAATCTTCCCAAATAGGAGTGGTGATATCCCTACATGATCTGCTTCAAGTTCTTCAAGAGTATTAATAAGTAATTTACCGGTTTTTCAAATATTGCATCAAAATGCAATGATTTATTTATTTTTTTAATGTATAAAGTAACATTATAAACATTTAATAATTCTTTAAAAAAATGAAAACCTTTCAAGGAGGAGGAAGTTCATTTACTCTAACGTGTAAATTATATTGTGTTTTAGAACTCGCGCTGTTTTGTCACCTGATGGTAAACATTACATTCTCAATGGCAACAAAATTTGGATAAGTAACGGAGGCATGGCAGAAATAATGACCGTGTTTGCTCAAACACCAGTTAAAGATGAGAAAACTGGTAAAACAGTAGACAAAGTGACTGCATTCATTGTTGAGCGGTCATTTGGAGGTGTAACAAATAGTCCACCGGAAAAGAAAATGGGTATTAAAGCATCCAACACTGCTGAAGTTAATTATGAAGATGTTAAAGTACCAATAGAGAATGTATTGGGAGGTGAGGGCCAAGGTTTCAAAGTAGCTATGAATATTTTAAACAACGGGCGATTTGGCATGGCAGCTGCTTTATCTGGTACTATGAGATCAGTAACTGCCAAAGCTGTTGAACATGCAACTTCTAGAATACAATTTGGAAAACGGTTAGACACCTTTGGTGGCATTCAAGAAAAACTTGCCCGTATGGCCATGCTCCAATATGTTACTGAAAGTATGGCGTACATGATATCTGGTAACATGGACTCGGGATCTGTAGATTATCATTTAGAAGCAGCAATCTCAAAGGTATTTTATGTATATTATAACATAATATAATCAAACAATCTTTGTATATGACTATTTTTAACACAAACATTGGGTTGTTTTTTCAATTTCCAATACTTTAATGTATATTTAATGAATCTACTATACTATCATAAGTAATCAGCTTAATAGTGTTCATCATTCTATAGTGTTTTGCATCTGAATCTGCATGGTATGTAACTGATGAAGCAATACAAATACTTGGCGGTATGGGCTACATGAAAGGTACTGGTTTAGAAAAAGTTATGCGAGACTTGAGAATATTCAGAATATTTGAAGGTACCAACGATATCCTCAGATTGTTCGTAGCCTTAACGGGAATTCAGTTTGCTGGAAGTCATCTGAAAGAACTCCAAAGAGCGTTTAAAAATCCAACTGCTCATTTAGGACTGATTCTTGAAGAAGTAAAAAAACGAGCCTTGTTCTCTGTTGGTTTAAATACAGCACCGTCGTTAAGTCATTTAGTCCACCCAAAATTATCGGATGCTGCAAACCTTGCTGCACAAGTAAATAAACTAGACAAATTATTGAATATTTGTATAATGTTTTTTTTTTTTTCAAGAGTGTTGGTTTATTCGGACCAGCTGTAGAATCACTGTTAATTAAATACGGAAAAGGTATAATTGACAAGCAGTTTCTTCTAAACAGATTAGCTCAAGCAGCAATTGATACTTATACTATGACAGTGGTATTATCTAGAGCTACAAGAGCACTAAATAAGGGTCTTCCAACAGCTGATTATGAAGCGTTGCTTACCCAAGTTTACTGTGCTGAGGTTTGTCATTTGTTATAATGAGTTGCCTAGTTCATCTTATTCCTAGCTACCAAAATGTTTCATACTACAGTATACATACCTAGTGACTTTTGTGTAGGCTCAGTTATATATAAAAAAAAAAAAGTTTTATCCAGTCAGCAAGTCTAAGTCTAGTATTATTAATCAATCAATTTTACGTTTCAATCGTTTTTTTTAACATTTTCAATGAGATTGGTTTGAAGAAGATTTCAGATAATTTAAACAAATTTTAAAGCTGACCTTATAAAATATTGTTAAATAAAAAAAACACCTCTAAGTTAAATAATTACTCTTTTCTAAAATACTTAACTCTATTCAACATAAGATTGAACCGCTCTTGCACAAAATGAGAATGCGCAGTGGTGACGACTTTTCGTCGGCGAGCAGTTTAATCTTAAGTTTAATAGAGTATAGTTTCAAAATAAGCAAACGCCCTTATTCCAGTTATTTTATACAGGCTATATCGATCCTTGACTTTTATATACTACTCAACACGATCTGTCATATTTTTCCCACACAAATTTGCTTTCTAACCTTTCTTTTCTTCTGCACTAATTTCTATTAAACATACACTTAGTAAAAGTTTTTTCATTTTCAGGCTAGTGACAGAGTAATCAACAATATAAATCAACTAAAATCTGGTAAACACTTAGATACCTTCTCAAAGATGAGTAGCATTGCTGAACAAATGTGCGCAAATGGTGGAATAGTACAAGCAAATCCTCTGAACTTGTAAAACTATTATTTTAATATTAATTAAATTCCTATTCTAAAATGATTATGCAAAACATGAAACACTGGGAAAATATGAATTATAATATAACCTAAATATCTTAGTTTTAAACACGATTATTGATGTACCAATTACCAACTTAATATTTTACCTAGTAAATTATATATTTTTTTAAATGTGCTGGATAATATTTTAAAGCAAGTCAAAATTTTAATGCATGTGGTACAAGGAAAATGTATATTTTGTTTATTATAACATAACTTGTATATTGTTGACATTTAAATAATAAACCATAGTACTGGTATTAGATTAAATTACTGATAATTTATTGTTGCATATCAATATATATATATATTTTTATAAATTAATATTTATGTTTTTTGTTAATAATTTCATAAGGATAGTTTCAAAATTTTTTTTGTGCCAAAATCACAGATATACAAACGTACTAGATATATCTCGCTAATTTCTCCCCGTAATTACAGCACTGATTAAAATATTTATGTTAGTACTAATACCTACTATTGAAAGTAAAGAAATCAAAATGTACATTTTTGTAAATGTTTACTCTATAAAGCTTATGTTTATTTAGCATGAATCCAAAACGATGTATTAAAGTTGACACGGAAGTTACGGGATGTGTTTTTGCCACCATTATGACTTAATAAATAATAATGTGTTTTCGATAATACATAACTAAAATATAAAAAATGTTATGTACATAAAACTGTCACACCCGTTTCTATTTACCCCATTTAACAATTTGAATATTTCGCTATTATTGTATTATTATGGATTTAATATTTTATTGAAAACATTATTACTTTAATTTCGACGAGTAGCTGAGAATTTATTGGTTTTAGAACGATATGGTGGTTTTTTCACTAAGTTTTTGTTTGTACCAACGATAATTATTAACCAGTGGAACGATTTCTTCATGATGAAAGTGTATAGATCATAAATCGTAGATATCCAACAAGGGCACATTAAAGCTTAACAAATTTACCCCTTCACAATCGATAAAAACACTTGTTTTTACATACTTAAGGAATGAAACAACCAAAAATTAAAATTAAATGCCCTATAGTAAATAACATATTTTTTTTTTTAAATATGTTCCCCAACAATGTTTGGTCTCTCCTGGGACTTGGATTCTCGCAAAATAAGGCCCCTTTTCCCTTCCCATCTCACATTTATAGTTTTATTGATAATAATGGTATTAGATATGTAATATCTTATATCATTATTCATTATTACATATTATATTAACTAACAATTATTAAAGTATAAGTTTTTTCGGTTTTTATTGTGTACGCCGTATCGTTACAATAAAATATTAAATAACAGCTAAACAGATTATAAATGTCTACGCACATGCATGTTTTATAAATCATTGAATTTGTATTTTTACAAAATATTTTTTTAAACAATTTTTTGTTATTATTTCACTTTACTTTTACTTTTTCCCTCTAAAATAAAAGTTATATGTACAAAAAAATTCAATTATAATACAAGATCGTTATTATTTGACTGCTCAGCACTAAAAAACTATTCAACTCTCTAAAAAAAATGAAATACCCAACGTTGTTTAAATTAGCTTTGGTTGTATATAATTCCCCTGCATTTCAAGTATCTGTAGAAAGGGCATTTTCATCTATAAAATAAGTTTTAAATGATCATAGATACAACCTTGGCAATGAAACCCTTAAAAATATTTTGTTAGTTAAATTAAATTAATGTTTTTTGTTTGTAAATTTAACTTAAATTTGTTTGTTCGTAAAATGTTCGTTACATTTTTTAAGTTTCGTAAAGAATAGCGAATTCGTCCAAAACCAATCTCATTATAATGACAACATTTAAAACGTTAAGATTAAATTACATTTATTTATTAATAAAAAATTAAAACATTTTTTTTTTCATTATGGTTATTCATACGATTGTTGTTAAATATTTGGTTGCTTTTTCATAAAAATGATCGTGTTCAAAAAATTAAACTATCACTTATACAATGCAATTTTGATTATACTTCTATTAAATTGATATAAGTATTGAAAATAACTTTTATCGAAAAAAGCAAGTTAAAAAAAAACTTTTATACATCAACATGTACAAGTAAAAGTTAAACTTTTGCTTTAAATTATAAAAGTTAACTGTTTTCATTCGACCCCTGTAAATAATTAATTATTATTAGTTGAGTGTTATAGAATTTTTTAAGAGTATCATGTTGTGTAAAAACAGCCAAACGCGGATCTTTCTTTTTCCAAAGAAACCTGAACGCAAAGTTCACATACAATTGTTAAACTTTTGTCTTTAAATAGACTATGGAAAACGATTATCAGGGCCACCCATAGATCCCCACATTTTCGAAGGCCCCGCGGCTGGGTAGCCGAAAACACAAATAAGACATCACTATATATTGTAGGTCCACATTAAGATAAACTTGATTTTTTTCATACTTTGAAGTAAAAAGAGTAAAATTTGCCTTACGAATAAAATGAAAAATAATAAAATTTCAACTAACTCGATAGGACTATAGGAGTTTCAAGAGTAGAATCAAGAGAAACTGAAACATATTTGACTTTGGTATACATTTTATTCTTACCGGTTATTACCGCTATGATATTATTGTAGGTATGAAACCTAACCACATAATTTATAATAAATTATATCTAAACACAACTAAATTTTACTATTTTTTTATTTTATTCATAACGCACATTTTTCCTATTTTACTCCCAAAACATGCAAAAAACTAATATTTTAATATATTTTTTTCAAATTCCTGAGAACGCACCACCAAATTATTTTATATATTTCACATCGTTTAGTATTTATTATATAATTAAAATGATAAATGTGAAATATCCACATAGGTGTAGTTAATTTTTACTAAATGCAAACTTTTATTTTGTTTTGCTCGATTCTTCAAAATTAATTTTATATAAATCCAGGTACATTATTTCAATTAGACAATTAAAAAATCTATGTAGATACGAAAATATGATCAAATTTTAATTGATGACATTTGTTTAACATAGATTTTTTGAGGCAGCTGTTTTAACGTGCCCGTAAACACATAAAACATACTTTTTTTGGAGGGGAGGTACGACACTGATTAGTATTATTAGGCGGTTTCAAGGAATTATTAGGTTCTCATTTGTCTAAATATTGTTAAATACTACACCAATCATCATAGAACTTATTTATTGTTTTTCTTTTTTATGCTTTTTCTGAATACATACTAAGGTAAAATGTAAGTATAGAACGTACACGGTACAACGATTGAAATATTTCTTTCTAAGGCTTAATCCTAAAACTCTTCCCCTACGGTCTTCGAAAACACGGTTGATATTGGAACACAAAATACAACAATAGGTATTTTAGAAATGGAAAAATTCGAATTTTGAACTTCTCCAACAGTTAAATTTCAAAATTGGCCCTAATAAATACATAATTTATAATTGCATTTGAAGTTTCAATAAAATAAAGTATGTTCAAATGACTAAACCTACTCATTTTAGAGTAACACCTCGGTGCTCTTGTAACTCCAAAGTTGTTAAACTTAATGGAAACTTTAAAACTTATAGTGGCTATATTAACATTTCATTGCGTAAACTAGAAAACATTATCGCCTAATAAAAATTATAGATATTCTATATAATAATCAATAGTCTCATGTAATCTCACTAAAATAAATATTTTTATTAGTGCTCTAATGTCAATTTGTGTTAAAGGTTTTTTTTCAGCTCTGTTTGCGCAATTACTTGTTTTATGAAAATTTACTAATGCAATGAACACAAACTTAATTTTTAACCACAAACCAAATTATATTGTTACATTAGTAAATATAAATTGCGATGGATTAAACATACTAACCAAGTTATTTTGATGGCACGCTGGTTTTATAAATACCCTACTTTCAAATGTATGTTGTTAGCTAAAGTGAAGCGTAAATTGTAATTTAAAAGTATAATGTTAGTTAAGCAATTCAATTTATTTAACAGTCAACATCCTAAATTAAGCTACATGGTCCATTGGACTATATAAATAGAAATAGTATAAAAAAGATATATCATTAATATAAAGTTTACAAATTAAGTTACGTTCATTAAACACATACATGAAAATGCATACAAAATTATAGTATTATATATGAAGGTGCATTACACATGCAAAATAGCACAAAGTTAATGACAAAATATTTAGGTGATCAGTTTGTTTCTTTATTGTTGTTTTTCTTGAACCTGCAAACAAATGGTTTTTCATATTATAGTTTGAGTTTGTTTAGGTGTCGGTTGACACGAACATATAAACAGTACAAAGCTAATAAATTCATAACTTACACAACATTGTATTTTGGTAAATAATTACAAACAAATTGGAAGATAAAATATCAAGAAGAAATAAACTGATATAATACAACACAAATCACAAAATCGTATGTCATTTTATCAATATTTTACAAAAAATAATAATAATAATAAAACCAAAAGTCAATATGGCAATATTAAAAAGTTAATTATAATAATATCTAGTACACATAAAATACAAAGTTTTAATTATTTTATACAATTTGTCATAAAAATCCATTTTTTTTTTTTTTTTGGTTCATTACAGTCTCGTCTTGAATCCCATTTATTTCCGTGTTTGCCACGACGTTAATCATGATAAAAGTATTAAAAGAAGGGAAGCAAAATAATCTAAGGGGTGTACTCATTTTGTACCTTTTGGGGTTGAAAACCCCATAATTTTAGGTTCACGTATTCTCCGATTAAATACAGCGCGGTGGTGTATACGAATGTCCCTAAAAAGAATAACCACCTAAGCAACATGTTCAATTGGCTGAGAATTGGGTACACCCACATACTACATTGGCTGTACACAATATGAATCCTGAAATCAAAAACAATAATAAAGAATTTTGAAATCATATAATAAATAAATTAAATCAGTATCATATCAATATGGTTATATTGACTTATTGAGTATTGCTAATATTACTAGTATTGAGTAATATATTTAATATATTATATATATTTTTTTATGACTATTATTATTTAAGACTTTAATCACTGTAGGTGAAATAGGAAGATAATTAATAACTGACTAATTATAATAAAGAAAAAAAGGACAAACAGACCCTATTATTGTCTAATAAAAATTAATAACCCACAAAGACTCTTCATTACTAAACTAATAAAAATACATAAACGTTTTGTTTTTCAATTTTTCGACCAAATCCTATACTAAATCGCAATGGTAAATAATTAAATTTATCGACATAGTTTTTCTACAGAACCTTTGTCACCTTGATAATATTATTACAATTGAAAAGGTCTGAAAAAATTATCAGTTTTAAATCAACAAACGTTCACATTGAAAATAATTGTACGAGTTATGACACAATAGTCTATAATCCTGTATCTAATATATGACACATTAGTCACATAATCCTACATAAACTTAAAGGAATATCTAAACACAAAATTAACTGTTAATACGTTTCATGTAGATTCAATAAACCTTTGAAAAAGCACTTCATATAATATTTGTATTATTATTTCCGCAGTAGGTATTTTATACACCGTTTAAGCTATTATTTCAACGATAGTGCCATAATGGTAATTGGTAATAGTTAATTGATTCAGAGGACTCCAATAAAATGGTGTGTGAAATCTTAGTGATAAAATATCAAGCCCAACTAATACAGCCCGGTAGTTTAAAATCATAGAAAATATTCTAAAGCAAAACCGATGAAACTGTATTAAATTAGTATCTATACAGATAAACTCACCATACTAAGTATATCAACTGAAAACCTAAATGTATTCCCAATCCATGAACACGAGACGGGTACGGCCGGTAAGCAGTGATCATTTCCAAACAAGCAAACACGAACACAAATGTATGCATAGTGTGGTTTAACCAGCTTGGGAAGTAGATGTCAAAGTTTTTGGGCATTACCAAATTGCGATCGAGGAACCACAAGCTCCAAAACGTCGTGGATACAAACTGAAACGTGGAACAAAAATAAAAGTTTAAATGATTAATAATGCCAAATCTTTTAATCAAATATCAACTAATATATTAATAAATATGTGTAAAACAAATAGTTAGTTATAATTTGCAGTGCTCTGTACTAAGTGGAAGTACCCAATGGCCAATACTCTTCCATTATAACAATATACGCTTATTTATTATGGAGTGAAGTATAGGCAATTTTTCGCAACTATATTGTTTAACCGGGATTTGTTGAAAATCTATTGAGAAAACACAAATTAATAAAACGATTGACGAAGAATAAAAATGGACCCTGATTTGTTATTTTTCATAAAATATGTACCATTTGATCCGAACAATTTTTTTGAAAATTTGCTATACCTAGCTCCTAAGTAGGTTTATTAATGTTTCTATTTTTAATATTGAATTCACAATCATTCGAAATAAGAAAATAATATTTTACTTAACAAATTGTTTACTGTGGCGAAAGGCGTCCTCTTAATTTCGAATAACATAATTATTGCGCTATGATTTTATTCAAGTAAAAATAAATGTGTTGCCATTTATGTCGTGTATACGCCATTGGTCAGAGGACAAACATAAAATTCATCACACAGCACAATATTATAACCTTGGTTAATGATTTGTTATAGAATGTACTATTAAAATCTAACCTTTAAAATATATATCTTGTATAAATAAACACTACCTTATTGTAATTAACACAATAATTAATAATAACATAGCAACATTATAAATATTAAATAAATTATAGTTAATATTATAATTTAGCCATTTAGGTGATTTATAGTTAGCTTACTAAATATCTTTTAATTAAATGAAGATATGAGAAGTAACGTTTTTTTAAAATAACTAGCAATAATGTTTAAATTTCAATAAAATTCTGGTCGAAAACAACAACAAATCGATATTTTCTTGATGTATCGATCAAAATTAATTTTGAATATTATTGTAAAAATTATTAAACAAACTTTACAAATTGTAATTTTTCCAAAGAAATTATTAATAAGCTAAAAATGATTTTTAAATTATTCCTCAATTAAATATCAAAATAGATACTTCAGTTTTGTGTTATAATATAATATTATATCGAACCTTGAAGCACACAAGTGCTATGTCCATACGATACACCGTGGACATAGCACTTATGCGCTTCAAGGTATCGATAAGTTTACAAATTTAGCTTAATGTTAAGTTTTAATGAAATATTACCTACATACAACATGTCTTAAAAAGTCGCCATGTGAGTTCTAACACCGCCTAATTTTGTTTTTTTTCCGAAAATGAGTATAAGGTACCCTGCCTAATATATTTTTTCGTTACTGATCGAAGTACTAAAAATGGGACAAAAACGAACACCGCCTAAATAGGTATTACTTCCAAACCCAATACACTGAACTGGTTGGTTTTATTGAATCTTGTAAATTTCAAGTACACAATAATAATGACTAACTATAGTCCAAAACCTAAAATTATATATTTGTTTAAATTAAGTACTGGTAGCACAATATTAAATATACCATACATTACATAACCTTGAGCTAGAAAAAGCGAAAAACAACAAATGAATACTGTAATCATATTATCTAGACCGGATGGCCTCGACTTTAAATTCATAAATATTTTACTAAATGTTTGTATTATGTTTGTACTTGTATAGAATTAATGTAACCACATAATTAAACAAATATTTTAATCCTAACAACTTAATTAATGTACTCAATTATAAAAAAAAAATAAAAACGTTTGCAATAGCGCGACTCATAAAATACAATTATAATTTCAGTATTGTAGAAATATCCTTACATTTTAAGTATAATTATTTCTATTAAAACATCCATTACTCGTTTTTAGTTGTCATCCATTTTAATAAGTCAGTACCAAAACATCAACAACGTTACTAAGTTGAATAAAAATATATAAGCATTTGTTAGAGGCATACTATTATATTATACTTAAGTTTAATATTTCAAAAGAAAAATTGTATTTAATTAAGTTTAAATTATATTGTAAATTTAAAATGACTAGATTAAGTAGTGTTTGTGGTAAAAACAAAAATATTTTTAATTATAATAAGTAGTAAGCGAGTAAGAACAGCCTCATAAGACCGACCACCTGAGGAATGTTGGGAGTGAAGGCCCTCCAAGGTTCGAATAGATTTGACTACAATGTTCAGTACCCCCGAAGTACTAAATAGTGACTTATTAATAGTTCTGCCTATACTCTGCTAACTGTACTGTCCAAATGATATGCGATTTGTGGTAGCTTAGTTTTATAATTGAATACAACTACTATAACAATTTAAATAATAATAATTATTCAGTAAATATTATAACTTCAAAAATAAAAATAAAATACTGTTGAAACATTACGTATGTTTGATAATTAACCAAACCTAAGTACATGTGTAAACATTGTATATATTATATGATATACATATACCTACTATTACTATAACTAGCACATGATTAACCGATGTAGGTGCTCTGTAACTACAGGAGTGATAGTAATAGATAAATAAAACTCCATATTATTAAACTAATTTAATGGTTATGCGAGCCCTTTTTACCCTTGACATTAAAATGTCTAAAACTTATAATAGATACATTTAAAATAATAGCTGACAGTCACACACGTTTACGGTGTAACATTCTATTATTTTGATAAATGTTTTACTAACTAACAAATAGCAATTATCTACTCTTCAGAGTTAAGCGTATTTTTTATAACTCCAATAAAAGTATTTAAAAATAATAAAAAACAATTATTAATTCTTACCATACTCAATGGAAACGCAATACTGGTGAAGAAATAGCTTTTTACTTGAGATAGTTTATCAAAAGTCGGTGTTTCGGATGAGGAAACCATTGAACAAATGTCCACAACCAATGCGTAGGTGAAAAATAAAGCAGAGAAACACTATAAAAAAAAATTAGAATAAATTAGAACATTACAGCGAATAAATGTATAACACAAAAATGTAGACACGGTTACATATAGGTAATACTGTAATAGGCATAAAATAATGCGTATTATAAATATGTAGCAATTACTGCTAAAATTAAACACTTCAACATTTTACTGTTATTCATTATTTATATAATATGTTTATGAGCATCAGTAAAATCAAGTAAAAACACTTGAGTTAATATGTTTACACAACATACTAATTATGTTATAAATAAAACAAATGCCAATACATCTTTATAAATAAATTTCTTCTGTCCGTGTGTAAGTATGCGAACTCCTCCTAAACGGCTGGACAGATATTTATGAAATTTTGTGTGAGCGATTAAGTTTAATTTAAGAAAGTTTTAGATTCACAATTTGATCTGATAGAACATGTTTTTAATTTTTAATTAATTAAAATGATTAATTATGATTATCAATATTATCAATAGTTATCAATACATCTCTATGGCTTTTCATACCACAGGGATACAGTGATCCGATCAGGTGATTGTGTGTCTATTCTATTCTACACGGGCAACGCCGCGTCGGGACAGCTTGTATTATATTATAAATATAAAACAAAAAAAAAACATACATTATCAAGGTGATGGTGGTAGGAAATCTGTAATAATATTCATTGCACATGTGCACAAATAATTGAGACATCAGAAGTCAGAATCCTGAACGATTCGATTTGTCTCTTCCTACGCTCCTATACAAATGAACCCTGACTTCTAATCTCTACTACTAATCTTTAATTAAAACTACATTTAAGCATACCCAAGTGATTTTCAGATAAAAACATTTTTAATTGTGTCATGGTATATATAATATTAGCAACACTCGTTTTTAATGTCCATAGATACCGTATAATACAAATGTATTATCAACTATTGTATTTTTACCACGTTTTTGTTATTTTATTAGTACATTCAACATACCAAGCATTGTCCACCGGGCAGAAACCACACTTAAACTGTAACGAAATCAATCACCTCAATACCATATTATACTATGAATTTAGTGATATTTTTTGTGGTTGTTGTTTTGTAATTCTATTATTTTATTGCTTCAGTTACTTTATTTGTTAATAGCTTGTAAGTGTGTATGTGTGTAAATAAGTAATATAACAAACAGATTAGAGAAAATTAATAAAATGTTCGTAACTCAATAATGAAATGCATGAAATCTATATACCCGTGTCTAATTTAAAAGTAAAAACTTACAATAGTCTCCTAGCTTTATTTTCCCGATTAACTATTGGATAATATCTCCGAAAACTAAAAAAAAAAATTTGGCAGCTGGAGTCAAAGATACGCGTATAAGTATTGTAAACACAAAAAATGAAGTTGGAAAATAAAAAACTCTGAAAATAGATTTGATTAATATTTCCCTTGAATTAAAAATATTCAGAAATGAGAGGCTATGTTAACATTTATAGTGCACTTGCATGCCTGGTTATTGTCTTATGAATATGTAAACAACTTTAACGAGACCTATGCCACCAGCGTAAAATAGATTTCCATTTTTGTGTATAGGACCACTAATGTATATACTATATTTATACTGAATGCTATTTGTCTAATTTATTTTTGTTTGAGTTGCATAGTACATTAGGCTATCGTTTTACAAGAAATACCAAATTTTAAAATTGTTTTATCGTTATTTTTTAAAAGGTGGTTGATTTTTTCAACATATGGTCTAACATAAACTTCCCCATTTATAGATTAAGTTGTTAGGACTAATTCTGTATTTTAAATGAAAATAGAGTCCTCTAATATATATATAGAACTATTAAATATCCATACCTACTTAGATACATGTTTTTATAGTCATTGCGGCTGATTGATTATTATTTATATTGATGCATAAATAAAAACTCCAGGATATTTTCTGCAAGGTGCTGTTTACAATTACTTTTTTAGGCTATTCAAAATAAATGTTTCAATTCTATGATCATAATTTTAAACAAAAACAAGTGTACATGTGACTGTTCTTAGAAACACTGTTCTTAAATTTGCTGTGCACAAGTAACAAAAAAAAATTGAACGGCTTAATGAGATATTTGCAACGTATATAGTTAATTGTTAAAATATAAATTTAAATTTATTAATATATTATATTTTAATCACTACTATTGGTGTTTAATCATATTATATATTATATATATTTATGAATTCTGTTTACCATGGATTACAACCCATAAAAATATACATAATATAGAATTTATTCATAAAGCAATTTAACTAGAATTTCCGAATATAAGTAAATAAAATGCCCGTAAAATGTAAATCAATGTTTAATAATTGATAACCGACTAGAAATTTGTATATGCATGTTAATTGTAAATTTTACTTACCTATTTATTAAAAAACGAAATTAACGATACAAAAACATTTTATTTTAATAATCAGATAAAAACTTGGTTTCGTAATATTCTAAATAGCCATTGTTGGTTTTAACATAGATGCGAAGCTGAGTAGTTATTAGATATTTGTTTTAAACAATGATATTGTATATTTTTTGCAGGACTCGATTAGCATCTCTGTGGGTCAAAAATCGTATGCGATTATTATTACGAAGGTCACCAGTTTTAATTTTAACATGCTAAATTTCACAAATAATGGTCAGATTTAGTCAAAATTTGTAAGGAACATTTATTAAACGTCTAGCAATAGCCCAAAAGCCGAATTGTTTTAATTATCGTATCCCCACAAAGAAGTAAATTTCTATGTTTTTTTTTTAATTTGTACGACTTAAACGCAATTTTCGAACTGAACGCTTAAAATTAGACTTATTTATGAAAAAAATTTATAACTATCGTTAGTATATCGCATTACAATTATTATTCATTTTTTGGCTTTTTACTACTCTACAACAGTATTTGCCGCTATCACTATTTCCCTCTATTTCTCCAGGTCCATGGCTAAATTTCTTTAGTCGTGGGCTCCTATTCTTAGGAATTTAGTAGTATAGAAAAAATTCAAAATGGCGAAGACAATAATTTGAATTATACTAAAAAAAATTAGGAAGCTTTGTAGTATTTTCTGCAGTCGATCGGTGTAGATTATAATATAGAAAATATTTATTTGGTGGATATTGCAACGTACAAATTATTAAAGCTTTGTTTCAAATGTGGAAGCATGAAAAAAAGCTGTTTATCCTCTGGAGGTTAGTGTGACAAAGTTTACAATTTATAAATATTTGTTATAACTTTTCGTTGTATAAACACGGTTCAATATTTGTGTTTTAATTTCGTATGTCCTTGTTTATCATTGGATATAGTAAAATTTAATAGTTATAACAAATATGATTAATAATAAATTAACCTCCAAGCAGTCGCGCCTTTGAAAATCCCATTGGCGGCCGCGCCGTGGTGTTTACAGCGATTCCTATCTGGCAGTCGAAAAATTTGTTTTTTTCCTCCATCGAGTTGATAATCTATCAACTATATAGAGACTATAGTGAGAGTTACACCAGCCTGACCTCACGGATTAAAACGAAGGGCGTTGTATTTTCAAAAAAGGCCACCAGTATAGGTATATTTAGATATGAAAATATAAGAAAAATATTATTAACTTTGACAACTACAAACTCAATCAAAGGCGGCATACCAATTGGCCCGGTGACGTACTAAATTCTGTAAGACAATAGGTGTTTTTGGCAATGGGATTTTATTAAAGGGCTGCTATCGGTTCAACCGTTTCAATTGGTTTGAAATATCTTTTGTGATTGTAAAATGTAATTTTGAATTAAACATTTTTAAAATCCCTAGGTCAACAATTTATTTCTTTAAATGTTGATTATATGATGATCGTTTTTAATTCCTAGAACAGTACGCATTGTTTTACCCAGCCTGCCTCTAGAAATATTGCACATATTATGTACTTATTTTAGATTAAATATATTATCCAAAATTAACGAATCGATTTATTCTTACAGCAAGACTTACTGTTATTAAAATCCTAGCTATACGATATTATAATGATAAATCAGAACTTTTTTAATAATTTTCTTTTGCAAAAGATGGGATTTTTGGTTAATAAAGTTCAACTCGAAATAAACTAGTAAATGATTTTAAATAATAATTATCACAAAACATTTTAATGTATTAAACAATACTTAATATACATTTAAACTATTAATTTATTTTTATAAACTAACTAGCTGCTGCCTGTGTACCCGGCTTCGCTCGGGTTAAGAAATACAATTGCAACAAAGTACTCACAAATTATATACCTATAAATATTATGCTTAAGTTATATGTTGACTTAGAATAGATAATAAAAATTAAGGCATCATTCATATGAGTATTAAAATGTTGAATTTACTAATAAAGGTAAAATAACCACAACTATTTTTAATTAATTATACTTTGAATTTTTCTACTCTGGGTAGGTATTTATTTTAAAAAACTATTAAAAAAATTATAATTGTAAAATATATGTGTGGTGTACAATCGTTTAATACTGGCTAACATTGTTAAATTGTGTTACCAACGGATTGTTTATTTAAATTATTGCTGGCTCTAATAATTTAAACTATTTTAACAAATAAACGACAGAAACAAACTATCTATTTATTCATTAATTATAACTCATTCGTGTTAAAATTTTATCAACCTATATGTTTTGTAAATTCATATTGGTCTACGTACGACGCGCGGTGAGATATAATCATTTTATTATTAGACTCACAAAAAAAAAACATAGAATCATATTTTTTAGAAATTTTGTCAGCTACATTTTTGAATAGAGGTATTTTTGCCGTAAAATTAATATTTTTAATGATAATTGAAAAAAACTGAAATCATACTTAAAAAACAAAATGGCGGACACTTTCGAACTTCGGGGGGGGGGGGGGCGAATTTTTTTGGTCATTCGGGAGATCATCTTTTTTTCCAGATAACACCTGTTTTTGACCCCCATTGACTGGACTATTAAATGGTTTAAAGTTTTTAACTAAACATATACAAATGAAAATTATACAAAGTGCACAATACAAATAATTATATTTTTCATTTAATAATTTAGTAAAAAATTATCAAACATTTAAACAATTATAACTGTTTAAAGTTTTAAAGTAACGTATTGGTATATTGTGTTAACATAACCTGTTTATGAAATTTGTATGCATTTCCTACATCGTCACTAGTCAGCACCACGGTTAACAGCTAATCTTTATGTTAACGTTTACTAATGTTGTCGATTATGCATAATGACAACTTATTTGCATAAATGGTATCGTCCGACTACGTTAATTTGAAATATATCATTCTTAAAATACTTCAATTTTTCTATTTATATACGCGCTAGAAATAAATGTAGTTTAATTTTATTAACACTTCCTCAAAGCACGCTACGGTTCTCTGAAAATTATGTTTTTTGAATTTCGGGAGGCGACTAAGACCAAAATAATATGTATTCTACCGAAAGTAGAAAACCTTATCAATCTGTCCGTTTTTTAGTGTGCGCGTGTTAAACGTTGGTTTTCTAGTGATTTCATTATAGTATGAGTAAAATTTTTTTGTTTGAGAAAGTTATGTGTCAACGATTTGGTAACATTTTGTTTAGTTATTTATAATTGTTTCCACAAATTACATTTTTGAGAAGTGATATTAGTTTATTATATAGGAAGATCTAATTAGCAATAATCTTTACTATACCTATAGTATACATATTACCTACCATAGGAAATTATCAAAAAAAAATACATTTTGTTGTTTACATTGAGTAGGTAATTTTAAAATAGGAAAATTTTAACACCTGCGTAAAACCGTTAAAATGTTTAAGTCATTTTTGAAATAATACTATTTTCAAACTTTTAAAAATATATATTTAGCTTCGATGCTAAGCTGGAAGGTATTGGGATATTTTTAACTTCCTTAAGTCGTTTTTATTTCACTTTTTATAATTTTCTTAATTTTCTAAGTGGATAAAACAGACTGAGCGTTTTAAGTGTCATGTTAGAGGAGATGCGGTGCCGTATCCATGCTCCCTGGCCTATTTCTTTTCTAACAATATAAAAATGATACAGGATTTTCATAAAATACCTCTACATTTAATAACTTAATATTTTAAGATCACCATACGCCTATAGAATGATCCCCCACTTGAATGAGCTCTAAAGACGCTATTGTAATACAACGATGTTAATACTCGTAAGTTTTTAATTTTAACTCGTTGCTAATTTCAGTTCAATATACAAATCGATTTATCATTTTAGTATTGAAGTGCTTAAATGAAGTGTTTTAAGACTCGTCAATACTCGAATGTAAATATATGCACACGTTGTACTAGATTAATAATTATTTGAGAAACAAACGAGACAATTACATGGTATATTTAATTGTACATATTTCTTATTATAATCAAAACCACAAATTGTTTTAAATGACCTCTGATAGTTGATAATTATATTGCAGTGTATTTTTTATAATAATATGAAATATCGTGTTTGAAAACATAAAAAGGATTACGACAAGTTTCACTATTTAATAACAACGTGTTTTGTAAGTTACGCATAATAAAACCGGCTGCGTAAATATCATGTGAAACCACAAAAACTCGAAATGTAATGAATTCATATTAGATAGGTGTGACAAAGATGTTATAATAGGATATATTATTATTATTTAGCTTCAATTTGATCGAGCTATTATGGTGTGGTTTTTAAATGTGAAAAATGAGCAAATTGAGAGTAAAATATTGAAGAAGTATTATTGTCGAGTAAACAATTTTGTTTTATAAATGATAATTGAAAAACAATCGACGAGCCTTGAATCTATTAAAACAACAAATTGCCGACTGTCAAAATGTCAGTGTGTGCTGACAAAATGCCAAGTTTAGCAAATCCCAACGTGTGACCTATAAAAAAACAAACGCTATCTAATAATAGTATCTACAAACACGAGCTGTATTTTCTTTACAGGCTACAGCTCTCGGGCTGTAATATTTGTGACAATTGATTTTCGGTTTAAACCGTAATGGATACTTACTCCGTCCAAAAACGTGAGATACTTGAATTTTCCACCGTAAGCCTCGTCGATAGGGTTCACGTGGGCAGGTATGTTTACGTGCGCGTAGTTATAGTACACAGAATACACCATGGTGACAGATGCCACCAAGTGCACGGCCACGTTGGCCACCGGCAAGTATCCCGATAAACCCATAATGACGCCGGGTGAAAATAAAACCGTGTTGTTTTTATCGCGGGAAAACGTTTAACGCGCGTAGGCAAACGGCGATTGTTACTGAACGAACGCCGGCACGAGCGAGCGAGACGAACGCCGTTGGATCACTGTGCAGTATGTTACCAGTTACCGGCTGCCGCGGCCGCCGTCCAGATAGTACACAATATCGACGGTAATATTCTGCGGAAACGATTACGATATCACGGGCTGCGCCGCACTACGGCGAGTCACCGACGGCTGGGCGCTGGCGTACTGCCCGGGCACTCGGTCGTCCCATTGGCTATTGGCTTGGCGCCTACCGGACACACCAGCTGCTCGGGCGAGAGGGTAAACGCGCGTGGCGGGCCAACAGCCAACGGACCAGATCACACGCACCCCACCGTTGCGTTAGTTTGACACAACCGTTTTACGTCGCAAATTGCCGACTTCACCGCATCGCGATTCTCCCTCCAACCGTACCACCGAGTTCTGACGTCATAACGGATCTCGTGACTCGTCAAAGCGTGCAGCCATGTCCCTGTAAAGTTATGTGTGAATTGTGATTAATCCATAAATTATAAATCACACGAAACAAAGAAAATAAAATGTTTTTTTTTTTTTTAAATAATGTAAGTAAATAATTTTCATCTATACGGTTTCCGCTTACATTTTTTTTTTTATTTGAGTATTTATTTCGAGAGCGTTATTGAAAATGTGTTTATATTTTTTTATCGAAAACCCATTGACTTGGGTGTTTAGTGTTTTATCACACAGCTAGAGAAATAAAAATGATTTACATTATTCAATACGTCCCAAGTCTTTATGTTGTCTTTTGGCAGGCGGTCAGACGATTCAAAATAAAATAGCTATAATAAAAACAAACAACTATTCAATAAAGCTTATTATGGTTTTTTACAAATTTATTTCATATTTTTATGGTCTAAACGAATTGTTTTTATTTTTTTAATGTGTGTATTTTTATTTATTAAAATGTTTCTAAAAAATGTTTAGGTAATGCGTTTAAAATTAATTAAACCTAGAGTTATTCAAAAGGCTATAGATATTTGTATTTAAAATGCCGTTATTTCAGAAAGGCCAAAGATTAATCGTGTTTTGGAAATGGATCTAAATAATGCGTTTAGGATATTTTATGTGATATTTAAGTTTAATGGCAACACTACAACGTTGACAACATTACTTAATTTTACTATTATTATGAATAGTTTTTACAACTTAATAACACAGAAACCTCTTTTATACACGAAACTTAATAATAAATATAATATAAGATAAAAATGTGTATTATTTTTATTAATTCGCGATAAGACCTTTATGTCATTAGGGTTTTAGTCGTTCTATTGGTTTCTCGAAATGAAGTTAAAGGATAATTATTAATTATAGTATACTGTAGCAAATAACATGGTTAAAATATATATGTAATTTGTTCAAGGTCAGATAATGTCGCACGGGTTATTTCTTAATTTAAGTACCAAGTGACATTATACTTTGCTAAATGAGGTATATACTACATGCTGTGAACCATATTCTTAATTAACAAATAACATAACACTTATTATAATGATAAAAATCAAGAATTAATTCACTAATGTAATAATAATAATGGTACCATTGAAAGAACCTCCACTAAGATTGGGACTTACTAGTTAACAATCAGGCGCCAAAGTTTTTTTTAATACAGCATAAAAAGTACTAATTAGTAGTTTAAAGTTTTAAAAAATGGGTTAAGGGTTTTTTTGTGTAAATACTAAATACCAATATATCAGTAGATCAGATATCGTATCTATAAAAATTAAATATCTTGACGTATCAAAATTTGAAAAAAATATATTTTTTTTTAAATATTTAATATTTATTTACAAACGAAAAAACATTGAATTATATACAACACACAGAGATAGGCGACATGCATAAACACACGCCTAGAGTGGCATTTTTCTGGGGAGGCATTTAAAATTTTTATATTATCCAATATAATTTCCGATCTCATACATGTTGCAAAAATAAACAAGCAAAGTGGAAACATGGTACTTATTACAACTGAAAGTCCAAATAAACGCTTTGATGCGAACTTGTAGCTAGTATGTTCAAACCAGCAGAGCCCCCACAAGGGGGGGGGGGGTCAGTGAGTATTAAAGTGATTTTATCTCTTTCATTTATAATAATTCCTATAGATCTGTGATCTCTCCGTCTCCACTATTCTTTACTATACTGGCTTACTTGGATAAAACTACTTTCAAATAAACACTGATGCTAATTTTTTAACACTACACCTCACTTTAATACTTTTTTACTATGCTGGTTTATACTGTGCTTGGTTTGGGCTGTACTGGTTTGCACATATACTAACCACAGATTCACATCGAAGCGTTTATTTGAAAGTGATTTTATCACTTTCACTTTTATATTCCTGTAAAGCTGTGGCTATTCCATCTCTACTTTGTCCCTACTCCAACTGTGTTCCCTTTTTTAATATCACGAGTTTGAAAAATAAACTCGTTAACACACGTTGTTGGCATACCCATTTATTTTTTCATGAACAATTTTTTGTTGTGCATGGAAGACACACAGTAATAAGGGTCGAACATACGATGTCAGAAGCGTTTGAAGTAAGAACTGGCTTAAAGCAGGGAGAATCATTATCCCCTACTTTATTTAATATAGCATTGGAAAAAGCTATAAGGGAAATGCAAATGGAAACAACTGGAGTAGCGATCGGTCAACAACATATGATTTAAATATATTAGGAAACTCCATGGAGGATACGGAAAAAGCAGCCCAAGCCCTCGAGCAAGCAGCTAGCAAAATAGGGTTGAAAATCAATGCTGAAAAAACCGAAATAATGGAGTTGCTAGATAACGGAGACAACTCGGATACGGGGTCCCTTACTTTCGAAAAAGTTGATGAATTTTGGTACTTAGGAGCTGTATTGAGTACTAAAAATGATTGGTCAAGGGAAATAGGAGTCAGGATAACAAAGGCTGAAAGAGCGTCATTTGCCATAAGTAAGTTCTTAAAATCAAAATTGTTCTCAAAGAAAACCAAAGCTAGACTGTATACCTACGGCAATAATAAGGCCTACGCTCACCTATGGCTGTGAAGCATGGACTACCACCAGTACAACTGAAAGAAGGCTCAGGACTTTTGAAAACAGAATTTGGAGGACAATTTGTGAACCAATTTATGATACCGAAAATGCAACTTGGAGAAGAAAATTTAATATAGAACTGCAAGACGAATTGGGAATTGCATCAGTCATCAGCTTGATAAGAGGGCAAAGGATTCAATGGCTAGGACACGTGATGCGGAGAAGCGAGGATGATGTAAGTAGATCAGTCCTAAACTGGAAACCAATGGGAAAAAGACCTCGAGGGAGGCCCAGGAAAAGATGGCTAGATGTTGTGGAAGAAGATCTTGAAAAATTGGTAATACAGGAATGAAGGGATTTAGTTCAGGATCGAGAGAAATGGAGGGATATTGTGATGGCGGCCAAAACTCTTAGAGAGTATTAAGTGCCAGAGGAAGAAGAAGAAAATGAATTTTTTATTATTTTTTACTTCACATAAGATATAAAAATATATAAATGTAAATTTTGTCTAACAATTAGCAATTACAAATTATTGTTAAGTTTTACAGTCTTGAACCTGACAATAAAAATATACTCCATTAAGAGATAAGCTGCATCGTAATTCATAAATTGTTCAAACGGGAAATAAAAATTACAAAATCAACATATACATACACAAAAATACATACATATATATACATACAAGAATATTAAAAACTATCTCACATAAAAAAACACAATAAACCACATGACATCGTATAATAATCCATATCAGTTAAAAGTTCATTGACACAACTACCTCTTACTATGAACATATATCTATACTTTGACCCAAATAAAAAAGGCAGAAACGCATGATGAAATTTTGGCCGTCTCGCACTAGAGGCCTCAGTCGAGATACTCAAATCGCTGCCTTTCTTATTTGGGACAGAGTATAATAAAGCAAAGCAATACGTTTTTAAATAATTCAAAAAGCAATTTATACCTTAGACTAAATTTTATAAAAAAAAAAAAAACACAAGTAAAATACAATTTTACAGTATCTTAATTAAATTCGCAAAAAAATGGAGTTCTATTCAAATCAACATCCCTTTAAATCCTAACAGACTTCAAATGATGTATACATGCTATTTAATTCATATTGTATCGTCTTTTTAGTTAATAAAAACCAACTTAAAAAAATCCATATTCAGTTTCGTAAATCTGGTAGACCGTAAATAAAGTTTCAATTTCAGACTATTGACGTAAAGAGGTATACCAAATAAATATTCCTCCGTTTAATATGTTATGGATACATAAATTATGAGTTCTATGTCCTGACAAATTTTCAACTATAAGGTCCTAAAAACTAGTAACTAGGTTCTATAAAAAAAAGGGTTACTCGATATTTCGCCCAAATGATTATTTTGGATTATTATTATCATTGCCATTTTTGAAAATTGTGAGTTTTCAAATTGTTTTTCTAATTAAACTTTCGATTTATTTAGATAAAAATAGTCTTTCTTAATGTGTAATTATTATATTAATTTATGTAGAAATGTAATGGTTATACTATGAAACGCGTACATTATAGAATAATTTACTACTAGTTTGAAGCATTTAGTCCTAAATTAAATTAATCGTGCCGTCTTCAAAAAAATGCACTACCCTGTTTAGGGAAAACTTATCTAAATGGCTAAAATTAGTATTTTTCAATTACTTTTTTAATTCTATTTTTTTAGTCGCTCGGATAAAAATAGAGTTTAAAGAGTCGTTATAGAGACGCTGTTGTGTTGCTGCTGATGATAGTAGATTATTATTATGTTCGTACATTCTGTTAACATCGAAAATATGCATCATAATTTATAACGTATATTTATCAATTATAGCTTCAGGGAAGTCTGTAAACTGGTTAGTTCCCATTAAAAATGTTGAAACTCGTCGAGTCATACAAATAACCAATAAAATATGACTGTTAACTGGCGAACGTATTTAGCTATAAATAATTCCTACAACAAGAATTCGCACTCGCACGAGTTGTACCTATAGTAATAATGATAAACAATTTAGTAAATTATAACCTATTTTGCCCGGATTCTCGAACTGTATTACTATTTTAAAATACTAATGAAATACTTGTATTGTTATAGTTAAGTTAAAAATGATTTACATCTAGTAGTTCTTAGAACTCCTGCCTAATAC